AATGTATATGTAGAGCCTATATCAGATTGCATGCCGTCTAGGGGAGGGAGATGGGGAGGGAGGGGGAGAAAAATTTAAAACTCAAAAACTTATGGAAGTGATTGTTGATAAATCAAAATAAATTAATAATAATAAAAAAAGATGATATGCTTGGAGACAAATGTACAGGAGAGGCTGGACAGGGGAGACCCAAGTGACAGCCCCTGGGTCAGGTGCTATCTCCTGGCCTGGACACTAGCCCCACAATCAGAGAGTTGTCTTGTGGGTCCCAAGGTACAGTGTGACCCGCTGGCCACAATTGCCAGCAACGGAGTGTGGGGCAAGTCCTGCTCAGGGGCTCCCAGCCTTCCTGACTGCTGATGGTACTTGGCTGGTGCCAGAGGCTGGCCAACTGCCTTTCAGAATGCCTTGTTGCTACAGAAGAGATTCCTGAGAAGTTTGATGCACCCTGTTGGTGCCCGGACGGACTTCTCTTGTTCTGATATGATCATACCTTTGCAATGTTGTTTCTATTCAGTTCAACAAATATTGATCAGTGACTATTGCTTGTGCTTAGAATTCTCTGGACAGTGAAAGATTTGCATTTCTGTAATCAATAGTGATTTGGAGCATTTTTTCATATGATTATAGATGGCTTTACTTTCTTCATCTGAGAACTGTCTGTTCATATCCTTTGACCATTTATCAATTGGGTAATGGCTTGTATTCTTATAAATTTGACTTAATTCTCTATATATTTTAGAAATGAGACCCTTGTTAGTGAGATTGGTTGTAAAAATTCTTTCCCAGTTTTCTACTTTCCTTCTAATCTTGGTTGCATTGGCTTTGTTTGTGCAAAAACTTTTCAATTTAATGTAATCAAAGTCATCCATTGTACTTTTCTTAATATTCTCTATCTCCTGTTTGGTCATGAAGTCTTCTGTTCTCCATAGATCTGATAGGTAAACTATTCCTTGCTCTCCCAGTTTGCTAACAGTATCAGCCTTTATATCTAAATCATGAACCCATTTTGACTTTATCTTGGTATATGGTATGAGATTTTGGTCTATGCCTAATTTATGCCATACTCTTTTCCAGTTTTCCCAGCAGTTTTTTTCAAAGAGTGGGTTCTTATTCCAGAAGCTGGGGTCTTTGGGTTTATCAAATAATAGATTACTAGAGTCATTGACTACTGTGTCTTGCATACTTAACCTATTCCACTGATCCACCACTCTATTTCTTAGCCAGTACCAAGCAGTTTTGATGATTTCTGCTTTATAATACAATTTAAGATCTGGAATGGCTAGGCCACCTTCCCCAGCATTTCTTTTCATTAGTTCCCTTGATATTCTGGACCTTTTGTTCTTCCAAATGAATCTTGTTATTATTTTTTCTAACTCTATAAAATAATTTTTTGGTAGTTTGATTGGTATGGCACTGAATAAGTAAATTAGCTTAGGTAGAATTGTCATTTTTATTATATTAGCTCGGCCTACCCATGAGCAATTGATGTGTTTTCAGTTATTCAGATCTGACTTTATACGTGTGAAAAGTGTTTTGTAATTGTGTTCATGTAGTTCTTGGGTTTAGTTCAATAGGTAGACTTGTAAATATTTTATAATGTCTACGGTAAGTTTAAATGGAATTTCTCTTTCTATCTCTTGCTGTTGGGCTTTGTTGGTAATATATAGAAAAGCCGATGATTTTTGTGGATTTATTTTATAGCCTGTAACTTTGCTAAAGTTGTTTGTTATTTCAAGTAGTTTTTTATTTGATTCTCTAGGATTCTTTAAGTATATCATCTGCAAAGAATGATAGCTTTGTTTCTTTTTTGCCTATTCTAATACCTTCAATTTCTTTTTCCTTTCTTATTGCTAAAGCTAACGTTTTGAATGTTATTGAACAACAGTGGTGATAATGGACATCCTTGTTTCACCCCCAATCTTGTTAGAAATGCTTCTAGCTTGTCCCCGTTACATATGATACTTGCTGAAGGTTTTAGGTAGATGCTATTTATTATTTTAAGGAAGACTCCATTTATTCCTATGCTCTCTAGTGTTTTTAATGGGAATGGATGTTGTATTTTGTCAAAAGCTTTTTCTGCATCTATTGAGATGATCATGTAGTTTCTGTTAGTTTTGGTGTGGATATGATCAATGATGCTGATAGTTTTCCTAATATTGAACCAGCTCTGCATTCCTGGTATGAATCCTATCTGGTCATAGTGTATTATTCTTGTGATAAGTTGCTGTAATCTATTTGCTAATATTTTATTTTAAAAATTTGCATCTATATTCATTAGAGAAATTGGTATATAATTTTCTTTCTCTGTTTTGATTCTTCCTGGTTTAGGTATCAGCACTATATTTGTATCATAAAAAGAATTTGGTAAGACTCCTTCTTCAGCTATTTTCCCAAATAATCTATACAGTATTGGAATTAATTTTCTTTAAATGTTTGATAGAATTGGCTTGTAAATCCATCTAGCCCTGGAGATTTTTTCCTAGGGAGTTCATCAATGGCTTGTTTAATTTCTTTTTCTGAGATGGGTTTATTTAAGTATTTTACTTCCTCTTCTGTTAATCTGAGCAATTTATATTTTTGTAAATATTTATCCATTTCACTTAGATTGTCAAATTAATTGGCATACAGTTGGGCAAAATAGTTTCTAATTATTGTTTTAATTTCCTCTTCCTTGGTGGTAGATTCACCCTTTTCATTCTTGATACTAGTAATTTGGTTTTCTTCTTTCTTTTTTTTTTCAATTCAATTAACCAAAGGTTTATCTATTTTATTGGTTTTTTCATAAAACCAGCTCTTAGTTTTATTTATTAGTTTAATAGTTTTCTTAATTTCAATTTTATTAATCTCAACTTTGGTTTTCAGAATTTCTAATTTGGTGTTTAATTGAGGATTTTTAGTTTGTTCTTTTTCTAGTTTTTTTAGTTGTATGCCCAGTTCATTGATCTCCTCTTTTTCTATTTTATTCATGTAAGCATATAGAGATAAAAAATTTCCCCTACGAACTGCTTTCACTGCATCCCATAAGTTTTGATAGGTGGTCTCATTTTTGTCATTCTCTTGCTCTATAAAATAGTTTTTGGTAGTTTGGTACGGCACTGAACAAGCAAACTAGCTTAGGTGGAATTGCCATCCTTATTATATTAGCTCGGCCTACCCATGAGCAACTGATGTCCTTACAGCCATTTAGATCTGATTTTATTTGTGTGGAATTGTAATTGTGTTCATAGAATTCCTGGGTGTGTTTCAGGAGGTAGACTCCCAAATATTTCACAATGTCTATGGTAAGTTTAAATGGAATTTCTCTTTCTCTCTCTTGCTGTTGGGCTTTGCTGGTAATACACAGAAATGCCGATGATTTATGTGGGTTTATTTTATAGCCTGCAACTTTGCCAAAGCCGTTCATCATTTCAAGTAGTTTTTTACTTGATTCTCTGGGATTCTCCAAGTGTAACATCATGTCATCTGCAAAGAGTGATAGCTTTGTTTCTTCTTTGCCTATTCTAATGCCTTCAATGTCTTTTTCTTCTCTTATTGCTAAAGCTAACGTTTCCCGTACGATATTGAACAACAGTGGTGACAATGGACATCCCTGTTTCACCCCCAATCTTGTTGGAAATGCTTCTAGCTTGTCCCCATTACATATTAGGCTTGCTGAAGGTCCTAGATAGATGCCATTTATTATTTTAAGGAAGAGTCCATTTATACCTACGCTCTCTAGTGTTTTCAATAGGAATAGGTGGTGTATTTTGTCAAAAGCTTTTTCTGCACCTATTGAGATGATCATGTGGTCTCTGTTACTTTTGGTGTTGATATGATGAACTATACTGATAGCCTTCCTTATATTGAACCAGCCCTGCATTCCTGGAATAAATCCCACCTGGTCATAGTGTATTACTCTTGTGATAAGTTGCTGCAATCCACTTGCTAATATTTTGTTTAAAATTTTTGCATCTATATTCATTAGAGAAATTGGTTTTGAATCTTCCTGGTTTAGGCATCAGCACCATATTTGTGTCATAAAAAGAATTTGGTAAGATTCCTTCCTCACCTATTTTACCAAATAGTCTATATAGTATTGGAATTAATTGTTCTTTAAATGTTGATAGAATTCGCATGTAAATCCGTCTGGCCCGGGAGGTTTTTTTCCCAGGCAGTTCATCAATGGCTTGTTCAATTTCTTTTTCTGAGATGGGGTTATTTGAGTATTTTACTTCCTCTTCTGTTAATCTGGGCAATTTATATTTAAGATTGTCAAATTTGTTGGCATATAGTTGGGCAAAATAATTTCTAATTGTTATTTTAATTTCCTCTTCCTTGGTAGTAGTTTCACCCTTCTCATTCTTGATACTAGTAATTTGGCTTTCCTCTCTCTTTTTTTAAATTAGATTAACCAAAGGTTTATCTGTTTTATTGGTTTTTGCATAAAACCAGCTCTTAGTTTTATTTATTAGGTCAATAGTTTTCTTAATTTCAATTTTATTAATTTTTCCTTTGGTTTTCAATATTTCTCATTTGGTGTTTAATTGAGGATTTTTAATTTGTTCTTTTTCTAGTTTTTTTAGTTGTATGCCCAATTCGTTGATCTCTTCCTTTTCTATTTTATGTATGTAAGCATTTAGAGATATAAAACTTCCCCTAAGAACTGCTTTTGCTGCATCCCATAAGTTTTAGTATGTTGTCTCATTATTGTCATTCTCTTGAATGAAAAGATCCCAGGTGGTCTTGCTCAAGCTGCGGTGGGAACTGCTTTGTGATAGACATGTCCAGCCTGTCCTTTGCTGGGTTGGAAAAAGTTTCCGGTATGGTCACTAACCTCCGATTTTAACCAGACTTAGTGATTTTCTTTCAGGTCCATTTAGGGGATGATCTCTTATATGGAATTGTCCAAGTGAAATAGTCCAGGCTTTTCTGGGGAACCCCAAGGATCTTTGTAGACCAGTCCACATCAGGGTTGGCTTTCACTTCATGACATTATGTGTTTTTGCTCCTTTGACTAGGTTGAGAAGCTGCTCTGCATGTGTCCTGTTGATTTTCATGGGATTTTCCAGTTAGATGAACGTCGCAGAGATGCTGTCATTGCTTTGGGGATTTTTCTTATCGAATCAAATCTCCAGGTATGGTTCTTATTCAAATGCATTTTCCTTGTGATCATTTACCTGGTGATGGAATGTGTGCTCAGAGTAGAACTGATTAAGTCATGACGTTAAAGAAAACAGGTTAATCGAAATAATTTAAAATCAGAAGTAAATTTTTGTGCTATAGAATTTGAATCTGGTGCACATTATTTTCATGTTTCAATAATAGATGTAGGCTTAATGAGGGTACTAAATATTTAAACACATTAAAAATGTGCTCTCTCTCTCTCTTCTTCCTTTCCTTCTCTCCTTCCCTCCTTCCCACTCTCCCTCTCTTTCTCATCCTTCCCTCTCTCTCTCTCTCTCCCCCGTCCTTTTACTGTTCCTCTCTCTTTCTCTCTCTCTCTCTCCCTCCCTCCTTCCCACCCTACCTCCTTCTCTCTCTCCTTCCCTCCCTCTGTTTTGTTTAAAACTTTTTTTTTATTGTATTTTTACAATTTTATCTGAAAACCAGATGATAATTTGGCTATTTTATTTACCAGTGGAGGTAAAGAAGGCACTGGGAAAAGAAGCATGCCCAAATTAAAGGTTGATCATTAGTATTGGAGCAAATGTTTGTCGGACTTTGTTATTAGAGAACTTCTGTTCCCAAATGATCAATATTTAAATTACTCTGTTTAACTAAAGAATCATAAGCGTTTCATAAATGTTTGAATAATAAACATGCATAGTTATTGTGATAAAGATATGTCTTTAAAATCTTAGAGTAAATGTTCTGTATTCATACTCTTTCAGATATTGCTTTCTGTCCTCCTCCCCTCAGCCCCTGTTCCAACCCTCCTTTCTCTCTTCAGGTGCCCTTCTCCTCCATCAGCTTCTCTTTCAGCAGAGACTGTCCACCTTGCTCTTCCACTTATCCTCCATTCTCTCCCTCAGACCCCACCCTTACTTCCCCAGCTCTCTGTCCGTCTTTGGCTGGCCGCCTCTATCATGCTTTGCCCGTCTTTCCTCTTCAGGCTCTGTTTCCCCATGCCTAGAATGGCCTTTGCTCTCGTCCCCAGCCCTCCTTAGTGCCCAGTTTGGGTGCACTACCTTCTCTTGGCTCTCACACCCTTGTGTGCTGGAGTTTACCTTCAGCCTTTTTGTTGCTGAACTCATGGTATCGAGGGCAGAGTCTGGCACTTACCCAGTGTTTGTGGGGTCAAGCTCAGTAATTGCTGGGAGCAGGGGTTGGGGGATAGAGCTGCTGACTCCTTTTTCAGCGTGCATCTCTTTCTTTTTCAGCACAAAGACCAAATTATCCCCTACCTTCTTCGCCTTCTGAGGGGTCTCCCCAAAGTGCATTGGATTGAAGAAAGTGCTGCGCGGAAAAAGCGAGGTGGTACCTTATTCATTTTTCTTTGAATGTGGCTGAGAAACATAAGCATGCCAAGGGCCCTTCCCACACAGGGCCATTCAGCAGTCTCATTAAACCGCAGTGTGATTTTATAGCCCAGACCCCAGTATTCAGAGTGCATGGATGAAGGCGTGTCCTCTTTGCTATGACCTGTAGACACATTGGTGCCCCTCTCCCCCACCGGTGCTCCCATACACCTTGTCCACTTAGGGACCTTTCTCATTTGTTCCCTGGCATCTCAAGGATCCCAGTGGGTGTCTACCCATTGTAATGCCATAAGACCCCCAGTCTTGTGCCCAAGTAGTGTACTTCCATGCGTCCCAGAATTCTCCTGTGGTGCTTCATCTTGGTTGGCTGGGTGGGGGTGGCAGGGAGAAGGACCTTGGCAGGGGCATTGGGCACCTGGGCAGCTTCTACTGTGACAGAGATGCTTTGAGCTTGATTCTGGCCACAGACTGAGGCTGTAAACATAAACTAGTAAGGAAGCCAACATGGGGACTATGTCATTTTGATTTTTCTTTCAGAATCAAATTTTTTCTTGGTTTATAACTTTGTTTCTTTTCTATCTTGGTTTCCAGAGAGTTCAAGAGAACCTTGAAGACCTTCATTGTTACTCTGTGTATTGGGATTATTTAGGGGCCAGGGGAGTATAGATCTTGAGTTGTGAGGGATCTCAGCCCCCCCCGCCCCAACCCCCCATCATTTTACGGAGAAGGAAGTTGGGCCCAGAGAGGTTCACCAGTCACACAGCTAGTATGTATCTGAAGGGGGATTTGAACCCAGCACTTTCTGACTAGGCCCAGTGCCCTATCCACTACACTCCTCAGGCTGCCAGCCTTCCCTGGGCAGTGGCTCCTATAGGTCATTAGTTGTTGGGGTACTGGCTCCCCTGGATCTTGGGGTTCTGATGTATCCTAAATGTCACTCTTTATTTCCTTACACTTCCTGTGTGTTTCTGTTGCTTGTAGCACCAACCCCGTAGTTTCCAGACTCAGTCACTGAATCTGAGTCTGAGAGTTGGAAGACAGCTCTGTGGGCGCCATCTTGTCACAACCCTGTGCTTGCCCCAGCATGGGTGGCCGGCCTCTGCTCGAAGGCCTAGTTCTTTTCTCTTCATAGGTATCCTCTTCAACTCTGGAACACCTGTAGTTCTTTTTTTTTTTTAGCTTTAAAAATAATATATAGTATTTATTACATAGTTTAAAAAAAAAGTAATCAGTCTGAAATGGAAATTTATAGTTTTATATTGAATCCTGTCATTATGTTCAGCTGTGCACAGGGAAATGTTCTTTTTTTTTTCATTTTGTATTTAAATTCAAAATGAATTTTGAAAAAAGAAAAAAAAAGCCTGCTTGTCTTTCTGGGTCCCTTCAATGATTAATTTCAAGTTAGAAACGAATTTAATTTAGTTTAGGTTATTTTCTATGAATTATACCTTTAGAATGGGAATAGGGCACTAAATACTTTGTTTATGTTTTCAAAGTCAGTAACATTTTTAAGTCCCTGTGAAGAAATACTGATCTGGATGCTAGGGAAAATAAAAGTTATTGATATGATACAACCTTGTCCTTATGGAATAATGAAAACTATCATAAGATAACTATCATACAAAATGATATATCTACTCATCAATCAGCTATTTAGTAAATAACAAATATGACCCAAAACATTGCTAAGTTCTCAGGATATAGAAACAAAAAAATGAAAGTCTTTGTCCTCAAGGTGATTACGTTCTAAATGGGGAGAACAAACAAATGAGATGCATACAAAATGCAGAAGTATAAATAAAACATACAAAATAAGTCCAAATACTGCAAAGAGGTTAAAGAAAGGGGACAAGACCAATATGTACAAAAATCATTACAGCAGCTGAGAACAGCAGAAAACCAGAAACTAAGAGGACACTCAGCTATCAAGGAATGGCTCAGCAAATGATGGAAAGTGAGTATAATGAAATAATATCATCCTGTGAGAAAGGATGAAATGGACAGTTTGGGAGAAGACAGAGAAGTGAATGAACCAAGGAGAACAATTTATACGATGACAACGTAACTCTTTTCCACTGTAGAAACACAGTTTTAAAAGAATTTAGAACTCTGGTCAATGCAAACGTAAGCCACAAATCCAGAAGACTGAAGATAAAACATATCATTGATGGACTTAAAATGCAGAGAGTGATACACAATTTTGGATCTGGCCTGCGCGGAATTACACGTTTGGAATGAGGATTTTCTTTTTCTTTTCTTTTAAATTGCTCAGTGATATGGGCAGTGAGAGGGAGAGATAATAAGTGTTTGTATGAATACGTTAAGACCAAACCTAAATTTTGGGAGGTAGAATGTAAGCAGCTGGAGCAGAGTGTAAGGCACGGCTTTGCATGGAAGGCGGCTTCGGAGCAGCGTTCTTAAGAAAACTGGGGATTCTGAAGAGGCAGAACGGGTGAAGAAGTTACCCGTTCCCAGAGGAGGGAAGGAGATAAGAGCATCATAGAAACACGAACGAGACGAACATGAGGTCTGAGAGAAGTCGTGGTTCACTTGGGACGCCTCTGGTTCTTGGGGAGTTTGGGGTGACTTCCGCCTTGGCTTGTCGGCTCACCGCGGACTCCGCCTCACCTCTTGCTCCCTGATGGGCCGAGCTGACCGATGTTGCCTCCTCAGTCTTCCATCTGACGCCCCGAAGATCCCCGAACAGCTCTCCTGTTCCCTTCGGTCTTATCTTCTCCAGGCCAACGTCTCTGGTTCCTTCAGCAAACCCCAGTGTGCAGAGTCTCTGGACCCTGTTGCCCTCTGCTCCTTCTCCAGCTCATCTGCGCCTGAGCTTTTGGTACCCCAGAGGGGTTCTGGATGCTGTTCCCAAAGAACCTCCCAGCCTCAGAGAGCTTGAGCCAGAAGGGGCTTCCGAGGCCATCTCATCCAGCCCTCTCATTGTACAGATGAGGGAGCTGAGGCTGAGCTGGGATTCACACCCTGTCTTAGAGTTTCAGATCCAGCCACTTTCCTCCACACGTGGTGCTGAAGCCTGAGGCCTCTCTCGCCCTGAAAGGGGCTCTCCCTGCGCTCTGTTATTTGTCGTTGTTTTAAGGAGCATTGCCTTCCCCATCATAACTGGAGGTGTGACAAGGTGTCCTTCTGAGAGGGAGCCCTGGTGCCCGTGGAGACAGGCTGCTGTCCTTGGCTGCAGCCAGGAGCGGACAGCAGGTTCCCCTTCGTGAGGGGCTCTGCTCTCTGGGCCTTCTGGAGGCAGGGACCCTTCGGCTCTCACTAGCTCTCGAGGAGCCCTTCGCTAAGCCCCTAGGCCGCCGTAGCTCCTTGCCATCATGACCAACACCTCCCCTCCTGTGATCCGTCCTCCTCCTCCTTGGCTCCTTCAGTGTGAGGCCTTCTGCCTGGCCCAGTTCTTTTTCCTCCTTCAGCTCCAGGCCTCTTGAAATTCAGGCTCTGACCCTTGCCACAACTCCTGCGTCTTCCAGGTGTCGTGTTGTTGTCCTTCCTCTTTCTCCTCTGGGGGGAGCATGATGAGTTCAGTGGGGGCAGAGTGAACTTCAGATACTGACAAGATCTCGAGGGCGGGGGCAGCTAGGTGGCGCAGTGGATAGAGCACCGGCCCTGGAGTCAGGAGGACCTGAGTTCAAATCTGGCCAGCTGTGTGACTCTGGGCAAGTCACTTAACCCCAATTGCCTCACCAGGAAAAAAAAAAGATATCGAGGGCACCCACAATTTCACTTTTTATCTCGGAACTCTCAGCTTCAAGTACAGGAGGATATTTGTTCAGTTAGTGCCTGTTGAACTATCTCTGTGCGTGGCAGGGAAGGCGTACGGGGTGTTCCTAATTCTTTTTTTTTTTTTTTTGGTCAATACTTTTTTTTTTAATCTGTATAGCCATTACTTTTATTTTTTTTCCCTGACAGATTCTTTTTTTTTTATTAATTTATGTTGGTTTATCAATAATCACTTCCATATGCTTTTGAGTTGAAAACTTTTCTCCCCCTTCCTCCTCACCACCCTCCCCAAGACAGCGCATAATCTGATATAGACTATACATTTACATTCATATTAAACATATTTTCACATTAGTGATGTTGTAAGTAGAAATTAAAAACAATAGGAGGAACCATCAGAAAGAGGAAACAAAACTCAACAGAAGAGAAAAAAATTAGCAATTTGGCTTCCATAGTTCTTTCTTTGGATGTGGATAACATTTTCTGTCATAAAGCCTCTGGAGATGTCTTAGATCCTTGTATTGCCAGGAAGGGTTAAGTTTATCAATATTAGTCATCATGCAATGTGGCTGTTATTGTGTACAACGTTCCCTTAGTTCTGCTCACTTCACTCAGCATCAGACAATACAAGTCTTTCTAGGTTTTTCTGAAGTCAGCCTGTTCATCATTTCTTATAGCGCAATAGTATTCCATCACATTCATATACCACAGCTTGCTCAGCCATTCCCCAGTTGATGGGCATCCTCTCAATTTCCAATTCTTTGCCACCACAAAAAGAGCTGCTATGAATATTTTTGTACATGTGGGTCCTTTTCCCATTTGTGTGATCTCTTTGGGATATAGCCCTAGAAGTGCTATTGATGGGTCAAAGGGTATGCACATTTTTATAGCCCTTTGGGCATTTCCAAATTGCTCTCCAAAATGGTTGGATTATTTCACAACTCCACCAACAATGCATTAATGTTCCAGTTTTCCCACATCTTTTCCAACATTTATCATTTTCCTGTTTTGTCATGTTGGCCATTCTGATAGGTGTGATGTGGTACCTCAGAGTTGTTTGGATTTCCATTTCTCTAATCAATAGAGATTTAGAGCATTTTTTCATATGACTATAGATGGCTTTAATTTCTTCATCTGAGAACTGTCTGTTCATATCCTTTGACCATTGATCAATTGGGGAATGGCTTGTATTATAAATTTGACTTAATTCTCTATATATTTTAGAAATGAGGCCCTTATCAGAGAGACTGGTTGTAAAAATTCTTTACCAATTTTCCACCTTCCTTCTAATCTTGGTTGCATTGATTTTGTTTGTGCAAAAGCTTTTCAATTTAATGTAATCAGAATTATCTGTTTTGCTTTTTGTAATGTTCTCTATCTCCTGTTTGGTCATGAATTCTTCTGTTCTCCATAGATCTGACAGGTAAACTATTCCTTGCTCTCCCAGTTTGCTTATAGTATCAGCCTTTATATCTAAATCATGAACCCATTTTGCCTTTATTTGGGTATATGGTGTGAGATTTTGGTCTATGCCTAGTTTCTGCCATACTCTTTTCCAGTTTTCCTAGCAGTTTAGGTCAGCCCATATTGCTCCAGGTAGAGGTGGTCGCCTGCACTTAGCAGATGTGCTCTCTGTGTGCACAGTCTGTGATCCGGCATGGGGCATGGTCGCTGGCCTGGGCTCAGCCCTGACTCTGCCGATCCTTCTCCCTGACTCTTTCTGCTCACAGTGACTTGGGATACCCCCTTCAGAGAAGGCCAGCCCTTTTCTCTTACTGAATCCCTCTGACCTTTCTCTGCTTCTGCACTAGAAAAGCAGCCTCTTTCTGTGCCTGGTTTAATCCATATAGATTGATCAAAGACACTTGGTTCTTTTTACGTCTGGCAGTCTGTGCTTAGAGCTCAGTGATTTCTGGCCTCCCTTGCTTTACCTGATGAAGGGGAGCTCCAGCCCCAGCTCAGTCAGGTGGGGGATGGCACCGAAGACATACTGAGGCCCCTCCCGCAGGGTACTGTTGAGAGAGGACACTCTATGAGCTTTGGGGACAGAACTCCCTCAGGCAGCTGCTAGTGTCAGGGCACACATCAGCCTCTCAGAGTCTCAATTTCCCCAGCTGTGAAGTACTTGCTGACTTGCAGCATCCTTCAGAGCAAGGTGTTTTGTAAGGCTGAGCTGCTCTGCACGTGTGACCCCTCTGCCCATGCCTGAGACTGTGACTGGTCAGAGAGCAGACTTCTCTCTGGCAGCCTGTCTGTGGGGAGCCTGACTGCTATCATGACCCTCCAGAGGTCTTGCCATGAGGAATCCCAGGCCTGGGGCACTACTGGTGCCTGCTGGAGCCTGCTGGACCGTGGGCTTCTTTGAGCGGGCGGTCCTCTGACTGGGTCCCTTCCTCCGCGCGAGGGCTGGGCGAGATGGCCCTCATCCCATACTATGGACTTTACAGAGGATCCTTGGGAGGAAAGCCTAGAAAGGATGAGCTGGTTTTAAGGCAATACTTGAGATCTGGGCATGTTTTTCTTACCGAAAAGCTGATGGTGAATCCCAGAGCTGCTGTTTCTTTGGTGGATTGTACCCTGCATGGATGAGAATGAGAGCAGCGCCAAGGGGTGGCCTGATCAGTGGTTTAGTACCGTCTCAGGCATTTTGGTCACGTTTCAGCGTAGTTGCTGCTTAGACACATGATGCTGTTCCTCCAGCAAAGCCACCTGCCTCTGTCCAGGCATGGAGGCACCTCTGGTTCTCAAAGGCTGGGCCAGTCAGACAGTGTCCTGTCATGACCACAGGGACAGGCTCTGGCTGTCGTCAGGGGCCCAGAATGGCTCAGGTCACCCATGTCAACATCCTGCTTTCTCTGGTTTATGTTTCTGAGAAGACATGAGGTGCATGGAAGATGTTATGCCAGGAGGCCAGATGAGGGGAGGCTATCCACTGGCTCAAGAATCGTGTTAGTTTAAATCTAGAGGTTTGTTTTTTTTTTTGTTTGTTGTTTTTTGGTGAGGCAGTTGGGGTTAAGTGACTGGCCCAGAGTCACACAGCTAGTGAGTGTTATGTGTCTGAGGTCGGACTTGAACTCAGGTCCTCCTGATTCCAGGGCCGGTGCTCTATCCTCTGCGCCACCTAGCTGCCCCTAAATCTAGTTTTTGAAGGGGCCATTGAGATACTCAGGTTAAATTTCTGTCTTTTTTGAGTCTGACCCATTGGTAGCAGGTCATTAGCACATTTCCTCAGAAACTTTGCTTGAGGGCCCATGTCAGAGCCTCTGTAGTGGCCTGGATGGCTAATGGGCTGGACTCTCCAGGTTATTTTTTCCCCCCAATTACATGGAAAATCAATTTCTAACACTCTTTTAAAAACAAATTTGGAGTTCCAAGTTCTCTCCTTCCCCGCCTCTACCCCTTATTGAGAAGGCAAGCAATTTTATATAGATTATACATGCACAGTCATGCAAAACATTTGCATGTTTGTCATGTTGTGAAAGAAAACACAGACCAAAAAAAAAATCCTCAAGAAAAAGAAAGTTCAAAAGAAGAGTGCTTCAGCCTGCCTTCAGACTGCATCAGTTCTTTCTCTGCAGGTGGAGAGTGTCTGTCATCATGCTGGGAATTGTCTCGGACCGTTGTATTGATCAGAGTAGCGCCATCCTTCACAGCTGATCCCGTTGCTCTTACTGTGCGCGAGGTTCTGCTTGTCTGTTTAAGTCTTTGCAGGTGTTTGTGAAGCCATCCTGCTCATCATTTCTTACAGCACAGTAGTATTCTGTTACATTCGCATTCCACAGCTTGGATGGGCCTTCCCTTAGTTTCCAGTTCTTGGCCACCACAGAAGGAGCTGCTGTAAATGTTGTCCTCCATGTGGGTCCTTTTCCCATTTGTGTGATCTCTTTGGGATACAGCCCTAGCGGTGGTATTGCTGAGTCAAAGGGTTTCGTAGCCCTTTGGGACTCACTCCAGATCAGAGTGGGTGGATCAGATGACAGCTCCGCCCGCATCGCGGTAGTGTCTCAGTTTTCTCTGGGGGTCATTTCGGTTGTGCTTGTGTCTCATAGGCATGCTCCCTGTCGCAGAAAACTTCAGCTTCTGCTTGGTGACTTTGTTGTCAGACGTGGCCTATCGGGATTCTGCCCTCCGGAACGAGGTGAGATTTGCTGCAGTTCCCAAGCCTTCTCTTTCTCCAAGTCCCACCCAAGAGCAAGAAACGTTCATGTACTAAGGTAGGACACTGGGGAGCAAGCAGTAAGCTTAGAACCCGAACCCTTGAGTGCTGCCTCTTCTAACCAGCAAAGACCAACCGAGTTCCTGCTCCGTGCCAGGCTCGCCAAACAAAGCCCAGACGGCCCTGCCCTCCAGGAGCCCTGGGCACTCTCTACCAAACTGTTCTCCCCTTGGTCTTGAATCATCTGGGGCAAGCAGTGAGTGAAGCTTCTCTCCTTCAGGGGCCAAGCTCTTAAAGTTTCAGCCATTTGTGATGGAAGTCATTTTAAATGCCTTGTTAAACAAAGTAGTCTACTGAACCAAAATGGACCTTTTCTTTGGCCCGGGGTTGTCATCGTGAGCATTTGTCCCTGTGCTGTCTGTTGATCCGGGGAAGTCCTTGAAGCTCTTCCCTTCCCCCTCCCCGGCCACCTCCACCCTTGTGCTTCTGAAGTCCTTGCACCTACTTTTCATTGTTTTTTTGGGGGGGGGGGAGTGGTCCTACTCCCTCGTTCTCAATTGTCCCCTTTTGTTGTCATGCCTGCCTTTAACCTCCCTCTGCCCCTGCTCCCAGTTGGCCTCTTGATCTCTACTGAAGGTTGGGCAGATCAGATGACCAGCGTGTCTTCAGAAGGCTCTGAGGGGAGGCCCAAGAGGACGTGAAGCAGTGCTGGGGAAGGACGGGACAGGAGAGGGCCTCTTCCTTGGGGTGGAGGGCTAGCATTGGGCGCTGCACCCTTTTATTGATGTGTGATTGATTCTTTTAGCCTTTGGATTGATTTTTTTCTGTTTTCTTGGCCGTTAGATTTTCGACACAGTTTTGCACGTTTTGAACATCCTTTTGGGCATGTGCAAGGCTTCAGAGATACAGGAAAAGGGTATGTTTGTTGTTCTGTGATGGCGTGGTTCCACGGGATGGCGGTTACTGCCCACCTTGACCCCCTCTACTCTCTCTCTAAAGGTCAAAGTTGATGGTTGAGGTCTTGTTCCAACTCTCTTTTTTGTAGCTGCTGACCGTCTTTGGGATCCGTTTGGGATGTTGACATTTAGTCACACGTGCGTCCCTTCTCTCGAAGTGTGGGGACTCACTCCCTGGGATGGCACAGTGGTGGTGGTTTTTCTCTGTAACGTCCCAGGCCTGTGTAGCCCAGCCGAAAAGGAGGAGCACGTTGGGCTTTCACAGAGCAGATAAATGGCACTGTGCGGGGAAGGCTAGTCTGTGACTTTGGATAGAGAGGACAAAGGGGCCAGCTGTGCGGGGCCAGGCACCCTTCAGCTCTCCCCAGCTCAGCTGGCTCGTGTGTCCGGTGGGGGCTATTGTGAGGAAAGCATAACACCCACATCCAGTGCTAAGGGAATGGAAGCTTCAGGGTGATGTTCTGGCTTCCTGCCTTGCCTGGGAGGGGCCTAGCCCTTCTCTGCCCATCTGTAAAGTGGCCATAATGAAACTTATCCTATTCCTCGTCCACCAGGGTTGGTCAAAGTCAAGTGAGGTCAAGAGTGGGAGAGAGCCCTGAGCCTGCCACCAAGTCCTCCCCGAAGGCCTGGCATGGCCCATTCACGACTTAGTATTTGTAATTGAGGCCCTGGCCACGCAGCCTGTCTTCTTTCTGCCAGGATGATGCCGTCAGTGCTTGTCCTGGGGCACACACTGAAGCGAGTGGCTCCTGCCTGACGCACCACGGCCAGCCCCCAGGAGGCCTTGCCTGTTCTGGGAGGGTCTGCCCCGGCCTGAGCTGACTCTGATTTTGTGGATCTGGGGTCCTGCTGTTTCCGCCGTAGGCAGCAGCCGCTCCTAGAGGGCTGGGGCTGCGCTCTCTTCTCCGGGCCCCCAGCCCTGACCACAGGGCCCGGCATTTGGGGAGTGACTCACTCGCTTGTCCCACGTGACTTTGCTTCCCTTAAAGCGTCTTTCTCATGTCCCTTTATTCCAGAGTACTTGTGTCGATACACAGTGCCCTGCCTGCTGGGCATCTCACGAGCCTTTGGGCGCTTCAGCCTCACCGACGAGCCCCTCCTCTCCAAGCTTTTCCCCCAGATCCCACCACAGTCCCTGAAAGTCCCAGAGGAACTGGAGGGCATTCGGAGACGCTCCTTCAATGACTTCCGCTCCATCCTGCCCAGCAATTTACTGACCGTGTGTCAGGAAGGCACCTTGAAGAGGAAAACCAGCAGCGTCTCCAGCATTTCTCAGGTGTGTCTGGGTCTCTGGGCTCCTGAGCTCGAGCTCAGGCGCTCTCTCGTCCACGGCCTGACTCACTGATCACCAGCCTTACAAACCGTTCACCAGCGAGCAGATCCCTCAGCCGGGCACGAATCCATGCCAATTGCTTAGTGGCTGAGAAAGCCGGTCCCCCTTCCTGAGCCCAGCCCCTCCTGCCTGTCCTGGGATCCCTGCATGGCGGCTGCCCATGTTGGCCCCTGAGTGTGGGGATGGGCACTGGAACCTGGCTTTGCCTTCTGTGCCTCACGCTATGTTTTTATCTCCCTCATGTTGATGATTTTCAAAGGCATTATAGAATTGGATGATATGTGACCCTGGGCAAGTCACTTGGCCTCTCTCCTGTTTGTTCGTCTGCAGATAATAATCGTACCTGCCCCACCCCCTCTAGGGCTTCTGGGAGGATCAAGTGAGATAATATTTGTAAAGCTCTTTGCATACTTCCCGTGTGGTCTCAGTGCCCGCTGTCATCATTATCATTTCTGCGGCAGCTAGGTGGCGCTGTGGATAGAGCACCGGCCCTGGATTCAGGAGGACCTGAGTTCAGATCCAGCCTCAGACACATAACACTAGCTGTGTGACTCTGGGCAAGTCACTTAAACCCCATTGCTTAGCCAAAAAAAAACAAAAACAAAAACATCATGATCATTTCCCCGTCTTGATGGTCAGATTATCCTCAGAAAGAACCGCTTTGCTGTCCTACTCTTCTCTGTATGTGCCTTTTTTTTCTCCTAACACCATCAATATTGAGTTTTGCTGCTTTTCAGTGTTTTTACAAGGTTGGTGGCAGCAGTCCGTCCCAGAAGGATGATCAGGTATTACTGTACAGTCAGGTATTGGTTTAGTTGTCTTCTGTCTTCTCATCACTGGGGAGGGAGCAGAAGATGCAGGTCATGTAATCATGGCACCCAGCACCCCGCCGTCTTGGGACAGTGAATAGGGTAGGGGACTGTGGGGGCCTCAGCTCGGAGGCAGCCTTCATGGAGGACAGCCCAGCTGAGTCTGCCCTCCAGAGAAGGCCTTTTCAAAATCAGGAGGGTCTGAGGGTTGCTAAAATCTTCTTTTCCTTTCCTGACTTGGCCTGGGCCCAGCAAAGGCCTGTGCCCTCCCAGGACTGACCAGGAGAGGCTGAAAGCCAGAGGGTTGCCCCTTTGGGCAGGCCGGCCAGGGTTTCTGGCTGCAGCGGATTAGGATGGTCAGCTGGCTCCAACCTTGTTTCTTGTTCCCCATTCCAGGTGAGCCCCGAGCGAGGAACAGCGCCCCCCAACTCTCCTGGAGGATCCATCTTTCACTCCTTGGAAGGTAGGAGCACTTCTTTGACCTGATGGTTGGTGGGTCGGAGGGTTGGGTTTCACAGCGTCCTGGCATCTGGCTTCTGGGGGCTCCCACAGTCTGGGTGTTCCTTGGGACGTGGAGGCATGCCTGAAGATGCTGCAGAAGGCATTTCATGGCCACGAAGAGCCACGGGGAGCAGTGTCTGCTTCATTGTTCTAAAGTCACAGGGTCCCTACAAACTGTCCTCCCATCCTACCCCCGAGCAGCTCCTCGGACCATGTGCTGAGCAGCCCCTGCCCATCAGAATGGGGCAGCTCTGTCACATGCCCCGCCTGCCTAGCAGGCCTGTATCCCCCATGAGCTCTCCATAGAATCACAGGCTTGGAATAGACCCCAAATGATCTCCCACCCACCTACCCACCCACTTCCCCACCGCAGGAATCCAACAGGGCACTTTCTGCTTCAGTCTTTCCAGTGACGGGGAGCTCGCTGCCTACAGAGATCTCAGAACAGCCGCTCCTCCCACCTTGTGCTCCTGGCCGCCCCTCATGTGGCCGCCCTTCAGGTCTCTGAAGGCAGCTCCTAGCTCCTTTGGCCCGTGTCTCTGATTCCTTCATCTCTTCTTGGCTGTTGACTTGCCGTTTTTTTCTTAGAGCTGTCAGAAGCACCTGGCTGTTGTGCTGTGCCTAACGTACCTGGGGCAGGCTTAGGGCTTGGGCTGGGATGGCCTTTGGAAGCATTCCCCCTTGGGAACCTGAGGCGTGGTCTTAGAGCCCAGCCTTCTGACGCCCTCGTATCCTGCTTTCCTCAGCAGCACTCAGAGGTCGTCATGACTTCCATAGGATAGGGAAGCTTCTTGGCACAGGGATGCTTCCTTATTTTTTTTCTCAGCTCCTGGAATAAGACTTTGCATAGAATAAGCTCTTGATAAAGGCTTGTTGAGTAGAATCATTGCAAAGTAACTTTCTTTTCTGTAGTTTTTCACTTAAATCCATAATGCAAGTTCGTGGTTCGTGTTTGATCTGGAATACATTCGCGCCTTCTCCACTGCCTTTCTGCTAAGCATTAGGGGGGATGGGAGTTCATGGAGTTCTTGGCCTTTTGCCCCTCGCCCCCAGGTCCTTAGAGGGCGGTGAGCACCTCCAATTTCCATTGTCAGGATTCTGGGTGATGGAAGGTTCCCTCCTTCCCTCCTGAACAGGCTCCGTCTTGCCATTCCCTTTGATGTGGGCATCGCATCTGAGGTACAGACTGCGGTCTAGCCGCTAGCTCTGTGCCTCTTGCCTCTCTGCCCCCGTGGTTTTGTCCCATTGTTCTGCCTGGGCTTCCCTCCCGTAGGGCTCTTTATGCCTTCTTAGGGCTGTGGGGGGCTAGCTCTTCCAACCTAGAGTGAAGGAATCCCCACTCTAACAGAGCCTCTCTTCATGCCAGGAGCACTTTACACATGCTAATGCCTCTGATCCTTCCTCACAACCCCCAGGAGGCAGTGTTATCCCCATTTTACAGATGAGCAGATAGGTGGAGAGAGGTCCAGTGGTGCCCAGAGTCACCCATCCAGGAAATGTCAGAGGCTGAATTCACTTTCAGGTCTTTCTGACTCCCAAGTCATGCCCTCTATCCGCTGCTCCTCCAGCGGCCTGGGGTCTTCGGGCAGACCTCCCAAGACCTTCACCTCCTCCTCGAGAGGAGCCCATCACACCTGGGGGCACGGCTCATTCTTTTGGAATTTTTCCTTATAGGAATCCTAAATGGGTCTTTCTGCAACTTTTCTCTTATTGTTTCTGGTTCTGCCCTTGGGATCCAGCAGAACCATGGTGATCCCTCGTCCGTATGAGATCCCTTTTCATCATGTTCCCCCTGCATCTTCTCCTCTCCAGGCTAACCATGCCCAGGTTCTTCAGTCAGTGAATCCTTCAGATGAGTCAGTCGGTAAATGTTTATTAGGTGCCTACTAAGTGCCAGGCACTGTGTTAAGCAATGGGGATGGAAAAAGGCAAAAAGTCCCTGCCCTCGAGGAGTTCACAATCTAATGGGGTAGAAAACCAGCAAACAAATATGTATAAACAATCTGTAGACAGGACAAATAGGAAAAAATTAAGGGTGAGCTAGAATTAGGAGGGGCTGGGAAAGGCTTCCTGCAGAACATGGGATTTATTGGGCCTTAAAGGAAACCAAAGAAGGTAGGAAGCAGAGGGCTCCAGGCGTGGGGGCTGGCCCGAGAGCATGCCTAGAGCTGAGAGACGGAGTCTTGTTCATGGAAGAGCAGGAGACCAGCATCGCTGCTTCAGAGAGGATGTGGTGGGGAGTCAGTGGTGAGAAGACTGGGGAGGTAGGAGGAGCTGAGTCAGGAAGGGCGCTGAAGGCCGATGAGAGCGCCATGGGCCTTTGTTGAATAGGAGTGATGGGGTCAGAGCTGTGCCTTAGAAGAGTCACCTTAGTGGCTGAATCTCCATTTCCTCTGGTGAACTGGAGTGGGGAGAGCCTTGAGGCAGGCAGACCCACCGGCAGTTCTTGCAGTAATCCAAGCCTCAGGTGATGAGGGCCCATACCAAGGTGGGGCAGCGTCAGAGGAGAGGAGGCAAGTCGAAGGGCCCTGGCTCAGAGATTGGACATGGAGGGTGAGAGAGAGCGGAGAGGCCAAGATGCCTCTTAGGTTGTGAGCCGGGGGATGGGGACGAGGGTGGTGTCCTCTACGGAAATAGGTAAGTTAGAAGTTGGGGAAGGTTTGGGAAAAGATAATGAGTTTGGTTTTGGACATATTGAGTTTAAGATGTCTACTGGACATCTAGTTTGAGATGTCAGAAAGGCAATTGGAGACCCAGGGTTGGAGGTCAGCAGAGAGGTTGGGGCAGGAAAGATGGTTTGGAGTCATCAGCATAGAGATGGTCATTTAATCTATGGGGGCTGTTGAGGTCACCCAGTCAAGTAGTCGAGAAGGAGGAGAAGGGAAGAGGGCCCAGGACAGAGCCCTGGGGGACACCTGGAGTGAGGATCCAGCACAGGAGAGAGATGGTGTCCTGAGCTCTCAGAGAGAAGAGAGGGTGATGGACAGCGCCCACGGCTGCAGAGAGGCTGAGGAGGAGGAGGAGGATGGAGAACAGGCCCTCACCAAGGAGTCAAGATGGCGACAAGAGGAGAGAGTAGTTAGTGCAGGAGAGAGTCTAAGGGAGAATTTCAGAGTCAAGGGAAGGAGGTCACAGTGGGGGTGAAGAGTAGAATTTTGTAAGAGAAGGCAGAGGGAGAGATGAAAAGTCAATCGATCATGGTCTCATTGGGGGATTTCAGGATTCTTGGACATGGGGGTGGTGGCAGGATCAAGGGTCTGAGCCTATGGGTGTGGCTGACGTCGGGGTCAGGGGAGGCACTCATGGGAGGACCTGTGTGTTTAGGGTACTGAGGGAAGGTTAGGATGTTTATGGAAGTGCCTAGTATGGGGGCAGGAGCTGGGGAGGAGACAGACTGAGCCAGGCACTGAACTTGAGGTCCTTTACCATTCAGGTGGCTGGCCCTCCTTCGGACACTCTCCAGCTCCCAGGTTCCTTATCTGTAGTGCCCACGCCTGAACCCAAGACTCAGATGGGCTGACAGACTGAGGGCGCCTCCCTGTTCTCCTAATGGAGCCCCAGATGTCATTAGTCTTTGGGCTGCCACATCCCCCTGCCGACTCATACTGAGCTTGTGGTCCACCAGAAACCCTGAATCTTTTCCAGGAAAACTTCTATTTATCTGTTCTGCTCGCCCTCTTATGCCTGTGAAGTTGATTGTTTTGATATATATTTATCCCTATTGATTGAGTTTCATCTTCTCAGTTAGCCCAGTGCTCCGGCATGGATCTTGTCCAGTACGTTAGATGCCCTTTCAGGCTTTGAGTCATCTGCCAAATGGATGAGCCTTCCATCGAGGCCTTCGTCCACATCTTTGTTAAGTAGCTGTAGCCCTGCTGTACTCCATCAGAGACCTGCCCCTCCAATGTCCGTCTCCTGAACGGTCACCTCTTGCACGTCTTCTACAAGATAACGTTCTCCAAAGCTTTGCTAATGTCCAGGTCGACCTTTTCCACGGCATTCCTCTTTATTTGCAAGTTTAGTCATTTTTCCAAAAAAAGGAGATGAGCTCCGCCTGGCGTGGCCTGTCCTTGATGAAGCCAGCCTGGTGGAGACCACCTTCACTAACCATTTCTTCATTATCACTGAAAATGAGCTTTCTCTCGGTCCCACTTTCTGCCCCTTTGAAAAAGAAAGAAAAAACATCCCGAATAACAAATGTCTGGAGGCGGTCTGGCCTTTCTCTGGATCATCCCCTGTCCTTGGCATGGTCTCTGCTCATGGGATGGGTCTAACAGATGCCCCTTGGCGGCCTGCCTGGCCTGGGCCCGGCCCGGAGGCAGGGGCCTCGGGGAGAGGGCTGATGGGGTCTGGCCTTTATTCTCCTCCGCAGGGCCTCTGTTTCCTGAGGGGCATGTCCTGGAGCCAGACTGCTACTTGTTCACAGTTAGCTCCAGCTTCTCCGTGTCTCCACTCGTCCTTGGCACCAGCTCTGCCGAGTACAAGGTTCCCCTGGAAATGCTCCGTGACCTCCTTACCTTGGTAAGTGCCACGGAGCCCTCCCAGGGGCCTCCCTGCTTTGCGGGGAGCCAGCCAGGAGCGCACGGCACCGATTCACAGATGAAGGGCAGAGCGGGACTGGGAAGCATCAGCGTGTGGGGCCGCATCTCACACCAGGCTTCTGCTCTCCCCCCCCAGACGTTGCCGCCTCACGGGCAGAGGCACTTTCTCTGCTCAGCAGAGCTGGTGCTCAGTGAGTGCTTAGCAAATGCTTATTACCTTTTTAAAAGCTGTTTGAAATGCAGGATTTTGTAGAGACTCTCTTTGGGGAAAAGGTGGGAGGGAGGTGGGCACGTGGGGATGAATTTGCCTTTTCCTCTGGGGCTGCCGACAGCTTTGGAGGAGAGCGGATAGCCATCCCTCATCAATGACAGGACCCTAAGGAATTACTAAGAGAGAGTGGACACCGCCCCAGATGTCTCAGGTTCCCCCCCCCCCAAGTGTTAGAAACTGTTTTTGTATCCTGAAGTTTATTTTTAATGCACAGCCACGTAAAGAAACAGGGATGTTTGGGATGTTCTGAGCTTGGAGTTTGATTTCTTGTTCCTTGATAAGAAGAAGTGAGGGAGGTGGGAGGTGACCACAGAAGCTCGAGACACTTTTCCCCATACATCCTCGGATCTTTGAGTTGGGAGGGGCGCTGCGGTCCCCTCAGCCACTGTATGTGTCTGCTCGTCGTTGTCCCAGACCAGCAGCCCCCTGAGGGACAGAGAATGAAGCCTCAGCAGGCAGCCTGCACGTTATCGGACAGCCCTGAGTGTTAGAAAGTCCTTCTTCCCGCAGGCCCCTTTCCACCGTCCGAATCTTGCCCTCAGAATGTACTTGAAGTTACTTGAATCATTGCAACACACCATCTCAGGAAACAGGGAATTTCTGCATTTAAATCTGCATTGAAGTTTTCTTATAACTCACTTCACTTTTCTCCTGAGAGTCAGCATGTCATTTGTTGCATGTCATCTCTTAATAGTTTAGACTTCTTGAAATGCCCATAGTGAGTAGGAAGGAAAACAATGGAGGTAGCATGCCTGCAGAAAGCTGCACGCACAAGCAGTTGCTCCCAGAGCCCCCGTGGCGCGTGCCCCATGTGTGGTGCCCGGCCTCTCAGGCGCTTCCCCAGAGTGATGACACCGGGCTTCCCAGGATGCCCTTCTCACCTGCTCTGGGGGCTCCAGGAGCCTCTGTCAGCCTGTGCTGGGAATCCCCTCCGCGTAAGCCCCTGGATCATCTGCGTGTGCCCGGGCCCTCCTCACACTGGTGTTTCTCTGTGCAGCGGTGGGATCAGAGCAAACCCTTGCAGATGACGTGCCCCAGCTGTAGTTGGGACTGGCTGATGGCTCCACAGATGGTAACCATTGGCATTCTGTGCCCCGGGTTTTGTTTGACCTAGTGGTTTTTTCCTTTGTTTCTTTGGTAGGTGGAGAAGATAGTGGAGGAGTCTGTTCTCAAAGCCTTAGACGCTATTGTGACTGCTGTCACGGAGGTGGGTGACGTGCGTGTTTGTTTGGAGCTGGGAAGGACCTTAGAGCAGGGGATGTCAGGTCTGGGAGGGGCCTTAGAACATGGGCCTTGGAGTGCTAGTTCTCTCCAGAGCCTGAGAATTAATCTAGACCTGGTCTTGCTCATTTTGCTGCTTGGGAACATGGGATTGACTCGGGGACAAGGTGACTTGTCCAAGGTCACACTGAATTCGGGGTAGAGTCTGAACAGTTAGAAAACCCGTCTCCAGACTTCTGTCTCTGCAGCTGCTCCCTGTGTAAGACAGGCATCTCCCGGGCTTCAGGTCTCTGTCAGAGGGTCAGAAGGGACATTTTTTTCTGGCAGTCAGCCAGCTGCCTTTCCAACGACACACATTCTTACTGGCTGTGTGAGGAAGGAGCCTGGGAGACGGGGACATTTGTTTCTTTTAATGGGCTTGAAGTGTGTGGTTTGTTCCCTGTTTTCTGTCTTAACTAATGGAGGATAATGGGCATACTAAGTCATCAGAATCCCTTCTGGGGTGGCCTGTAATGGGAATGGTACCAGTCAGCAAACTGAGTCAGGGAGTTCGTGTGCCAGGGCTCGTGTTCTAGAGTGGGGGAACCCCTACCCCTGGGGATCAGTACTGAGCCAGTGCAAGGTCTGAGGAGGGGACGGCATTCGAAGCTGGCAGGAGGTGACAGGTGGGTGCCTGGGCACAGCCTCCTTTACACGCGGCCATGCTCACGGTCCTGCCCCGCACTGGGCAGAGGAGAGAGCGACGTTCTGCGTGTGCTTCTTCAGCAGCCCTTGCTCAGGCTTTGCTGAACCAGGTGGGGACCCCTGAGTGTGGGGGTGTGTGTAAAAGCAGCAGCTAATGGGAGCGGTCTGGCCCACTCTTGTTTCTCATCTCATGTCAGCTCCCTGAGGCCAGGCCTGGTCTCCGTGTGTGTGCCCCGCAGTGCCTGCCTGTGCCGGGAGAGGAGACGTGGGCAGTGCTTCTGAGCGTGCCAGGCTCTTTCCACACATGCCTCCTCTGGCCCCAGGTTCCAGAGTTCACCGCTTTCCCCCAGGCTTAGCCCGAGTCCTGACCCGGCCAGTAGCTGGTGTGTGACAGGCCCCAGGGCCTTTCTCTGCTGCTGCATTTGGAGTAGGCCGTCAGAGGGTCCTCCAGGTCTGAGGAAGGAAAAGGAAGGTCAGACCAGGGGAGCGTGGGTGTTTGACCTCAGCACCTCAGTGGTCAGGCAGCATTGATGAACGGTGTGTGGGAAGGCACCGGCCGTGTCCCGGGCTGGTGAATCCTCCGTCATGGCTCAGGCGGCATCCGCCTGCTGGCGCGTGGTGGTGGGGAGGCCAGAGCAAGAGCAGGCCCGTTTGATGCGAGCCTGGCCAGCCCCTGAGGGGAGGTCTCTGTGTCTTCTTTCAGGCCAACCCCAACATCGATCTGTACTACTCCACCTTCAGTGATCCTCTCTACGTCACCATGTTCAAAATGCTGAGGGACACCTTGTACTACATGAAGGGTGAGTGATGGTGGCACACAGAGGGGCTCTCCTGCCCTGAGGAGGGGGTGCCGAGGCTGCCTTCCAGGATCAGGCATTGGTAAGATCTTCCAGTCTGGACCTGCGAGGTGCCTGAGAGTGTGTCCAGGTAGGGTGGCCTGAGGCTTCAGCGGCCGCACAGCCCAGCCCACTTCCCCAGCCTGGCCGGACCGGCCATTGTGGAGCCTCAGCTCGCTGACCCCGGGGAGAGGAATGACCTTCCGCTGCGCTTAGGGCCCACCTCAGCAGCTTCTTCCTCATGGTGCCCACCAGGCCCTTGCCATCCCTGCGCAGGATCCATTATCAAGTGCCAGGAGGCTTGTCTTGGGGCTTTGCTGTTTAGGTGAAACGTCCCCACTTCCTGTAACCAGGCCTCAAGGACCACGGGCGGGGGGCGCTTCCCGTTTCTGGTCACCTTCGTTCCTCTGGGCACTCTCTCAGTGACCGCTGTCTGTCCCAAACTCTTGTGCCCAGAACTGACCCCGGTCTCCATTCACAGACCTCCCACCATCCTTGGTACCCACAGGTATCTTTCAGAGGAGTGGTGGATGCTGGGAGGAGCCCAGAGAATTAAGCAACTCACCCAGGCTGGCGCTGAGCCTCTGACTCTGGTTCAGGCCTCTTTCCATGAGGCCCTGGGCTCCACCCCAAAGCAGCAGCTGTGCACTCCCTCGAGGCCACTGGTCCAGCTCGCTGTCCCACACAGCTGAGGGTTGTATCCCTGCCCCCGTCACCATGCTCAGAGACCTCTCGGGAAGGTGACGGAGGCCACCCGTGCCCTCCAGCCCCCCCACTGGGGACCAGGTGTGTCTGCTGACCCACCGGCGCTCTGCTTTTCCACAAGGCCCAGAGCACAGGTTCTCTCTGATGCTTTGCCCAAAACTCTCCCCCTCAGGGTCAGTGGTTGTGGTCAAAAGGAGTGAAGGCAGCCTGGGAGCATCACGGCTTCCTCTGCCTTTCCTCAGGGCTTAGCAACCATCCCTTGACTATTGTTTTTAGCTGTTTCCAATCTTGCCCAACTCCTTGTTGACCCTGTTTGGGATTTTCTTGGCAGAGATGCTGGAGTGCTTGGCCACTTCCTCCTCCAGCTCATTTTACCGATGAGGAAACTGAGGCAAGCAGGGTTGAATGACTTGCCCAGGGTCACCTGGCTAGAGAGTGCCTGAGGCTAGATGTGAACTCAGATCTTCCTGACTCCAGCCTGAACACACTATGGCACCACCTAGCGGCCTCCCGTGACTTTTAGACATGCAGTAAAGAACATTTTGATTCTTATCGCTAAAGGGATGCTTTGGGGCTGTTGCTGAATCAGTTGTGTTGAGGTCCAGGAAACTTCTCTTGTATCTTAATGTGAAGTTTTTTTCCCCTTTTTGTCTGATTCTGTGCCGCCCTAAACTTAGAACAGGAAAGTCTGGCCATTGAAAAATTGTTTTCTCCGTTTCTGGTGAGCCCCGGGCTCGGGCCCGTCCTGTGTCAGTCATGTGGCCGGGGTGGCTCTAGCGCCGTGAGACAGCCTGGGTGGCTGAGCGGGCCGGTGGGCGCTTCCCTCCATGAGGCCGCAGCTCCCTGCACCAAGGGAAGGGCTTGTCCCACACCCCCTCGAACGTCCCCTCGGCTCCAGCCCTCGCAGCCAGTGAGCCGGGAAAGGAGGCGGGGTGAGGAGTGGCCTGCCTGGCCCCTTTGGGCTCCAGATCCCCTGGACCTGCTGGACGTTGGCCTTTGGCCTCTCCCCAGGGTTTCTCCCCTTGCTCTGCCTCTCATGGAGTGACGGGATGGCCTGGTCAGCATCGTCGCTAAGAGCACCCACCATGGCCATTGCAGTGATTACTGAGCTTACCCCTCCCCAGCGTCCTTTGGATGGTGAGGTGGTCTTGGGCTCTGCCCTCAGCTGCAGCTCTGGGCAGGGCCGGCCTGGGCCGTGTCAGTCGGGTGCCGGATGGCCTCTCTGCTCTCTGGCCTAGCTCTGCAGAGGCCCCAGGCTTGCCGTGAGGGCTGTCCTGGAGGCCTCTGAGCTGTGGCGGGCTGGCCAGACAGCCGCCGTGCCAGCGGGGCATTGCTGGGGACCGCAGCAGAGAGCTAGGCGCTCGATCCTCCAGCTCCCTCTCGTCACTGTGCCGTCTTCTCTGTCCAGACCCGTTCGCATGGGGCCTGCCTTCTCCCCACTTGACATCAGCGTGGAGGACTGGGAGTCTGCAGACCCCAGGGCTTTCTGCTTGCCGGCCCACCTGTGCTGGGTCACCTAAGGGCCAGGGACCCGCTGCCCCCGGGCTGGTAGCCTCACCCAACCACATCTCTCCCCAGGGGGCCTGTTTCAGGAAGCTCAGATTTCAGCATGTCGTCAGTGTTCAGCATCGCTCCCTCGTGCTGCCGGGTTTGTCCCTCCCCAGGCAGCGTCCTGGGGTCAAGACGTCCAGTCTGAGTGTGGACTCGGAGGCTGTGTGGAGGCCGGACAAGTGTCCTGGGCTTCAGATTCCTAGTTCTTACGCTTTCTTGTTGCTGAAAAGTGGGCGGGTCACTGCCCGGTCAGACCTGGAGCCTGACCATGACGCTGGGCACTGTTGCCTCACTGCCTTTGGCCTGATGTGGGCGCTCTGCTTCTTGCTCTTCCCAGACCTCCCGATGTCCTTCGTGAAGGAAGTCCATGACTTTGTGCTGGAGCAGTTCAACATTAGCCAGGCCGAGCTGCAGAAAATCCTGCACGATGTTGACCGCGTCCCGAGTGAGCTCAGCCCCTTGAAGCTTCGCTGCCAGGCCAACGCAGCCTGCGTGGACCTCATGGTGTGGGCCGTGAAGGACGAGCAAGGTGGGTGTGGGTGTGCACGCGTGTGCATGGGGTGGGCTGGGGCTGGGGGCCCAACGGGAAAACCCTGCGCCTTTCCTGCCCTTTGGGGCCCTTCAAAGTCGGGCACCCCCTGGCCCTAGGTCGTTTGGTTCCTTTCATTTGCCCTGGAGTTCAAACTGGACTCCTTCCCATTCTCTTCCCATCCTTCTTCACTTGCCCAACGTGGCAGCCATGTGGGACTGCCGACCGCCGCCACACGTGGCCTGTCCTCTCCCGCCTCTTCTCAATCCCTCCTCGGCTGCAGGTGTTTTCTCCCGCAGCAGGGCTCCTGGCACTTGGGCTCCCCTTCTGGGCTGAGGGTTTGATCGGCGCATCTGTGCGGTGGAAAGGGGCTGTCAGGGCCAAGAGTCGCAGCTTTCTCGCCTTTAAATAGGGAGCATGAGGTCACAGAGATGGTGTGTGGGCCCTTTGGACTCACTCGGGCACCGTTTCCCCCAGCTGTCTGGAGGTGCTGATACCTTGTGTGCAGGCTGCACCTGGCCCTTGGTGGGCGCGGGAAAGCTGCCCCTGAGGAATCGCTGTTCTCAGACAGGATCGCGTAGAAGCGTGGCTCTTCTCCTGGCTTCTCCCTCTGATGGGAGAGGAGGAAGGGAGTGACCGAGCTGAGGCCGGGGACCTGGCAGGGGCCGTGTGGGGAGAGCAGCCTGGGTGGGCCCTGAGAGCTGGCTCCAGTTCTCTTGGAACCTGTTAGAGTGGCCCTGGTGGGGAGAGGGGGATGCCTCTGCCACGATTGGGGAGCCCTCCCTCCCTCCACTTGTCAGCGGTGTTGTTCTAGGCCAGCCTTTGTGGTAGAGAAGGGAAGAAGACTGGGTACTGTGCCTGCTGTGTGCTAAGCCCTGGGAGGGAGGTGCTGTTATTATCATCGTCTTACAGATGGGGAAACTGAGGCAGGGAGAGGCAAAGGGACATAGCCAGGATCACTCAAGTAGGAAGCGTCTGAGACTGGATTTGAAGTCAGGTCTCTCTGACTCCGGTCCTGGCGCTCCATTCACTGTTAGGCTGCCAAGCTGCCTGGCGGGCTGGAGCAGGTGCTGGGCTCCTCTCGAGTTGCCTTGGAGCTCACTGCCTGCGTGGCCCCGTCAGCAGCACAGTGCAGGGCTCTGACATGGGATGGTTGAAAGCCTTCATTTGGGCTGTGCATTCAGGACCAGATGGGTGAGTGCTCGCTCTGGGCAACTGGGGCCATCCGGCTTCGCCCATCTCAGAGTTCTCGTGGTAGTGGCGGCATGCTGCATGTGCTCTGACCGTTAGCAGCAGTGGGTGCTGGGGGGATTCGAGGCGGAAGGATGACTTCCCCGTTCAGGGAGGGGTAGCGGAGGCATGTAGGTGATCCCCGGAGCCAAAGACATTTGAGCTGGCCCAGGAGGATGAGCCCGACTTGGAGGGAAGGGAGTCCGCCAAGGGGGAAGGAGGACACCCAGCGAGCTGCTGAGCCTGGGAGGGGGCGGACACCAAGCTGCGGGGGGCCTCGAGGCGTCCCCCGTCTGGGCTCCTGACGCCGAAGCCCTCCTGCCCGAGCTTCCCCCGGGCCCGGCTGCCGTCTGGCTCCCAGCCCCTTCTTTGGGTCAGCAGTCTGCCATCTTGAGCCGCAGCCCGTGGGCACAGACCTGTCTGTTGGTACTGCCGCTGAGCACTTGTAGCGCTGGGGCCACCTCTGCTGAGTCTCGTGACTTGAGCCTGAGGCCCTGAGATCCGATAAAGCACCAGAAAATCTTTAAAAACTACCCTGTGACTCAGGAGGGTGGCGGGCGGCCTTCCTCTTTGTGCCCTTGCCAGGAATGTGGAGGCCGCCCCCCCCCCGCAGCAGAATGCCCGGAGCTGGGTCTGGAGGCAGGAGGACCTGAGTTCAAATCTGCCTCAGTGATAGCACCTGCTGCTTGGGGTGCTTGTGAGCATTAAGTGAGATCATCTTTGTAAAACTGCTTAACCAGGGGCAGCTGGGTGGCGCAGTGGATAGAGAACCAACCATGAAGTCAGGAGGACCCGAGTTCAAATCCAGCCTCAGACCAAACACTAGACACTTACTAGCTCTGTGACCCTGGGCAAGTCACTTGACCCCAATTAACCCCCCCCCCCAAAAGTGCTTAACCAGTGCCTGGCACATAGTAGGCGCTTGGTGCTTATTCCCTTCCTTCCTTCCTTTACACCCATTTAGTGGACGGCCTTCTTTAGGGTGGGGTTGGACAGGGTAACCCTGAACTCACCTCCAGTATTGAGGATTTTAAAGAATTTACATTTTAATTGATTTGGTTTTTCACAGTACCTTTTTTTCACCACATGGCCTCCTTCCCCCTGAGAGAGAGCTGCCCTTTGTAGTCACATAAAAGAATTCAGCCAAACTAAGCCACCTGGAGGCAGGCAGCCCTCTCAGGGCTCTCCGTGGAGGCCAGGCTCTCCAGGACCATTTTGCAGCCCTTGGCTTCCCTAGGGAGCCTCATTGTTCCAACCTTGGCCAGGGACCCGAGGTGTGAAGCTGGAGAGTTTGCAGGGACCAGCTCCCCCCTCCCAGCCCAGGCCATTTCCCCAGCACTCTGGCTCAGCTCGGAGGGTGAGGCACCGCGGGACCACAGGGCAGTCTCCATGCCCTGAGCCCCCTCAGACTTCTCTTCCCTGACTCCCACGTGGCCCGGCTGGGGCCCAGGGCAGTCAGGCTCTCACCACCTCCTCCACCCCTCCAGCTCTGCTTTGGATAAAAACAAAAGCAGTGATGTTACAGAGCACTTTACAGTTATTATCCCTGCAGGGACGGTTGCTGTTACCCTCATTTTATATGTGAGAAAACTGAGGCAGAGGGGTGTAGTGACTTGCCCAGGGACTCCCAGCTACTGAGTCTGAGGGCAGACTTGCACTCGAGTCTTCTCGAGTCTAAGGCCAGACGTGCTCCCGCTGCCTTGGCTGTCTTGGCTGCCCTCAGGTGCCACCAGCTCGTCTTGAGCCGGGGTCATGTGGAGTCCAGTCTTACTGTCGGAGCGGGTTAGCTCCAGTATCTGTGGAGGCTGTGGCCTGCCAGGGGAATGGGGAGAGATGGAATGGTGCAGATCATGCACCCTTGGCTTAGAACATCAAAGGGAAGGGAAGGCACTTACGTAAAATGCATTCACTTATTCGTGAGTGTGCCAGGCTGAGTGACTACTTGCTGGGTGTGTTCTGGGCATAGGGCTGGACCGGAGGTCCTGCTCCAAGGAGCCATCCTTCGCGCCCCAGGCCCGGGCCGCCATCTGGAGCGTGGGCCGTTGCGGACATACCGCGGGACCTAACGGGTTTCTCCTTTTCCTTCTCTGACTTTCCAGGAGCAGAAAACCTCTGCCTCAAGCTGTCTGAGAAGCTGCAGTCCAAGACCTCCAGCAAAGTGATCATCGCCCACTTACCCCTGCTCATCTGCTGCCTGCAGGTCAGTCTCCCCACGGACCGAGAGCGGCCAGAGTCCTGCCCGGGGGTCCGCAGCTGTCCTTACGCCGCTGACCTCTGGGGCCAGGGCGGCTCTTGCCCTCCTGTGTTCCCCGGGGACGCCCACGCCTCCCAGGGCTCTGCTGTCCCACCAGCGAAGGCACCTCTGCCTCGTGGCTTCGGGCCTCGGCTCCCACCCCACCTTCTGTCTGAGGCAGTCCCTGCCACTTGCCTTCCTTTGTATCCCCAGTGCTTGGCCTGGCTCCCAGTGGAGACCTCCTCCTGGGTCTCTGAGAGTCCTTTCTCTGGCACGTCCTCAAAGCCCAGGGTGGCTCCTCGGGGGAGGAGGGTCTACCAACATTCTGCTCGGGTTAGCCAGGGCGGCCAGGGCAGCCTCGGGGCAGGGGCAGGGGCATGTGCCAACCCCACCCTCTGACCTCTGACCACTGCTCTCCCCAGAGGCCCTTCCCCTGTCACTCTGCAGTCCGGTGTGTCCTCAGGGCAGGGCACTGGAGACTTTACGGGCTCCTCCGTGAGCGCTACCCCCACCTGACCAGGCCCCCTCTGTGTCTCGTAGGGCCTTGGGCGTCTGTGTGAACGGTTCCCGGTGGTGGTTCATTCGGTGACCCCGTCTTTGCGGGACTTTCTGGTCATCCCGTCCCCAGTGCTGATCAAGCTGTACAAGTACCACAGCCAGTACCACGCAGGTACCACGGCTCACGGCGTGCGCATGCTTGGTCTGCCGGCGTGGTGGGGGTCTGGGCCTTCAGCTACTTCAGAGTGTTGGTCGGAGGACCCAAGGAGAGAGTATTGCAGGGTACCTGGAACACAGTAGGCACTTCATAAATGCTTGCTCCCTCCATACACATGCTGATTCCCCCTTACGGGGCCGCAGTTTTTGAGATAGGAGGCTTCGACAAATCAGCTTTGAGACTTCTCTGTTCTGAGCCTCAGTTTGCCCTACCCCCAGGGTGGCCATGGAGGTCTCCGTCAGCTCTCAGGATGATGGGGTGACCTCCTCTCTCAGAGGCTGTCTCACAGCTCCCTTCTTCCTTGGTCCCTCAGCGATAGCCCCACGCCGTCCTCTTGTCTGCACCGGGGGAGGGTGGTGCCCATGCCCCACGCTGCCCCGGAGGCCTGCGTTTTAGGCCAGGGTGTTCCCTGACCAAGTCATCATGAGGCTTCAAAGGGATTCTGTCCAGAACTCTGAGTGCGCTGGGGGAGACCACGTGCAGTGTGTCCCCTGTGGCACGTGGGTCTGCACCCTGCGCCGTTGCATGTGTTGACCCCCTACTGATTCAGAAGCCATTGTCTTTACCCCGGCACTTGCAAGTCCAGAGGCAGCCTTCCCTTTAACACCTTTTTCTGGTGTTGGTTGTTTTTACATCACCAGTATTTCCCACTGCGTGTCTTATGATAAAGACTGGAAGCATAAAAGGGAAGAAAAGCCCTCCATCAGGCCACGCCAAGCCATTAGAGTGGCCCAGGGTTCAGTCGTCCTGTCCCGGGCCTGGGCCTTCTCTGGTTCTGCCAACTGTGCGCTTCCTCGCACTCATGCCTTCTCACGCTGCTCAGGATTCCTTTTCATTGGCGGCGCTGTCAGAAAATGAATAGAGCCCAGCGACTCCCCGTTCCTCTCCCTGTCCAAGGGAACAGTTGGGGGGACTCTGAAAACCGAAGCCGAGGCCACTAGGGAGACGCGGGGGGCCGCGCAGGCGCCGGTCAAACTGTGTATGTCTGTGCCCGCGTTTGCCTTTAGTTGGCGGCAACGACATCAAAATCAGCGTCACCAACGAGCACTCGGAGCCTGCGCTGAACGTGACGTCCGGGAAGAAGAGCCAGCCGTCCATGTACGAGCAGCTCCGGGACATCGCCATCGACAACATCTGCAGGTGAGGCCCGTCACCACGGGCTCGCGCGGGGCCGCCGGGGGGCCGCCCAGGGTGTCCTCGCCCAGCCAGCCTCGGCTCCTGGGCTCCTCCTCGAGGCCCTTTCAGCAGGGGGCTTTCCTTGTCCTTCAGGTGCCTGAAGGCTGGTCTGACAATCGATCCCGTGATCGTGGAGGCCTTCCTGGCCAGCCTGTCCAACAGGCTCTACATCTCGCAGGAGAGTGACAAGTGAGGCCTCTGTTTCTGGGTGTGAGTGGTGGGCTGTGGAGGGGGGCCTGGAGCGTCTGGGACGTCGTAGTCTCTTCTGGAGGCAGGGCTTCAGGTTCCTCATCTGTAAAATGGGCTGCATCATGATTGCCTCCCTGGTGCGTCGTCCGGTGAAGATGATGACGGCGGTGGTGGTAATGGCTAGGAATGTCCTAGAGGGGACCCCAGAGCTCATTTCGAAGGGGGAAATGGCCTCCCTGTCTGAGTCTGAAAGTGGCTTCTCTGTGTCATGTGGAGGGTTTTTCCTCCAAATCAGCTTGCAGGAGTAAGAAGCTCAGATGAACGTAAGCTCCCAAAGGGCAGGGACACACAGTAGGTGCTTGGTGAACGGAGCTGGGCTAGAGATGCGGGGCCTCAGCCGGCGGGTGCTCTGCCCCCAGGGATGCTCACCTGATTCCGGACCACACCATCCGGGCGCTGGGGCACATCGCGGTGGCACTGAGGGACACCCCCAAAGTCATGGAGCCCATCCTGCAGATCCTGCAGCAGAAGTTCTGCCAGCCTCCCTCTCCTCTCGATGTGCTCATCATCGACCAGCTGGGCTGCCTGGTGATCACTGGCAACGTAAGCATCCCCCCCGAAGCTGCTGTCCCGCGGCAGAGAGCTGGGGCTGCTTCCCGGATCCCCAGCCCCCCAGGAGGGGGGAAGCCCACGTTAATTCACAAAGACAAGGCCCCAGAGTTGGGTCAGGGAGCCTGGCTTCTTGCTCTGTCCCTGCTGACTCATCCCCAGCCCCTCTGGCCTTCCAGTCCTTCATCCACGTGAGAGAAGGGGGAGCCGGACGGAGCTGTCATTGAGCCAGTATTCTATGAGAAAACAGAGGGGCTGCTTTTTGGGCCAGCGCAGAAACCTCCCCAGGAGGGGGCAGCGCACCCTGCTGGTGAGGTTTGAGAGAAGAGAAATAGCTTTCAGCAAATCCTCCAGACCATGTGGATAGGACTGGAAGGATTTGACCCACCAAATTTAAATGGGCTCAGAGGCAAAAAGGGCCCCAGTCAGGGCCTGGCTGGTTCAGCCTCTGCCCGGTCAGGAAATCCTCCTTCAGCATACCCAGAGATTGACCATGCATCCTTTGCCTGAAGCCCTCCAGGGAGCACACCCAACCTCCACTGGTGCAAATCTCAGCCTCTTAGCAGATTGCCCCGGAGTTGCTGTGGCCACAGAATTCATCCCGCTATGGTCACCCTTGGGCACTGGGCATGTTTGGTGATGGACGCGAGGCCCAGACGGGCAGGAGCCGTCCGAGCATTTGCTTTCCTGGTGCAGCCTGTGGGAGCTGCGAGTGCCCCCCTTGCCCTGGTTAGCCACTGGACCCTCTGAGAAGGGCAGGGCCCAGGCACCACCTGCAGGGCTGCTCAGGGCACTTTGGGAAGGGGCCAGTGACTTAGGGAAAATGTTTTCTTTCAGCAATACATTTACCAAGAGGTGTGGAACCTCTTCCAGCAGATCAGCGTCAAGGCCAGTTCCGTGGTGTATTCAGCCACCAAAGACCACAAGGATCATGGCTACAGGTACAGCCTGGAAGGTTCTGTGGGGGGGTTAGATGGGCCCTGGAAGCAGCTAGTGGGGGATGAGGCCCCCAGAACTGAGTGGCGTGCGTGCTCTGGGAGCTCAGAAGCAGGGTCCTTCTCCCTTCGAGCTCTCTTCTCCCCCAGGTCCCCCGCCCCCCAAAGCCCTCCTTCCCTTGCAGCATTCCCTCTCCCTGCTCACTCCCGCCTCCTGGCATCCCCAGCCTTCTCCAGAGCTCGGCTCCTCCTAAATGCCACCTCCTACATGAAGCCCCTCCGACCTCCCCCCACACCCACACAGCTTTTGTATATAATATCAGGCACCTCCCTCTCCTGCTGCCCTCACTACCCCAAATGAGGCTGTCTCTTTATTTGTTGTCTTTGTACCCTGTGCCTAGCCTTACGTAGCCAGGCCAGTGCTTCAGGGTGCTTGACCATAGATTAGCCGCTGAATCCCCTAAGATTGAGTGATCTGCCCCTCACGTGGGCTGCCCCCCCCAGTAGGTAGGCATGCGGTACAGGTCATGGAATTGATTGGGGGCCGAAGTGACCTGAGGGTCACTGCAGGGGGTGGGGTGCGGCCCCTGGCCTGGCCCATCTCCATCCTCACAGCTCCCGCTTTCCTCCTTTCCCTTTGTTCTGTGCTCGTATGTCCTGAGGGGCTCAGGCAGAGGCCGAGCAGGGTGGGAAAGGAGAGGTCCGGGGTGAGCCCGCCGTTCTGCCTCGGCCCTAGGGACCAGCCGGAAGGGCCGTTGCTTTCTTCTCCGGTCCCGCTCCCAGGGCTGCTCGTCCATGGCCAGTTGGTGCCGGGGGCACTGGCACACGGGGCAGCCTAGGTCTCTCCGTAGCCCGCGTTGGGCCGCCGTCCCGCGTTTGATGAGGATGAGGCGCTGAGGTTCGCAGAGGGACACGGGCCAGCAGGCCGTTCTCCTGTCTCCTGCATGGGGCCGGCCACAGAATGGAAGACGCGATGAGAATGGGCAGTGGGGTCAGCTGGGGCAAATCACTCCACTGCTCTCGGCCTCTGCTCGTCCATCTGTAAAATGGGGGTGACAGCTAGGCCCTCCTTCCCAGGGTTGTTGTGATTTTTGGATGAGAGGATACACTTCAAGTGCCGTGAAGCCTTCCAGGCCTGTGGCAGCGTCCAGTGTGCTTGTTCCTTCTGGCAGTGACAGCTTCTGGGCGAAGCCGGGTGGGCGTCCAACTCCGGAGCGAGCCTGGGCCCTGACCACCAGGTCACGGTCATTTGCTGTTGTCATCCTTAGGGATGGCAGTACTAAAGACCCTGTAGCCCGGCCTGATTTTTCCCCAGGCAGGCCTCGGGGAATGAAGTCAGCCCTAAGCAGTCTTTCCTGCTTGGTCCCATGGTGGCCACACTGTCTACTTTGTTCCTCCTTGCAGTCACACTGTGCACTCCAGGCCACCTTTGGCCCTTTCCCCGGAGGGATCGCCCAGAGCTTGTGTAAAAGGAAGGGTCTGGCCGAGAGCATGCCCCCGTGGGGGGCAGGGCTGGCTGCCAGAGGCCCTGGGCGGCCTCTCCTCTCCCTGGCCGCCGCCGCCTCGGTGCAGGCACTAGGCAAGCTGGGGAGCTACTCGTCTGAGCCGGGGCTCAGGACGTCCTTCCTCTCCACAGGCACTGCTCCCTGGCCGTGATCAACGCCCTTGCCAACATCGCCGCCAACATTCAGGACGAGCACCTGGTGGACGAGCTGCTCATGAACTTACTAGAGCTCTTTGTGCAGCTGGGTCTGGAAGGGAAGCGGGCCAGCGAGAGGGCCAGCGAGAAAGGGCCGGCCTTGAAGGTGAGCCCATCGGGGCCCACCCTCTCTGAAAAAAATGGGAAACGGAGGCAGGCACCTTGGTCAAGTGACTTGCCCAAGATCCCCCTGCCTGTGTGTCTGTGGCAGGGTTTGAACCCATGACTTCCCTTCTCCACGTTCACTTCCCTCTCTCCTCAGCCACCTTGCCTCTTGGTTCTGCTTGTGTCAGCGCTGCCCGGGATGCCCAGCCTTTGGTTAAAATAGCTGGCTTTTTAAATTTAAGTGCAAGTAATGAAGAAGAATTAATGAAGTATCCCTAGACTGTGAGCTTTAGCAGCCCAGGGGCCATTCCCCATCTAAAGGTTGCGTTTCTCCTGATACACAGCAAGCACTTTGCGGGCAGTTAAAATGCCTACTGTGTGTGAGGCGGTGGGGGCGCCGATGTGAAAAAGACCAGGCTCAGGGAGCTCTTAATGTGTAGAGCAGAAAACAGAGACCCATGTCAGTATAAGCCAGATAACTCTGTCCAGAACCGGTGCAAAATAAACGTGTTGGGGCCTGGGGCAGAGGTCCGAGAAAGGACAAAGAAGGGGACTTTGAACTTGCCCTGGAAGAAGAGAGGCAGAGGGGAGGGCGAAGGGCCCCCCGGGCCTGGGGGCCGCAGGGACTTGGAGAGGCGGCCCATAGAGGAGGAGGCTGAAGGGGGGCTCGGGAACGGGGATAAAGGGCTTTAAAAACCCAAAGAGGAGTGACATCTCTTCGTAGGTGATAGGGAGCCGGTGCATGGAGGTGACGGGCGCTGTGTTGGGCAAGGTCCCGATGAGGAGGTGGGAGGCTGTGGTCTACAAGGCTGCGGCATGGGGAGAGAGAAGAGTCCAGGCCAAGCGTGTAGACATGGGAGGGCCTGCTTTGGGGGTTGGCTGAGGAGGGCCCGCCCCCATGCAGGAAGTGCCTGCTTCCAGAGCTCGCACCTGTGCACGGATCAGTAGCTAACAGCAACAGTCACAATAGCGACATTCATACGGCGCTTTAAGGTCTGCAGTGTGCCCAGACTATGGACAAAATTAGTGCAAGATGATCTGGAGAGGGAGGGTGGAAGCCACTGTCCCCACTGGGCTGAGTTTTGATTCTAAAGGATGAGATGAGGAGGTGACCATTCCAGGTAAAGGCTCTGAGATGGGCTACAGAGAGGGAGGTACACAGAGTGCTGAGCAGGCTCGTGGGACAAGTTCACGGAAGCCCTGGAGAGAGCGCCGTCTTTCTTTTTTTTGGGTTAAACAGTGGGGTTAAGTGACTTGCCCAGGGTCACACAGCTAGTGAATGTTATGTGTCTGAGGCTTGATTTGAACTTAGGTCCTCCTGAATCCAGGGCCAGTGCTCTATCCACTGCGCCATCTAGCTGCCCCAAGAGCACCGTCTTTGAGGACTGGTCAGGAATGTGGGAAGGGCCAGCTTGCAAGGTGGCTTAGCTGCCAAGCAGAGCTAATGAACTTCAACAGAATAGAGGCACCTTGGAGGCCGTAAGGAGCCGGCGGGGTTCATTGAGCAGGGGCTGATGTGGCCTCCCCTAGGCCTCAGGAAAACCGCTTTGGCGGCCGTGTGGAGGGTGGCGTGGAGTGGGGAAATACTCGTGGCAGCAGGCCGTCCTGTGTAGGTAGAGAAGGGAATGTCTACCAGCGACATATAGGAGATGGAAACGACCCCAGCAGCTGGGTGGTTAGTATTACTGACCATCAGGTCCTGGAGGCCAGTGCTGTCTTAACCAAACTGTGGATCTCCTCAGGAGCCTCGCCCCTGGTGACACCTCCTTACAACCTGGCGGCCTTCCCTGGGCTTCTTCTATCTTCCCTGGGCTATTGCTTATGCACAACTATGCCCTGCCCTCCCACCAAGGTTGGAAACAGCATCTGAAATCCCTCGCTCCCTTGCAAGCCTCCTCCTTGGAACCTTGCCTGGCCCCCAGGTGAAAGTGGCCTCTCCCTCCTCCAGTGTCTTCTCCTACTTTGTGGGGTTCTGTCCTTTACTTCCATCATCTGTGCCCCTCATACTTCTCATTTGTACAGGCCATATGTCTCCTCTGCTCAAGTGTAGGGGCCTCAGGGTAGATCCAGGATGCTTTCATCTTTATAACTTCTCTGCTGGAAGAGGCCTCAGCTGGACTTACTGTAGCCAAAATGTTGGAACTGAGTTGAACACACTATGTTTGTTTTTTGAGGCAATCAGGGTTAAATGACTTGCCCAGGGTCACATAGCTAGTAAGTGTCTGAGCCTGGATTTGAATTCAAGTCCTCCTGACTTAAGGGCCAGGGCTCTATCCAGTGCCACGACCTAGCTGCCCCAGCACTGTGTTTTCTGTTGACCAACTGAGCCATTCTCACGCCAGCTCTGGGACAGTCACCCATGCTCACCTCACTCAGGACCCTGAGTAACTCTATGCTAGGAGTGTATCCAGAACCCTGCCCCACCCTCAGGGTCCTATCAATATGCCTTGGCAGAGCCTAGCGGCCCATAGACACTCTTGGGAGTTATTTGAATGGATCGTGCTCCTGGCCACAAAAATATATTAGAAGGTCAAAATTCCCTCTTTCCAATATGCTCCAAGCCTAACCCCTCATTCACTAAGTTTTGGAGAGACAGGGAATGGGGGAACCATCCCTTACTACTTTCCCAGATTTGCCCCAAGCAAAGATTGTGGATTAAGAGGAAGAGGAAAGGATTGTGGATAAACTGAGCAGTTGTAGCTAATTCAGTGAATCCAACAAGATTTGTTCAATGACTCCTTTCTGTTCACCCTTTGGACTGGAAAGGACAGAACCCAAAGGACCAGTGGAGAGATTATACCCCATATGATGGTGGTCAGAGCACTGGCCAGAGTGAAGGCAGAGGCCCCACTGGTAACATTGGAAAGGCCCTAGAAAAGAGACGAGCGTCCACAAGGTGGGAAGGGGCACATGGCTGGGCTTTCCTGCAAGGCTGGCAGAATGCTTGAGTCTCTCCTTAATGAGATAGTTAGTGACAAGGGAGCGAAGGCAGGTGGGCTCACAGAGAGCCAGCCTGGCTTTGGACAGAATGGCAGGATGTGCCAGGCTAGTTCTGCTGCCTTTTTTTAGAGGGCAGAGATGGTGGTGCCCCACAGTTTGGTGAAATGTTGCTCGATTCCTGCAGTGAGGTGGCTCAGAGCAGTCAGGAGGGCTTCACAGTCAGCTTGGAAGGAGGTCTCCAGTGAAGGGCCCCAGGGATCTGTACACCTTCATGTTACTTTCTGTCATTTTTGTCAGAGACTTGGATAAAGGCAGAGATGGTGTACCAGAGGCAGCAATGGCACATGGGAGACATAGATGGTGAGCCATATTTGCAGGTAATACAGAGCAGAAAGAGATAGCTAACGTCAAGTCACAGCTCAGACCAATTAAGATCAGGTTAGGAGAGAATGTTGGACCTGATCTAATGAGCTAACATCTGATGGGGATGAGCTCCACGTCAGTGGCACAGAAAGCATCTGTTGGTGGGCCTAGAATTTTGTCTCAGCTGCACGTGGGGGTTGGATGGATGGGAAGGGGACACACCCGAAAAGCTGCCGCAGTAAGAGGACCAGGAGGCCTCTGGATTCTCGGCTTCCCTTCCGAGGGCAATGCTGATGTGCTGGAGAGTGACCCACGCTGTGCGCCCCGTGGAGAACGGAGGGGGAAGAGGCCATAGCACATGAGAACAGTCGGCTCGGTGTTGGAGGGGCTAAGACTCTTCCTCTGACTCTGAGGGAAGGAGTGGTTTGGGAGCGGTGCTGGGAGGTCCACCAAGGTAGTAAATGCAGAGCCCTGAGTGCCAAGGCAGTGAAGGAGAAAGTGGCCTGGGCAGTCCCAGGGATCAGGGAAGGCCTCCCCAGAAGCTGCTGCTTGAGCAGGGTCTTCAAGGGACCCTGGAGGTGAGGGTGAGGAGGGAGGGCATGGGGGCAGTCGCTGCAGAGGCATAAAGAGAAGGCTTGTTTAGCTGGGGCGTAGGAAGGCTGGAAAGGGAGGCTCAGAATGCATTGGGAAGGGCTTTGAAAGCCAAACATGGCATTTTTATTTTATCCACTAGGCAACAAGAAGCCACTGGAGATCATAGAGCAGGAGGGTGACTGGACAAAACGTTATGTAGCCTCGTGGGCAGAGGAGCAACCTACCTGCCCCTTCTGCATGGGGGAAGGACAGATGCAGCTGTTTGTGAAGGATGGATGAATGCTTTGTCTGAAGCACATCTGCCAGCCTGTCTTGCCTGAATTTAAATATTTCTTCTGGTAATAGATTGTGGGGTGTGAAATCTGGAGGCAAGCTCGGTTGTTTTAGTTATAAGTGCTTGTTGATTGACTGATTAAAGTGTGGTGAGCAGGAAGAGTCTGGAGGAGGTGACCCTGAGGAAGGGGGCTAGGCAGGCCTCCCGGCCATATGGGACCATGGAAGTGCAGACCTTTGAGGGCCCTTGAGATCACACGCTCCGGTCACCATCATCCACACAGGAGGAAATGGCGGCCCCGTGGGCTAAGACGCGCGGAGCCTGACGACAGGAAGGGAGGGGAAGAAACTCCTTCCATCCTCTTCTCTCCCACGCTCCCAGAGCCTGTGACGGATAACAGCCATGTTCTAAGTGAGACGTTCTCAGAGCAGCTTGACCACAGTTTGGAAGGGACTTGAGCCCCTTTCCCACCCCTGAAAGAAGCTGGGGGTCTGAGAGTCTGAGGGGAGCAGTGCGCACCTGCCCAGGGGACAGCCTGTGTCGTAGAGGAGGAGGAGGGAGAAGCGAGCCTGGAAAGAGGCAGCAGGTTGTTTAGGACAATGGGCTTTAAAGGCCAGCCTGCAGAGTTGTATCTGAGCTCAAAGCAATGAATGGCCATTTTCTCCCCTGAAGGATTATACTCACTTTTGCTGGGTAGGTGATTCTTGGCTGTAATCCTATCTCCTTTGCCCTCCGGAATATCATATTCCATGCCCTGCAGTCCGTTAAAGTAGAAGCTGCTAAATCTTGTTATCCTGAGTATGTTTCCGCAATACTTGAATTGTTTCTTTCTGCCTGCTTGCAATATTTTCTCCTTGACCTGGGGACTCTGGAATTTGGCTATAATATTCCTGAGAGTTTTCCTTTGGGATCTCTTTCAGGAGGTGATTGGTGGATTCTTTCCATTTTTTCATTTGTTTCCATTCATTTCCATTTCCATTTCCATTTCTATTTTACCCTAGGTTCTAGAATATCAGGGCAGTTTTCCCTTGATAATTTCTTGAAAGATGATGTCTAGGCTCTTTTTTTGATCATGGCTTTCAAGTATTCCAGTAATTTTTAAATTATCTCTCCTGGATCTGTTTTCCAGGTCAGTTGTTTTTCCATTGAGATATTTCACATTGTCTTCTATTTTTTCATTCTTTTGGTTTTGTTTTACAATGTCTTGATTTCTCATAAAGTCACTAGCTTCCATTTGTGCCATTATAATTTTTAAGGAAATATTTTTTTCAGTGAGCTTTTGGACTTCCTGTTCCATCTGACCAATTCTGCTTTTGAAGGCATTCTTCTCATTGGCTTTTTGGACCTCTTTTGCCATTTGGGTTAGTCTGTTTTTTAAGGTGTCATTTTCTTCAGTATTTTTTGGGGTTTCCTTTAGCAAGCCGTTGACTTGTTTTTCATGATTTTCTTGTATCACTCTCGTTTCTCTTTTCAGTTTTTCCTCTACTTCTCTTACTTGTTTCTCAAACTCCTTTTTGAGCTCTTCCAAGGCCTGGGACTGATTCATATTTTTCTTGGAGGCTTTGGATGTAGGAGCTTTGACTTTGTTGTCTTCTTCTGGTTGTTCTTCTTTGCCACCAAAATAAGATTCTATGGTCTGACTTTTTTTTGCGCTGTTTGTTCATGTTCCCAGCCAGTTACTTGAGTTTTAAACTCTTTGTTAAAGTGGAGTCTGTGGAGAATGTACTGTCCCAAACTTTGGGAGTTTTGTGCAGCTGTTTTCAGAGATACTTCTAGGGACCTGTAAATTTTCAGTTCTTCCAAGGTGGTATGATCAAAGATGAGGTGTTTACTCCTTTCCTGGCCTGTGCTCTGGTCTGTGAGTGATCACAGGCACTCTTTTCTGCCTTGGAACTGTGAGGAGGATTCCCTCTGCACTGCCATTACAAGCTCCACTACGCCAGGGCTCCTCCTCTCCCCAGGACCACCACCCAGAACTGCGCCGCAGATCCAAGCACAGCAAAGCAAGAGCATCCTGCCTCGGCACCAGCAAAGAGATCCCTGCAATCCCCCTCTGATCAGCCACTTGATTCCCCCTCTGTCTGTGGGCCGAACTCAGGAAGCAGCTGCCGCCCTGGGGCTGCACTGGGACAGGGGCTGGGACCAAGCTTCTCTCTCACCATGGTCACAGAGTTTTCCTACTGACCTTCTGAGTTGTCTTTGGCATTTGTTGGTTGAGAAGTCTGGAAACTTCCACAGCTGCCCGTGATTCAGTCCTCTGAGGGCTGCTCCAGGTTCGCTGAGGCCTGATCTTTCCCTGTGCACCCATGCTGAACTGTGCTCCTCTCCCCGCCCGGCACAATAGATCTTTCCAATCAATCATCCAGGTTGTCTTGGGCTGGAAATTTGTTTCACTCTGTCTTTTTGTGGGTTCTGCTTCTCTAGAATTTGTTTAGAGCCATTTTATACAGGTATTTGGAGGGCTTTAGGGGAGAGATGAAGCACGTCACTGCTTTTACTCTGCCATCTTGGCTCCGACCCCTAAATATCTGTCTTTCCCTTTCTGTTTATCCATCCATCTATCTATCCATCTCTCCATTTTCCCTTCCATCTGTCCATCCATCTCTCTTTTGTCTCTCCATTCATCTATCCATCTCACCCTAGCCCCTTTTCCATCTATCTCCACCTCCATCCATCCATCATCTATCCATCTCTCTATCTCTGTACATGTCCACTTGTAAATGTGTATATTCATGTATATGCATATATATTAAAGAATGTAAAAAAATGTTGGTTGTCTGAGGGTCCTGCTGTATGGTGCCGTTTACCTGCGGTTTTGCTACACAGTCCTTCACCCTGATTATTTTTCTTTCCTTGTCAGTTTTTAAATGGCTCAGTCCAGAAGGAAGCACACAGGCCCTGGCGTCCCAGGACTTGGGTTCGAATGCCACCACCCAGGTCCCCTTGGGCAAGTCAGTGCCTCCCCCCACCTCTGGCCCAGTGGTCCTCTGTTGTGACCTTTGTGCTCTCTTCCTTCCTAGGCGTCCAGCAGTGCCGGGAACCTTGGCGTGCTCATCCCTGTTATCGCTGTGGTGAGTAACCGTGACCTTTTGCTAGAGTCCGTGTGTTGGGTTGTGATACTCCCCATGATCTGTTGCCGATGCTTTTCTGTCTACATGGATTCCCTCTTGCCGGGTTTCCAGCGTTTTAGTCCAATTGAAGGCACCTGTGCTTTCCTCCAGGCACCTCCCAGGCTCCTAACCGCAGGGTCCTCTCTGACCCTTCCTCTCCCCTTCCCCACTGCAGCCCTTCAAGTGTCTGGCTCAGATGCTTAGCGGAGCCTTCGTGGTGGTCTTCCTGTGTCTGTTCTCTCCCATCCCACACAAATGTTTGTCCGGGTTCCCCAGCTGGTCAGTGGCAGTCCTGACTAGCATCCGTGTCTCCTGGCTCCAGGGCCTGGGCTGCCTCTGAGGCATGTAAATAAATGGGCAGTGAAATGACCTTCCTGGGATCTCCCCTCTGTTCCTTGTGGGGGCCTCCTTTGGACCCCAGCCTTTGGGACTCCTCAGCCAGAAGCCAGGGAGGGCCGGGCTGGGAGAGAGCACAACCTTTGGGGTGCTACAGGCTGCTTTACTGTGGATTGAGGATGGCCAGGTCCACACTGGAAGGACCACCCCAGAGTGCTAGAGGCTGACTTCTCCTAGCCAAGAAGCCGGCACTGCCTTCCTCAGCCCTTGCCTTTCTGAAAGCTCATGTTTAGCCTCTGGACCGCCTCATGCCCTGTCCAGTCTGAGACTCGGGCTCAAACCATCTCCACCTTTGAGAGAAGCAGCTCTCTTGTGTCAGCCTCCTCACAATAGATGCAGCCCCCCCCCTCCCCCGGCAGCCCCTGCTGGGCCGGTGGCCCCACAGCCTCACTCCCATGAGGCTGCCTGCCTGGCCTCCCCTCCCCTACCCTGATGTCTCTTCCTCTTCCGCCTCACGGTAATTTCCCATCCCCATCTTCAGTGTCTCCAGGCTCTGTAAGTGTGGGAGTGCCCACTAGGAAGGTGGGGTAGAAATCCTCATGCCTGTCTCTGGGGAGCAGCAGGCTTGCCGCTTAGACCCAAGAGTGCCAGGCTTGGTTGGCAGCTTTTTCCCCTCCAGGAACAGTATTTGCTTGTTAAGAATTGTGGGGCATGGTGACCCTTTAGGTTGGAAGATGTGTGTATTTCTCCCAATTATTGAAAACACTCTCCTGTTACAGCTGTTACAGATGTATGGCATGAGGCATTACCAAGTACCATCACACCAGGCCAAAGAAAACCTTTGTGCACAATGCAGGCTTTGGTCTTCGTCCTCCTCCTCTCTCCATTTCTGTCCCCCTGCCCATGCTGCCTCCAAGGAGAGATGAGGCGTCCTGGTGGCCAAGCCAGAATATCGGCATGGGTTTTCCTATCAAACAGTGTTATAGCTGGTGGTAAGGCTCTGTGAGTCATTCATTCATCATTTTATAAGCGCCTTTTGTGTGTGCACTGTTATGTTAGGCCCTAGGGAGATAGAAAGTTTAGCTAGGACTCCGACCCTGGCACAAAGGGGCATGGGGGAAGGCTTCCTGTAGAAGGTGGGTCTTAGCTGGGACTTGAAGGAAGCCAGGAGAGGTTGATGAGGGGAGAGCATTCCTGTCATGGGCACAGAGCCGGAGAGAACGCTCAGAGCCAAGACATGGAGGGGCTTGGTGGAGCAGCCAGGAGGCTGGGGTCACTGAATCGAAGAGTGTGTGTTAGGGAGTGAGGTGTAGGATGACAGGAAAGGGAGCGGGGGGCAGATCAGGAAGGGCTTTGGATGCCGAGCAGAGCATTTTGTATTTGAAGGTGGCAGCAGAAGGAGCCACTGCCGTTGATTGAGTAGGAGGTGACACGATTGGACATGTGCTTTAGGACAATCGCTTGGATAGCTGAATGGAGCCAGGCGGCCCCCCCGCCCCCAGCTGCTATTGGAATAGTAGAGATGGGAGATGAGTGTCTGCAACTGGGTGGGGGCCATACTAGAGGAGAGTTGTTGTGGAGATGATATCGACAGGCCTTGGCACCATGTTGGATGTGGGGGCATGAGAGAAAAAGGAGTCCAGGATGACTGCTGGCTTAGGAGCCTGAGGGAATGGGGGAAGGATGGTGTCCTCTGTAGTAATAGGGAAAGTGGGGGCAGGGGCAAAGAAGGTGAGCTCAGTTTTGAACATGCTGAATGTAAGGTGTCTCCTGGACATCCAGTTGAAGATGTCTGAAAGCTGGGAGGTCAGCCGAGAGGTTGGGACAGGCTGGCTAGACTTGAGAGTCGTCGGCACAGACATGGTCATTAAGGAGGGTCCAGGACAGAGCCCTGAGGTGTGCTCTGGAGGAGGAGCAGAGAAGTTTGGGTAAATGAGGCTAAATGGACTTTTGGAGGCCACTCCTAACGTCCTATTTCCATGGCATAAATGCCAAGTTTATCTGCTGCATTCTGCACCTGTGTGTGGCTACCTGCTTGTCCCTGCCACACGATGTGGCCTCTGCTTTACCCACTTAGGTCAGGTGTTACTTTGGCCACTTCAGAGTTAAGCATCTGCTGGGGTCAGGGAAGGTCTTAAATGGACTTTTTCCTTAGTCTGACAGGAGGCCACAACAACCACCTCCTAGTGCCTTTAGGGCTGTTTGGATGTCATGGGATGGTTCGAGGGGATGGTGTAGGCCCAGTGGTGGAAATCAGTAGAAGAGTGTGAAGTGTTGTCCGGGTCAAGCTGCCCATGAGGCAGTGGGCTCCCTGGTATCGGGCATGTTGAAGGACAAGTCAGGTGATGCCCAGGAATCCCATGGAGGGGAGCCTGGATTGGTGGGAAATTGGGCTGGAAGAAATCCAGGAGTCTTTTCAGTCTAATGGTCTGTGATCTGATGGGCAACCATGTAATGATTTTATTCTAGAATTGGAGAAACAGACAAATTAATCTAGTGAGCATTGGACTTTTTTCTAATATAGTACAATGAAGGTAGATAGAATGTCTGGTCAAAGCTTATGAGACATGTTTGTTTTCCAACATGTGTGACCCTTAACATGAGTGAAGGAATAATATTGAGGGTTTTTTGTAAGAGTTAATGGTTACATTATGGGGGAGGAAGCAAATATTTGATTTTCTTGCTCAACAAAGGCCACATCACAAGACCTTAGGTTTACTTTCTGCTGCCCCGCTGGACTTGCCGGGGGCACCTAGTTCATAAGGTCCTGTTTGCAGGGCACCCAGTGGATGTGACCCCTTCATGAAGAAAGGGCCTAATACTTGGATGGCCAGGCCTTCACCAGGAACTCTGTCACCACCTCCATCTGACGGATCACTCTCCCTTCCTACATCTCCTTACCTTCAGAGCTTAGTGGGCAGAGCCCTGGGCGCCAGTCTCACATCACACACTGACCAGACGGATGACTGTGGGCACACAACCTTGACTTCTTCCTCTGTAAAGTGGGGTAATAGCGTCTGCCCTACCTGCCTCATGATCTTGTGACAGGAGTGCTTGTAAAGTGAGGCTGGCTGATCGCTGAGGGTCTACAGATCTAACATGCTGGGACCCTCAAGTCTATCTCAACTCTGTCAGTGGTGCAGCGTTTTCCCCTACGTCTCAGTGGTGGCGTTTATTATCTAGTTGCCCAGATCTTTTAGGAAAGGCCTTATCTCTCATGGACCTCTCACTGAGTGCCCTGGGCCGGTACATTTTTTACTCAGAGGCTAATTGGAGCAGCCCACTCAACGTCATGAAAACATGACTCGAGGAAAATTAGATCCAAAGTGATTTACAAGGTCCATTGAAAGAGAGTCTGGAGGCAGGAAACTAGTTTGGATGGCATTTTACAGTAATTTGGGGATGAGTTAATAAGACCTAGGGGCAGCAGTAATGGGGAACCCCAAGGCAAGGTAAAGTAAGTAATGAAAAGACTTTGCAGCAGACTGGTCTTAGGGGAGGAATGAAATGAAAACCTTAAAAATGACTAAAATTGTGACCTTGGAGGGCCGGAAAAATGGTAGCATTGCTGATAATAGTGGAAAAGTAGGAAGGAAGCGGTTTGCCCTGGGGTATGCCAGTTGAGATTTCGATCTTGGAAAAATTGTGTGTCAAAATTAATGGGGGGCCAGGGACAGACCCTCGCAATCAGCCACAGGGAGCAGGGGGTGGAGCCAATGGAGAGGAGATAAGTCCAGGGGCTGGCCAGGAAGCCAGGCAGGCATCTTCCAAAGGTGGGGGCCTCGGCCCTCCTCCCGTCCGCCGAGGGCTTTGTGATGGTCCTTCCTGCTCTGTGGACACACCTTCTGTTCTGTTGTGAGCTGGGATGCACTGCCCATGGACCTCTTGTAGGTCCTTGTAGGGCTGGGCCCAGTTGTAGGCCCCATGGACGCTTCTCTAAGAAGTCACTGATAGATGAAGGCTTTATGCTTACATAGTGCTTTCTCATAACTGCCCTGTAAGGTGGGCATCACAGGTATTATTAGCTCCATTGGACAGATGAGGAAACTGAGGTTGGGAGTGGTCAAGTGACTTGACAGGTATAAATGGCAGACCTGGAAAGAGAATTCTGATGCTCTGATGGCAAGACCAGTGTTTTTTCTAACCCCACCCCCCATTCTGCTGCTGTGGCATTAAAATAGTAATCAGGGCAATCTTCTTAGTAGAATTTTGCAAAAGTCACTCCCAGAAACCCTGACTACATCAAAATCACTTAGTTGATGGGTTTGCCAAGGCCAACAAAGATAAAATCTTATCAGTAGAGACTGCAGGAGAGACCTGGGATTTCAGTGAAGGTGACCGAGGTGTGGGCTAGAGGGGAAGGACAGGGGCCTAAGGGGGCTGTAACTAGACAGCCCAAGCCACTGAGGCCTCGTGCTCTTCGTGATCTTCTCTTGGGAGCTGAGCCTCCCTGTTTAGGGCCATGAAGAGGCAAGAAAAGATGCCCTGGCCGTGGTTCACCAAGTCGTGGTTCTCCACTCTAGAGCCAGAAAGGGAAGGCAGAGGTTCCACGGACAGGGCTTGACCTCCACTTCCTAATCACTGCCTCTGAGCCTCAGCTGACCAGTGGGTTCTTACCTCAAGCCCACTGTGCCATTTAACTGAACATCTGCCACATGGTTGAGACACAGAGGCCCTCACCTTGACAGTGCAGAAACCTGCTGCTGTCCCTTTGTACATCTGAACCGGCAGCATCATCTGTGGACCCACTGGGTGCCCTGGCCGACGCCCCATAGGGACGCTCCCTGTTTGCCCAGGCACTGCCTGGGATTCTGTGCTCAGCTCCATCCCAAGCATTCCACAGAGAGCTCCGCCAGGATGCCAGCAGGATCTGAGCTTCTTGGGCACGATGTAGACCTGAGGATGGCCGTCTCCACCAGATTAAAGTGCAGTATCAGTAAAATGCAGAATAAGTAAAGACACAGGAAAACAGAGGTGATGTCACCATGGGGTTCTCTGAGGCAGGAAGCAGCCACACACATCCTTGTGGACAGTTCCATGGTCCCCATTTCTTTTTGGGTTTAACATCCCTGCTTAGAACATACCTAAAAAATCAGGTTCATCGGCAGGACTCCTTCTCCCTCCCTGGCAAGATGGCCCATGACATCCTACCACCCATCCCACGCTGCATGACCAGGTGGCGATGACGACTTCCCACCACTTCTCAGTCTGTGGTCCTGTGCAGGGCCCACGTTGCTGTCCTTCCAGGGCTGCTGGTGAATCCTGCAGGGCTGCAGAAATGTATCACCAGGATCCTTATCCTGCACTCTCAGATCAGAGGGGTCTGGCCAACTTACTGTTGGTTGTGCATTAGCATTTAATGGGGTTCTATCAGTGGAGAGAAGGACGAGAGAAACACGTTAAAAGTGGTTTATGTTTATTGGCGCCTAGAGTGGGAACCTCTCGTCCTCCGCGTCGCAGGGAGTGACAGCCCCAGCCCATGCACAGTGCTTTGTAGTGGGGCCTTGTAACAGATGCCAGCGTCGTGGGGGACAGGCCGCCAGCCCTCTCAGCACGGCTGGAGGCCACGAGAGCGAAGGAACCCAAGGGGTGAGGGTGGCACAGAACGGGGCAGAAGCCTAGGAGTCAGCCTGTGTGAGGCCGCAGCACTAAAGAAACAGGACGTCAGATCGTCGGCTCCTTAAGGACACTTTTAATGTATTCATTGACTGCACGCGCAGGCGTGTGCAGCTTCTCGAGACTCGGGACCATGTGCTACACAGAGTGGTTCCCACAGAATTCCCTTGAGCTGTGGTTGCTTTCGTGAGCCCTGGCCCTCGGCATTGCCCACAGGTTCCCCTCGGGCGCCATTGTAAGGAAACGGTAATGATCACAGGATCCTCTGGGAGCCCCGCCTGTGCCTCTATGACTTGCTGGGGTTGGACACCCGGCCCATGAAGAGCAGACAGCTGGTGCGGTGCTCATAGATAAGGAACAGAAAGGGGCGATCGACGATGAATCGAACCTGCGTGGAGAGGGGCATGAAGCCCACGGTGGTCACGGCGGCCGCCTGGGTGCCCTCCTCGTTCACCGTGATGGTGCCTTGGTGCTTGAACTGTTCGGAGAGGAGAGAGGGTCTCTTAATGCCCTGCCTAAGGGGGGTGGCGGAGCCCTTGGTTTGGGGCGTCTCCTGGGGCTCACGGACCATCTCCACCCTCCACTCCCAGGCTCCTCGGGCAGGCCGCATGTCCCACCCTGCGCCTCATCTCTGCTGCGTGGCGCTGCCTGCTGGCGAGCTTAGCAGTGCTGAGTCGGGCTGGGGGGCTGAGGAAGGGAGGCGGGAGCAGCAGGCAGGCCCCTAAGATCCCCTCTGTTGGGGACTATGGGCGAGGACAGAGCGTGCGGTTACCGAGTCGATGACGAGTTTCTGGTCGGATATTCCTGAGAAGTCCCCGTTGTGGTCAAACAGCTCCGTGATGCCCATCGACTTCAGGGCGTCCACGAGGTTGTAGTTCTTCTCCAGCTTGAACCTCGGCAGGCGCACCTCACGGGTTCTGCTCAGAGAGGAAAGGAAATCAAGCGTCATCGCGACAGCCGTACGGGAGGGCGGACCTCGGCTGTGCCGGCTCCCGGGGCTGCCAGGTGCAGGACCCCAAAACCCCGGGCAAGAAAAGCACCTGCGGGAGATCTGCACCCCTGCCGCCCCCGGAAAGCGAGCGCCCCACCCCGTGACCAAGGCAGCACAGTGTAGTGGAAAGAACGGTGGATCTGGGGTCAGGAGGCTTGGGTTCAAATCCCGTTCGGTTGTAATCTGTGCGAGGTGACTTCTCTGTCCAGCAAGGGGCTGGATGAAATGATTCCTAAGGTCTTTTCATGTGCGAACCTCTGTGGTCCGGTGACAGTTGATAGTTTACTATGGAGGGACTAGGGCCAGAATGTGATCTGACTGATAGAGGGAGCTCCTCCCACAGCACGTTGTCTATTGTCTAGTCGTTTTCAGTCATGTCCATCTGTATGACTCTCTGTGGCAGAGATACTGGAGTGGTTTATTTCCTTCTCCTGCCCATTTTACAGAAGGGGAAACCGAGGCAAACAGAGTGAAGTGACTTGCCCAGGGTCACCCAGCTGCTGAGTGTCTGAGGCTGGATTTGAGCTCAGGTCTTCCTGACTCCAGGCCCGGCGCTCTCCCCACTGCTCCTGAGAGATTGTGTCTCGCTCAAGGCCGCCCAGCCAGGACGTGGCGCCTCTGCCTGCCTGTCTTCCTGGCTTAGCGCCAGCTCTCCCTTCATTCCTCCTTGGGCTGCCCCCAAGTCAATCAATAGATGTTCTATGTGCATGCATGCATGCATGCATGTGTACATACATGTGCATATGTGTGTGTGTGCGCACGCACATCTGACATCAGCTCCCTGGCAGGGAAGCCTTTCCTAGGCTGAGAGGCTTCAGGCAGCCCTGGGCTCCGGAAACACTTTGTAAGCACTGGTGACTTTGGTTGGGGATGCTCAGAGGGGCTGCCTGCTTCGCCGTGGGGGACACCGGCTGGCCCCGCAGGGAGGCCCAGAGCGGGACTTCCTCAGTCACCCCTTAGTCTATTCACTGCCCATAGCTCACACTTCTGTGGGGCTTTACGGTTTACAAACTTAGCTCATTTGATCCTCACAACGACGGAGGGAGGGGCTGTGATTATCCCCATTTTACAGATGAGAAAACTGACTAGTCCCTGGTCATGCAACTGGTTTGAGGCCTACTTTGAACTCAGGTTTCCTGCCTCTAGGAAGTTGTTTTTGGGGTTTTTTTTTGTTTTTTGTTTTTTTTCATCTCACAGACTTTTAGTGAAATTATTCATGTGACTCAAAGATAGTGTGGTTCGGGGGCTAGAGCACTGGCTGACCCATGTGGGCCCAGTCTGGTGCTCCAAGGAGCTGCGGAAGAAGGTGCCAGCCTGCCCTGGGAGAACAAAGTCATAGGGCCAGCCCCCACCCCCACCCCATTCACATGCCAGAACGATGATGCAGTAATTCTAAGCCTCCGTCCTGGATAGCCCACAGAGCTGGGAGGCCAGAAGGCTTGAGTTCCAGTCCTGCCTCAGACGTTTAAGTTTCTCCGGGCAGTTCGTGGTCTTCCCATGTCAGTGTTTTCTAGACAAAGGGGATGATAACAGCACCCACCTCCCAGAACAGTTGGGAGGGTTAAGGGAAGTATTGTAGAAAGGGCTTTCTCCTAGCAGCAGCAGCTATTGCAGTAAAGGAAATCCTCCTTGCCTGGTTAGTGGAGTTGAGATCAGAAGAGTCCTGAGAGGGGTCCCCAGCCTGCTGTCATTCCTTCCAACTTTGTGAAACAGCCTGGTGGCTGTGGGAGATCAGAGGAGAGAGAGACAGGCCTTGAGCCAGATGGCTGGAAGAGAGCTCTCTTCAAGGCAGAAGGGAGGCTGTTTGGGGGCGTGCGAGGGGAGCACACCAGGGACCAGACCCAGAAATGGAGAGGAGCAGGGTGTGTTTGGAGGATGGCAGGGAGCAGACTGGAAGGGTAAGAGCAGACAAGGCTGGAGCCCGAGTTCAGGAGGAGTTTGGCCTTCATCTGGTCGGCCACAAGGGCGATTGATAGCTTTGTGATAGCAAGCACCTGAGAAAAATGGTGTTTGGGGGCAAATTCCTTTGGGGTGAGAGGGAAAGATCCAGCAGCACTTGCCGCCACCCTGATCTGGGGCAGAGAAAGGGGGGCGCCAGTGGGAAATACCCAAGGCTTCTGCTTCCACCGTGGTGAAAGCCCTTGAGTGAAGACCCAGGAGACCACAGAGAGGAGGAGAGAGACCCCAGGCTTTCCAGGAAAGAGCCTTGAGAAGATTCTGATGGAGGCTCACAGCTCTCTGGGGGACAGGAACCCAGTCATGGTGACAGCTTGTATAGATCAGCGCAGTCTAGTGTAGACGGACCCAGGAGTGAGGAGACCCAGCCTGGAGTTTCATCTCGGCTTTACCCCCTAGCCACTGCCTGGGTGGGGGACCTTGAGAGGTCACACCTCCCTGGGGCTCAGTTTCCCCATCTTACAGATGGGGGGTTGGAGTTTTCTTCCAGCTCCAAAATACCGGGATTCTTTGAATCGAGTGGGGAATATTAGAAATGCCTCCTGTGACATTCAGCATTGCCTTCCGTTCTCTGAGGTACCTTGGAGGACAGGCCTGTTTCTTCTTCCTTTGGAATACGTTTTATTTCTGCGTCCTCCCCAGTCCTTCTCTGTCAACGCCCTCTCCTCCCTGAGTCTGCTCAGCACACCCTCTTTCTCTGCCCCACCAGGGCCTTCGAGGCCTGTCCTCCTCCCTTCCTTTCCATCTCTATCCCTCTGGTGGTGACTGTGTTCACAGCAATATGGCATCCACTTCCACTCAGGACAGAAACCTGAGAGGCACCGCCTAGGGAGATCTCTCTGGGAGCCAGACACTGTAATTCTTATATTTCCCATACTGGATCAGCCAGCAACCTGACTGTTGATATTTTAAAAATTAAGTATTATAGGGGCAGCGAGGTGGCGCAGTGGATAGAGCACTGGCCCTGGAGTCAGGAGGACCTGAGTTCAAATCTGATCTCAGAACAGAGACTTGACATTTATTAGCTATGTGACCCTGGGCAAGTCACTTAACCCCAATTGCCTCGCCAAAAAAAAAAAATTAAGTATCATGGTTATTTTTGTCCATGTTTGGGGCGGGAGCACTTGGGGTGCAGGGCCGACCCTTGGAGACTTCCCAGTATGGAAATGCCCTTGGCCGATGGACATAGCTACTCCTCTGGAATCTCCAGGTTCAGAGAGTTGCTCAGAGGGGTGGGGAGTTGTCCAGTGTGGCCCATTAGGATGAGACCGAGGCATGTCTGGAACCCAGGTCTTTCTGACTCCCAGCCTGGCTCTCTGTCCGCTCCTCGACACTGTGTGGGGTGGGGAGGAGGTTTGCTGCCCCTCACTTTGTACACTCTTTGGAGAGCAGAGACCATCTTTGTTTACCCAGCACCTCACTTAGTGCTCTGCATGCAATAATTGCTTAATTAATGTTCATTGAATTGATTCTCCCCACCCCAATATCAAGTCTTCTCTGCCCCAGGGTTAGTGGTGCTGGTTCCTTAGCTGGCCTTTGAGGGACAGGGGCCTTCCTACAGGGACCCTCTTAACGTATGTCTTCTAGCACTGACCAGGCAGTGAGACGTCTGCTCGCTCTGTCTATCAATTCCAATATTGTTTTAGTCTAAATGTCACATTTTGTAGATGTTGGAAGCCCCCAGTGAGGAAAGCGCCCCATCTCCAGTGCAGATGGGCCACAAGTGAAGGGCCTGCCCGGCCCCCGGAGCTTCCGGGAGCCGGAGGCAGGCCTTGGGACCAGATCCTGCCCACTCTGAGACTGGCACCATCTCGTGCTGTCTGCCGCTTCCTTTTTATCCTCTCATCCCACGTCAGATGCCAGTGTTGACTGCCGCCGTCTGCGACGGCCTTTGTCCCCATTCCCTCAGGAAGACCCCTCAGAGTGCAGCTGCTCCGGCCCTGGAGCCCGTGGCCTGGCCCTCGCTCCCCACCTCCCCCGGGCCCCGAAGGAAGTTGATGCATCTTTGCAGCTTCAGTGTGCGGCCCAGCGCCAGGCTCATGGGGAACGCTGGGACCGGCCTCTGGGGGGCCCCCCTCACAGACTGTGGACGATGCCCCTACCTGTTGGTCATACTCTTCTGCCATCTCTCCACTGCCCGCGGGCTGAGCTGGGCCTCAAGCGCCCGCATGCCCGCCAGCTTGTGCGGCACCACGATCAGCATGCTGATGTCCCCCACGTACTGCAGCTGCAGCACGTCGCAGTCCAGCTCCTGGTCGTTGGCCACGAGGAAATTGCCTTTGGTTTGCATCATGGGGACCTTGACCACCTCTCTCTCATTCAGGCGGAAGTTGGCATTATGTGTCATTTCCACTGGGAATTTGTTCACCCAGGTACCTGTAAATTCAACAAGAAAGGGGCTGTCAGAGCAATCTCAGGCGATTATTTGGAATGCGAAGGGAGCCCCGGGGGCAGCTGGAAGAGCCCTAGCCTGGGCATTGGGAAGCCTGGGGGGAGGCCTGTGTGACCCTGGGTGAGTCCCTTCCCCTCTCAGAGCCTCAGGCTTCTTCTCTTTTAATGAGGGTGATTGGACGGGCTGGCATTCTGGGGAGCGCTGTTACTGAAGCCTTAGTCTCTCCTGGTGGCCAGCCATCAAGGTCCAAACTGCCCAAAGCAGCAGGAAACGTTGTGATAAATACCCTTGGGTGTCAACATCAGTATCCAGGCTGAGCATTGGGCTTAGTAAGATGAATAAGCGGAAATTTAGTTATTAGATGGCAGTTCTGAAAAAGAGCTGGGGGTTTTAGTGGACCACAAGCTCATATTGGCGGCCAGAAAACATCCGATGATCTTGGACTACATTAAGAGGAAGGGCAGAGCTTCCTGCAATAGAGAGGTGACTGTCCCCACGCCTTGCTGCCAGTTCTGTGGGCCGCCAACCTGAAGTGAAAGGTCCTGAGTCCACTTGGGGCCCTGGGAGGCAAGTGTGTTGTCCAGGGTCTCTCAGTCAGTCGGTACCAGAAGTGCTACTTGAACCCAGGTCTTCCTGGGCTCCCTGTCTAGCTTGCTGGGTGACACCTCTAGCCTCCCCTCTTACTCAGTGGTAGGTAGGTAGGTAGGTAGCGAGCCCCCAAGACGGCCTTGTCGCCCAGGACTGCGCCTCACCCCAGCCTCAGGGACTGAGCACTCCTGGCCAGCGCTGCCCTGGGAGGGTCGCCCTCGGTGTCCGGGGAGGCCTGGGCATTCTCTAATGGCTCTCCTGCTCCCACATCTTCCTCCACGCTCCAGTGGAAGGCAAATTTTGACTTTTGGTGCATCGCTCTTGGCAATATGATTTTAAAACATGCTGGATCTGTGTGGCGGTAGGATTCATCTCTGCTCATTCTCTCACTGGGGGCCCTGCTTTCCCCCACCCAGCAGTCCTACTCCAGCCCCCTTGCTCCTCAGTAGACTGTTAATGAGCTGCCGTGGCCAGACCACTGTCAACCTGAAGAGGCTGATAAAACAAATGGTCCCTGTGTTGGAGTAGCTACCAAGTCCTGTGGTGCCACTCTGAGGGCCCTGGGGTGATCCCTCCCTTCTCGCGGCCCCTCTGGAGAGGGAGCTGGCCTGGCTTCAGATTTCTGGCCTTCCTGCTCAGGACGGGTGCCTTCCCCTCTCCTTTCTGAGCCTCAGTGTCCTTCTTTGTAAAATGGGGTGGTCAGACTCAAGGTCTAGGGTCCCACAGCACTTGGTGGGTGGGATGCCTTCCTGGGTCAGCTCTCTCATTGTGTGCCTCATTGTCTAGCTCAGGCTGTGCCAGCAGAGGGTTGGAGAGCCCAGCTGGGCATCTGAGGAGGCCGTGATGGCGTCAGAGCTTTAGGTTTGCCCCAGTCAGAAAGAGCTCCCCTCCTAGTTTCCTTGTCAACCTTTAGGATAATTTCTAAAAGCAGCATGGTGGAGAGAGCCAGCCTTGGCTGAAGTCCTGCCCTCTGACCCCACCTGGCTGGGTGACCCTGAGCAGCTCATGTGAGCTCTTCCTGCTCTGAGACTCTGGGCGCAGAGAGGAGCGTTAGTGTGGGGAGGCTCCTCACCTGGGACTTCTCCATCAGTGAAGTCACTGATCAAATCCAGGTTGATACCTTCCCCTGCCTGCGCCCCTCCCCCCATTTTAATGAAGTAGTAAGCACAGGAATCATAGACTGAGTGAATCTGAGGCTTGTAAGGGGTCTCCTGGGCCGTCTAGCGACTCTGGCCCAACCCCTTCTTTCAGCATGGAGCTCTGATGTGGTGTGTCGCCTCTACTTTACTCTGGTTCCAGTGACAGGGAGCCTCTCTACTTCCCCGCATAGGGCATAGTTGCACCGATCTCACTGGCAGAAACTTTAACTTAGTTAAAATCCACATCCTTGTACTGTGCAGGGCCATCCCAGCCCATTCTGCCCCACTGATGCTGACCCACTGGGATATTTTATAGTCTCTGGACAGATACAGATTATGATTTGGCCCTGCCGGGTGATCCAGGAAAGAAATGGGGCTGCACTTTGGACCACCTTACCACCTGCCTCTCCCTGAAACACGTCCTCATCAGATTTGTTTGCACAGACACCCGCTCTCCTGCTTTAAGTGATCTGTGCCCGTGCTGTACCCTCACCAGGGCTGCTGTGCTGCTCTGGGCATGCTTGTTCCCAGCTGTCCGCTACACCCCTTTCCAGGGACAGAAGGCAAAAGGGAGTTCACTTGCTATCTAATCAAATAGGTAGCTCCCAGCTGGGCCTCACCTTAGCCCTCAGCTGCCTTTCCTTCTCTAGTTCTGTGGGCGGACTTTGGAGCAGTCCAGGTTTGGACCCTGACCCAGCGCCTGCCCTGGGGACTGGCCACACATACTGCACTGATCACCCAAGGAGAGGATTCCTGCTTTCAAACCCCAAGGAGGAGCTGCCAATCAACTGAACCCACCCCCTCCAGTTTCCCATTGAGCACCAAACTGCCCGGCTCCCTGACCCCAGTGCCTATATGCTCCCTCTCCATTGCTGTTCATTGAAAGGACAGCCTTCCTCAGGCCATGCTCAGCAATGCCTGTGCCTTGTGGCCTTCCAGCACCCCACTGTCCTGCTGTCCCAACACTAGGAAGTGATCCTGGGCCTGAAGGCCAGCTCTGGCCCCTGCCTACTGCCTCTGGGGCACCCAGAGATCTCGAAAGGCTCCTGCTCTGTGGAGGGACTTGTCTTCCTGGTACTACAGTCTCACAGAGCAGTTGAGAGGATTATAGATCTTATTAAAGAAAACCTGCCTGCCTCACAAAGTGACCCATCATCTCACCCATCACAAAACACTAATTGTATTTATTAGCCCCCTTTCACTACTCAGTGTCCGTGCCCTAGGAGATAATTGCATTTTGCCTTCAGAAACACTGACTTTGCAGCCAGGACACCTGACTTCACATTTTCTAAGACACTGAGGAGTCATGAACAGGAGCAGATCACTTAACCTGTCTGAGTAAGAGCCATTCCCCAACTCAAGAATAATCAAAGGACCTCAACAGGCAGTTTTCAAAGGAAGAAAGCCTGGCTATCGACAGCCATATGAAGGAAGTTCCCAAATCACTCATAATTAGAGAAATGCCATTTTAAACCACTCTGCGGCACCACCTCACTCCTATCAGATTGCCTGTATTCATAGAAAAGGAAAATGACAGCCTCTTGAGGGCCTTTGGAGAAAAAGGCACATGAACGTGAACTGGTCCAGCCATTCTGAAAAGCTGTTTAGAACTGTGCCCCCCAGAGTCGCCAAACTGTGCGTCCACTTTGACCTGGAGATACCTCTGCCAGGCCCGCTCCTAGAGACAGCCAAGAAAACATAGGTAAAGATACCTCGAGACTGGTCTTTTGAAAACGAGAGGTGCCATCAGTTGGAATGGCCAAATAAGACTGTGGATGTGAATGCAGTGGATACTGTCGTGCTGCAAAAAGGATGAAGAGGGGAGTTTCAGAAAAACCCTGGAAGACTTTGATGAACTGATGCAGAGCAAAGTGAGTGGAACCAGGAGAACAGCTCATGCAGTAACAAAAACATCATAAGACAAACGGCTTTGAAAGACATAAGGAACTCTGCTTGAGGCAGTATCAGCCGTGATTCCAGAGGACTTAGGATCCAGAGGGTCACCTGCCTCCCACAGAAAGGCTATGGATGGACTCAAGGTGAGACAGGAGGTTTTGGATACAGCCAATGGAGGGAACTGGTTTTTCCTGACTGTTGTTAACAAGGACTTTTCTGTTTGTGGCATAGGGGCACAAAGAAGAGTGAGAAGAGAAAGACTCATTAATTGAGAAATGAGTTACATTAAAAATTAACCTCTCTGAGCCTCCAGCTCTTGAGTATCTTAGTATGGGGCTCCTGTGGGCACACATGCCCTCCCTTCTTCTCAAGATTATTGCATAGAGCCTTGGGCACGTGGGGTGAGTTTTTGGTTGTTAGTGACCTCTGGTTTCATTGTTACAGGGAATTATTCCCAGGGAGGATACCCCCCTCCCCCCACTGCAGGGGCAGTTTAGCACCTTCCTGGTGACTGACTGGTGGTCTTTGAGAATCGTTTGGGAGTCAGTGAAAGGAGAAGCATCTTACCCAGGAGAGGCCAGAGGCCCAGTTCTACCCCGGTCCGAGGCCGACCCTCTCGCCGCTACACTATACTGCCTCTCGCTAGTGTTACTGGAATGGATGAAGATCACTCCATCCCAACCCATCCCAGCGGGTGGACCTGCCCTGTCATGCTGAAAGAGTGAGAGGAGACCCTGTATTACCTTTAAAGTAAATACAGTTCAGAATCATCATCTGTGTCACGGGGTCTATATTCACCAGGGCATCCTTTATGAGGCCCTTGGTGACCTTCAGGATACGGTCGTTGGCCTTGGTGACGAAAGCGGGCTCTGAGAAATCAGCAGGCTGGGCCTCGGCGAAGTAATACTCCCTCATCTTGTTTTGGAAGTCCTCCAGGATGGGAATTTGCCTCTGAATGTAAAGATCGTTCACTGACCGCAGAGTGTAGCCAAAATTCCTCCTGAAGAGGCGATGGGTCAGCTTCCGGAAGAGGTTGTGCACGGTCTGACTCTCGTACTTGCTGCTGGCATTCACAAAGTCCTTGAAGTACAAGGCAGAGTGGACCTGCTCGTGCGTGCCTCCCCTCAGGCCCAGGGAGATCATGCCCATGGCCGTCGAGATGCCCACGGGCGCCAGGAGGATGTTGCTGGTGGGGTCGGCGGCCTCCTTCATGGTCCTGTACAGGTTGAAAGCGAACTTGGCGTTGAGAATGTTGAGGCGCTGGATTCGACTCTTCCCCTGGAACAGCTCCAGGATGTTTCTGGGCGGGGCCTCCGGGTCCGTGGGGGAGACGGCGTCGATGATGTCAATGTAGTCATCGTCGTCGCCGAAGATCTTCTCCAGGTCCAGGTAGTCGTCCTCCCCCTCCTCTTCCACCATCAGATCGTTTGTCACTGTGTTTTCCTTGTGGAAGTCGGCTGGGAGGAGAGGCATGCTTAGGTTTGTGGGGTCCAGCTGCCCCCACCTCCCTTCGGCTGAGGGGGATTTTGCCCCATTCTCCGGGAGGCCCACGGCTTCCTTGTTCTTCCCAGATGCAGGTGATGTGACTAGAGAAAGGAGGAGGAGGTGGAGCCCGAGTTTCATTCTGAGACTCTGCCAGGGGAAGAGAAGAGGAATCAGTTAGCATTTTGGCCCTCGACCTTTGCATAAAAATAGAGGGTGCAGGGCAGTGGGCTTGGTGCTGGAGGACAGAGCCGGCCCTGCATTTTTCAGATAAGGAAACTGAGGAGCCTGGTGCACTTTTCCATGGTACCACGCTGCTTCCCTGTTCTATACTAATGCCTTTCTCTGTGTGCACCTACACTTCACCATGGCATGATAACCCAGGGTTCTCAGAGGCTGTGCCAGCAGGGCAGCCCCTGCCAGTTCAGACTGCGGAGGAGCAGGTGTGCAGGACAGGCTTTGGTCCCAGTGAGTCGCCTCCCTGAGACCTTCTCCTCCCCGTGACACGCCACAGTCTTTCTCAGGGCCTTGCTCACTGCGGCCGCTTTATGAGTGGTCATGACCCGAGTGTGCTTTTCACTGGCTGAGCAAAGAGGCAGCCGTCCTGGGTGCGTTAAGGAGAAAATGCCTCCCCGATGCGTCCCCTCACCGCCTGTTTCTGCCCTGGAGACTCTGGTGCCATTAAATCCACCGATGCCAGAGCCCTGCCAGGCTGCTTTTAGCAGCCCCTGCTCTGGAGGGGGAGGGATTCCAGGGAGACGCAACCAGCCTTCCGCAGCATGGGTCGTGGCACGCTTCCTGTTGAGTTCAGCATTCATCAAGCATACACAGCCTCCTGTTGCCCTTCCGACTCCCCCACCCCTGTCCCGTCCCCAAACCTCAAAGCCCTTTTAATTTTCGGCAGCTGGGCTGGACACCCAAGTGAATCAGTAAGTGCTGTATAGGCCTGTGTGGCGGGGCTGGCCTGGGGCTCTGTGCCCCTGTGCTAAATGGCCTCACTGCGGCCTGCTTTTAAAAGATTTGCTCCCTCCTCGGAATCTTCCTGTTTTGCTTTGGCGTGCTCATGGCATCCCCTCCTCCTCTCCCACTGTGCTGTGGTTAGCTGAGCAGACATCCAGTGTTGTGCAGAATTAGGGCTAAGGTCAGGAACTGTGGTCAAAGTGCGCGTGCTTTAGTGTAGGGAGGGGGATCACCTCCATGTCGGCTGCCCTACCCCAGCCTCAGCCCCAGGCCCCACACTCACCTGCATGGGCTTGACTTCTCACAGCTCAGGATTCCTTCCATCCTTCGTCCAAACATTCCGCTTCCCTCACTCACACGCGCACACATGCACGCACACATTTGCACACGTGTACACACACATACCCACGCACTTCTTGGGACTTCACTGCCCTTGGGGCGTAAGCAGGTCTAGAACTTAGATAACCTCTTAGCCTCCTCTGTTTGCCTCAGCTCGGGTCCTCCAGGAGAACAGACCCAGCCAGCCTGGCCCTAGCTGTGAGGTCCAGATCCCCCCACCCCCACCTGCCTGACTCCCCTGGGGAGGAGGCCCTCGGCCAGGAAATAGAAGTCTCATGAAAATAATGGCTCTGATTTCTCTCATGATTTAGTGTATTTTAGAGCCCAAAACCTCTGTAAGGAGGGGCTGCTGAAAGCACCACCATTTCTGCAGTTGAGGAAACAGGCATGTAGTAATTCCCCAGGGTCGTACCATGAGTGAGCATCAGAATCAAGGCCTGTTGACCCTGAGACCATTGTCCTTCCCCCTGGGCAGCGCTGCTGCCTCCCAAGGCTTTGTGCTCCTGGTCGGGAGGAGCCTGCTGGGGTGGAGTCCTGGGCTGCTTTCTGCAGCTGTGATACTGAGGCAGAGGTTTCCAGCATTAACCCTTCCCTGCGCCCTCTGCTTCTCTTCTTCCTGGGTTCTTTTCTCCCCCGGAATATTATTTTTTGCTTTTCCTTGAGAGGTAGATTACAAGCTGCTTGGCTTAACTCTATACTAGGCACAAATGTTTCTGTATTAACCAAATAAAGAAATGCAGGTCCCGCTTCATCCTTTGGGAAACGGTTTCCTTATTGTAGAAAGGGCTAATAGCATGTGCATGAGAAGAGGGCTACAGAAGTGTGAGTTACTCGTATTAAGTTCATTTTCTACTGACAGTTAGACATCATTTCCCGCCAGTGAACCCTACATTCTAAAAGCCACAGAAAAAGGAAGTGATGAGGAAGTTGCTTCATGGTAAATTTATGAAAGTCCCATTAACGAAAGCGCATTAGACTAGAGGCCAGAAGCCTAGGTTCCCATTCCCACTTGGTAGTTGGGTGCCCCAGGGCAAAGCCTCAGGCTTCAGCCCTTTGGAAAAGGAAGAGGCCCGTCCATCCCTTAATCAGGGCTTCTGGGAAGCCTGATTTCTTGAGGCAGGCTGGGAGGAAGGCCTTAATAATGGGAAAAAATACAGTTATCCAGAGGAATCTCCTTTCATTTGAGCTTCCGATCTCTGAGGAAGGCAAGGCAGAGAAGGGAACTGAGGCCTGGAGAGGTGTAGTGACTGGGAGAGCTAGAGCCTTTGTTTAGCACCTGCTGTGTGCCCGAAGCGTCCCAGGTGATCGAGTCTGCACAGGGGCTCAAGGAGGTCTTGGGCTCCCCGGCCAGGCAGGGCCCCATCTGGCCCGCCAAAGAGGAAACGGCAGAGGACACTGGCTGTTTGTTTGGCTGACATTTGGGCTGCGTGGGTGCTGCCGCCTCCTCCCAGCAGGGACAGAGTTGGAGCTTCTCGGAGGCCAGGCTGCGGTTAGCCCCGTGAGCCCCATCAGCCCATTGTCCAAGGCCCGGCTGAGCAGCATCCAGAAGGGCTCGCTCCATCCACCACAGGGATTAGGGCATCCCCACCCCCCACACCAACCCCAGGAAATTGTTCATCCCTCCAGCACCGATTGGAATTTAGAAACTTCTTAATCCTTATTCCTTGGCTGAGCAACTGTTAGTGACATTTGTTTTCAGAAAAGTAACCCGAGAGCTGTTTTAAAGAGAGCCTGTACTTTTGAAGGAACCGGGTCTTGGGGGCCTAGAGACTGACCCCCAAGCCACTTCTGACTTTTTGATCCAGCAACAGATCAGTAACAAAACATCTGGTAAGAAATGGTAGATGGTCTTTGGTTATCTGGAAACCTAGTGATCCCTTCTTTTATCTTCATTATGTGTTACACAAAAGGGCCCTGAGGGCGTGAGTGTATGCTTGGGTGCAGGGACGTCTGCTTGGATTCTGGAGGCCTGGGTTCAGAGCCCAGGTCTGCCATTCACCAGACAGAGGACTGTGGACAAGTCCCTGCCCTTCCCTTCCCTTCCCTGAGCTGTTTCCTCATCTCTGAAGTGACCTCAGGGCTGGGAAGGCCATTATCAGTCTGCTCTGCCTGGTTTCTTTTGCAGATGAAAACCCCCCAGACCCAAATCAGGGCAGTGACTTGCCCGCAGTCACGTATGCTTGGCCCTTGTTTGTGACTACACTTCACTAGACCGTCATGAAGGTCCAGCCCTGATATTGATAGAATCTCAGCAGGGCAAGGGGCCTCGGAGGCCAAAGGTCTGCAGGGAGGACAGTTCCTCCAGCTTTGGGGAGCTGTTGTTTAGAAGCTCTCCATACCCCTTGGCCTCTTTGTAATATCCCCTTGTCTCCTAGTGCTGCCCTCAGGGCCTAAGCCAGACAAAACCAGTTCCTTTCCCAGGACTGTCCAGTCCTGTGTCTGGCATAAGCCCCCACTGCTTCCTTCTCCCAAGACTAGATGACCTGTTAACGTCAGACTGGATGTCTGCTGGGGTCCCTTCCAGCTCTCCCCTTGGGGTTCTGTGCTGCCTCTCCCCCCCAACATGCCCAGCCTGCAACACCACCTTCTAGCAAGACAGGGAAACTGAGGCCCGAGGAAGGGAAGGCTTTCCCAGGCTGCCCAGCAAGTTGGGGAACAGGACGATGCCCAGTCCAAGCCCTGCGTTTACCAGAAAGGGAAAAGAGACTTTCCCAAAGGCACCCCATGATGGGGCAGAAGAGGCTGCATGGGAACCCGGCCCTGGTGAGCCCTGGTGAGCCCAGGCCCGGGTGTCCTTCTGCGGCCTCCCAGCGTCCTGCCCTCACAAGAGGAAGGAGGGGCCTGGACGGGAGATGGCCTGACAGTGAACATCAAACACTTCTTCCATTGGCCACGCTTTGACCCCAGGCCCCGCCAGGCACATAGTAGGTGCCCACTACGTACCTGGGACCGAAGAAGACAAACCCGTGTGAGGGCACAGGGACGGGGAGCCGTTCTTACCTCGGTGCTCTTGAGCTGATGAGACCTGCAGCCTCCAGTGACCAGTTCAGTTGAAATGTGTACTTTGGGGCCGGGCTGGTGCATGTTTTCCAAGGTAAATAGGATCCAAATCAAACACCCCTGAATGCCTTTGTCAGCAAAAACCACCCTCCCCCTGTGTTTGCCCTAGGGCTGCTGCACAGGCTCGGACACTGGCCTGCATGGAATGTTTGGAAGGCCCAGGGTTCTGGATGCTTGCCTGGCCTCCCTCGGCCTGCTGGGAAGTTCGTGCTCAGGGGCCTGTTCTGGAGCCAGGAGACCCAGGATCTGCTCCCAGCTCCGAATCACTTCTCTCGAGGTCTCTCTTCCCTAAATGGAGGGGTTGCAGGCTCCGTTGTCATCTCTCACCCCCTGGGTCTTAGCATGGTAACAGGCAACATTCAGAGCCTTTTTGGTTTTCAGAGCACCTTTCCCTGTTTGCATTTAAAGCCTTTCCCAGATTGGCTCCAGCCAACTGGCCTTTTAGAAACTATTCCTTGTGTCTCCATGCCTTTGCCTAGGTTGTGCCCCCTGCCTGGAATGCCCTCCCTCCTCACCTCCATCTGGCATCCCTGCCCTCCTTTGGAGCTGGGCTTCAATGCTGCCTCTTAGGGAAGCCATCTATCTACCAATGACCATGGGTCTTGGGCAGCTGGGGGATGCCACAGGGCACAGAGCGCCAGGCCTGGAGTCAGGAAGACTCATCTGAGTTCAGATCTACCTTCTGACGCTTTCTAGCTGTGTGACCCTGGGCAAATCACTTCACCCTGTTTGCCTCAGTTTCCTCATGTGTAAAATGAACTGGAGAAGGAAATGCAAACCACTCCAGTATCTTTGCCAAGAAAATCCCAAATGGGGGCAGAGCCAAGATGGCAGAGGGAAAGCTGTGACTTGCTTGAGCTCTCCCTCAAACCCCTCCAAATGCCTATAAAAAATGACTCTAAACAAATTCTAAAGCAGCAGAACCCACAAAAAGACAGAGTAAAACAAATTTCCAGGCCAAGACAACCTGGATGGTTGATCGGAAAGGTATATCGCGCCAGGCAGGGAGAAGTTTGGTGTGGGCGTGCAGGCCACAGCGACCCTGGAGCAGGCCTCAGAGGACTGAATTGCAGGCAGCTGTGGTGGTTTCCAGACCTCTCAACCCACGAACACCAAAGACAACTTGGAAGGTCAGTGGGAAAAGTCTGTGACTGCAGTGAGAGAGAGAAGCTAGGTCTCGGCTGCAAGTGCCAAACGTGGCCCGGAGCAGCAGCTGCCTCCTTAGCTTCCGGCCCATAGACTGAGGGGAAATCGAGTGACTGATCAGAGCGGGAATGCAAGGGTCTCTTTGCCAGTTCTGAGGCAGGAATCTCTTGCTTTGTCCATGCTTGAATCTGGGTCACAGTTCTGAGGGGCAGTCTTGGGGCGAGGAGGAACACTGGTGTGGTGAAGCTTCTTGTGGTGGTGGAGAGGAAACACCTCGCCCCTTATCATAGCACCTTAGAAGAACTGAAAATTTTCAGGTCCCTAGAAGTATCTCTGAAAACAGCTGTACAAACCCCCGAATCTTGGGATAGTACATTCTCCACATTGGAAGCAGACTCTTACCTTAACAAAGAGTTTAAAACTCAAGTAATTGGTTGGGATCATGAGCAAACCTCGCAAAAAAGAGTCAGACTATATTATCTTACTTTGGTGATAAAGAAGATGAAAACATACAACCAGAAGAAGAAAACAAAGTCAAAGCTCCTACATCCAAAGCCTCCAAGAAAAATATGAATCAGTCCCAGGCCTTGGAAGAGCTCAAACGGGATTTTGAGAAGCAAGTAAGAGAAGCAGAGGAAAAACTGGGAAGAGAAATGAGAGTGATCCAAGAAAATCATGAAAAACAAGTTAACAGCAAACAAAAGGAGCTCTCTAAAGGAGACCCAAAAAAATACTGAAGAAAGTAACACCTTAAAAAAATAGCCTAACCCAAATGGCAAAAGAGGTCCAAAAAGCCAATGAGGAGAAGAATGACCTAAAAAGCAAAATTGGCCAAATAGAAAAGGAAGTCCAAAAGCTTACTGAAGAAAATACTTCCTTAAAAATTAGAACAGAGGGGCAGCTAGGTGGTGCGGTGGATAGAGCACCAGCCCTGAAGTCAGGAGGACCTGAGTTCAAATCTGGCCGCAGATCAAACACTTGACACTTAGCTGTGTGACCCTAGGCAAGTCACTTAACCCCAAATGCCTTAAAAAAAAATTAGAATAGAGCAATTGGAAGATAGTGACTTTATGAGAAATCAAGACACTGTAAAACAAATCCAAAAGAATGAAAAATTAGAAAACAATGTGAAATATCTCATTGGAAAAACAACAGACCTGGAAAATAGATCCAGGAGAGAGAATTTAAAAATTATTGGACTATCTGAAAGCCATGATCAAAAAAAGAGCCTAGACATCATCTTTCAAGAAATTATCAAGGAAAACTGCCCTGATATTTTAGAACTACAGGGCAAAATAGAAATTGAAAGAATCCACTGATCCCCTCCTGAAAGAGATCCCCAAATGAAAACTCCTAGGAATATTGTAGCCAAATTCCAGAGTTCCCAGGTCAAGGAGAAAATATTACAAGCAGCCAGAAAGAAACAATTCAAGTATTGTGGAAACACAATCAGGATAACACAAGATTTAGCAACTTCTACATTAAGGGACCGCAGGGCATAGAATATAATATTCCGTAGGGCAAAGGAGATAGGATTACAACCAAGAATCACCTACCCAGCAAAACTGAGTATAATCCTTCAGGGGAAAAAATGGTCATTCGGTGAAATAGAGGACTTTCAAGCATTCTTGATGAAAAGACCAGAGCTGAATAGAAAATTTGACTTTCAAATACAAGACTCAAGTGGAACATGAAGAGGTAAACAAGAAGGAGAAGTCATAAGAGACTTATTAAGGTTGAACTGTTTACGTTCCTGCATGGAAAGATGATATTTGTAACACATGAGTCCTTTGTCAGTATTAGGGTAGTTGGAGGGAAAAAATTATATGTATGTGTGTATATACATAGGTAGATAGATAGATAGAGGGCACAGGGTGAGTTGAAGATGAAAGGGTCATATCTGGGGAATAAAATTAAGGGATGAGAGAGGTTTGTACTAGGAGAAGGAGAAAGGGAGAGGTAGAACGGGTAAATTATCTCACAAAAAAAAACAAAAGAAAAGGTTCTTACAGTGGAGGGGAAACGGGGGAAGATGAGAGGGAATGAGTGAATCTTATTCTCATAGGATTTGACTTAAGCAGGGAATAATATACACACTCAATTGGGTGTGGAAATCTGCCTTACCCTACAGGAAAATAGGAGGGGAAGGGGACAAGAGGGTAGGAGGATGATAGAGAGGAGGGCAGATTGGGAAAAGGAATAATCAGAAGCAAATACTTCTGAGGAGGGACAGGGTCAAAATAAAGAATAGAATAAATTGGGGGGCAGGATAGGATTTAGGGAAACAGAGTTAGTTTTTCACTACTATGGAAGTGTTTTGCATAACTGCACATATATAGCCTATATTGAGTTGCTTGCCTTTTCAATGAGGAGGGGTGGGGAGGGAGGAAGGGAGAAAATTTGGAACCCAAAGGTTTTTTTTGTTTATTTGTTTTTTGTTTTGTTTTTTTTGGTAAGGCAGTTGGGGTTGAGTGACACAGCTCATCTGTGTCAAGTGTTTCATCTGAGGCCAGATTTGAACTTGGGTCCTCCTGACTTCAGGGCCAGTGCTCTATCCACTGTACCACCTAGCTGCCCTGGAACCCAAAATTTTAAAAACACATGTTTAAAAAAAAAATGTTTTCACATGCAACTGGGAAATAAGAAATACAGGAAATGGGGTACAGAAATCTGTCCTGCCTTACAGGAAAATAGAAGGGGCAGGGGATAAGAGAAGCGGGGGAGAGATAGAAGGGAAGGCAGATGAGGGGTAGGGGTATTCAGAATGCCTGCCATCTTGGGGTGGGGGGAGGGGCAAGATGGGGTGAAAATTTGGAACTCACAATCTTGTGGAAGTAAATGTTGAAAACTAAAAATAAATAAATTCATTAATTTAAAAAAAAAGAAAATCCCAAATGGGGTCACAGAGAGTCAGATATGACTGAAAAAAGGACTGAATATGCTTTTGTATCTACGTATATATGCATGTCTTGTTTTCCCCAGTGGATAGTAAGTGCCTTGCAGGCAGGAGCTGTTCATTTTTTGCACTCACCCCAGGGCCTAGCACTTAATAATACTTGTGGATTGATTGTGTCCTCATAATACTTCTGAAAGAGAAGGAGATGATTTTTCAGAGATTAGCATCCCCATTTTCCAGGTGAAATAGCTGAGTTCTAGCTAGATTAAAGAACTTGCCCTTGGCCCCAGAGCTAAGCAGTATCAGAACCAACCCTCAAACCCAGATCTGAGCCCAGCCCTCCTCCCCGTTTCGCTCACAGCACCCGCGTCAGGTCCCTGCACATCCAAGACGCTCAGTCCACAGTTATCGAACAGAATGATGCTTTGGGGAGGAGATCCTGCTGGCCCCCTAAGGCACACTTGAAATCTTGGGGTCACAGTGGGCTTGCTGCCGGGAACGCCTCCTCAAAGGCACATGCCTCATGGAATCAGAGCAGAGGGCCCTCAATAGTTAATGCCAGAGAGGACCTCGGAGGTCAGTGGGACCCAGGCACTCAGGCCCACCGAGGAAAGCGGTTTGCCCAGGCTCACCAAACCGTGCAGAGCTCAGACAGCTGAGGGCCCACGGGCCACCCAGGGAGCTGCTCTGGGGGTGGGCTGGGGCATGTCCAGCGTACATCCAAAGGAGACTCCATCCCTAGGACCATAGCAGTGCCTGCTTCCTCTCTGGCCATTCTCTTTATCTGACGGTTGGACCGGGTGCTCTCGGAGGCCCCCCAGCTCTGTCCTTGTGGGGTTGGCCTCTCTAGAACCCTCTCCGGCCTGAGATTCCCCATGGCAAGGCCTTCTTCTGTATTGTCCAGGCCTGCTGCAAATGTGCACAGGGAGTTTATTTTGGGGGGATAAATGGCCATGGAAAGAGGCCGCTCTGCCCCGGTCAGTCTCTCTGGCAGATCGCCAGGTAATAACGCCCAGCCAGGAGGCCCTGCTGACGCTGTTCCCCCATCAGACTTCTCTTCTATCTAGTTCAACAAGTGTTTGTTAGACATTGCATGGAGCAGTGGGAAGAAAATGGGATTTGGAGGCAGGCTGGAAATCTGACCTCTGCCATGATCATATGTGGAGGCTTGGGCCAGCTACTAAGCCTCAGTTTACTTATCTGTAAATTGAGCCACTAGGACTAGACGCTTTGTGCAGTTTCTTCCAGCACTGAGTGTCTGGACCTCTGTGTCAGGTGCTGTTGACATCTGAGCCAGCAGCTAGTGATTGCTCCCCCGAGAGGCATGAAGACAGAGTAAGAGGCCTTTGTGCCTCGGAGTGACTTCTGACCCATGCCAGGTAGGGGATGCTGGGCAAAGAAGCCCCTTTGCTGCTTGTGACCCGAGGCAGCCATCTGCAGTCGGGCAGGTGTGGCGCCCGTGTTCCCCCGGCCCCCATGGCATTGGCATGTTCCGGGTCCTTCTTCAAGTGTTGGAGGGCAGGATCATGTTGCCGTTGGGTTTTCTGAACCTCCTTTTTCTGTTCCTCTCTGTCCTCGTTCCATTAGCTCACACGACGCCTGCTCCCCATCAAGAAGGCCAAACCAAGACTTCAGAAGCTGTTCCGGGATTTCTGGCTCTATTCGGTGCTCATGGGATTTGCTGTGGAAGGCTCAGGTAGGCACACATGCTTGGGCTTTGGGTGGGTCTTCAGGTCCCACACCCGTGGCCAGAACGTGCCCAGCATTGGCCTCAGGCGGGCGTGAGTTTGGACACGGCGGGATATGCTTCTTTCTCCGTAGGATACGGGTTCTTGGTAGAGGCTTCATTTCCCAGGTATGTTGTTGAAAGGTCTGAAGGTAGTGCCCCTGCTGGGGCAGCCCTGTGGGTCTTCTAGACAGAGCCCCATGGCCCCTTCCTCACCTTGGCCTGGGGCCAGAGGGTGGCCCTACACTTAGTCTGGTGAGGAGACCCCCACAGGCTCTGGCGAAGGAACCCCACTCTCCAAACTCAGCAGACGGGGTGATGAGCCCGCTCGTGCCGACTTGACGGATCCGTAGTGGGAGGGATCTGTAGCAGACAGCAACACCGCCAAGCTCATGTGCACAGACTCCTCTCTCTGGGCGGGCGAGGCTTGGTGGTCGTGCCTTCTTCATGCCCCGGTGCCCCGGCCAGGATGGGGCGTGCTCCGAGTCAGGGGCTCACATCTTGAAGACGCCACACGGGGGCTCGGCCTCAGGTCGTGACCATGTTTCATTAGACATCGTCATGGTCCAGTCCTGTCCAACTCTCTGTGACCCCATTTGGGGTTTTCTTGGCAGAGATACTGGAGTGGTTTGCCATTTCCTTCTCCTGCTTATTTTACAGGTGAGGAAACTGAGGCAAACAAGTTAAAGTGACTTGCCCAGGGTCACACAGCTAGGAAGTATCTGAGGCCAGATTTGAGCTTGAGTCTCCCTGACTCCAGGCCAGGCTCTCTCTCCGCCACAGCGCCATCTGGTGGCCCCACCCTTAGACTTTACATAGCAGCTCCCCTATTTTCTCCGTGAGATTGGGGAGCTCTCCAGGATGCCGGCTTTAGGATGTTAGCTTCCTATAGGTGCTCAGCGGCATCTCTTTCTGCTAGCTTCCGTTTCAGGAGGTGACAATTTTCTGAGGTCTCGATTCTAGAGGGGCTTCTGTTAGGAGCCTAGGAGCCCTCCCTCTCCTGCCCCGCTGTGTGCTGGCGACAACAGGACCGGATTGATCCACTAGGAGTGTTCTGTAAGCCTTTATCTGGTTATGGCGGGGGGACACGTCCTGCCCCATGACCCCAAAACTGCTCTTCCAAGAGCCCGGGCGAGTCTCTTCAAACCTGCTGGAGGAAATAGATGAGGTTATGGGGCAGAGATGGGCCCCTGGGGTTCATTCATGGCATCTCCTGAAAATACAGCTGGGGGGCTGGAGAGGTGCGTTTAAGGAGCTCATGTCTTCTCTGTCCTGAGGCATGCGTCACAAAGGCACGATGCCGGGATCAGAGGTTGGGCCTTTTGGTTTGGAGGAGGGCAGTGTTTGCGGTGAAATGCGTAGTTCTGCTTTGGACACGGTGGGTTTGAGGCGCCAGCAGGCAGTTGGTATTGTGGGAGCAGAGCCTGAGATGGAGACTTGCGCTGGATTCTGCCCTCTGGGACCCATCTTTGTAGAGGTGGTCACTGAATCCATGGGAGCTGATGCTATCACCCCATGAAGTAGCGCAGGGCACACAGCACAGAGGGGGGCACCAACGGTCAGAGGGCGTGACCTGGAGGAGAACCAGGAGGGCCAGGGAGGAGAGAGGATTTCTGCTTCCTTCCTTGAGGAAGGGAGGGTGATGGACAGGGGTCAGAGGCTGCAGAGATGTCAGGGAGGATGAGGACTGAGAAGAGCGCTGTCAAATGAACGATCCCTGGGAATTCTGGGGAAAGCGGTTTCATCTGAATGATGAGGCGGAACCCAGGAGGGCACAGAGGGTTTCGGAAAGGGGCCCCAGTGTAGACGACTTTTTCAGTCTCACCAAGAAAGCGGGGAAGCTAGCTTGTGGGGGTGACAGGATCTCGCGAGGTCGTTTAAGGTTGTGTGAGACTTGGTTGTGTTTGTAGGCATGGAGAAGGGACTGGTGATGCAGGTGAGACTGAAGACAGAGATGATCAGGGAGGGAATGTGATTGAGGAAACGTGTGAAAGGCTTGGCCCTGGTGAGGGGAAGCCCGGCGTGACATCAGGGCCATGGGAGAGGATGGCCTGAGGGAGCTCTCGGTGAATGGCCACCATTTTTAGGGAAGCACAAAGTGGGTCCTTGCTGAGAGGGCCAGGGTCAGGGTGGAGGGCTGTGGCACGCTTCTGAACGCTTGCAGGAGTGAGTGGCGCAAGGGATTGATCAGGGAGGAGTTGAGCTGAGATCGCATCAGTTAGTAGGGGACTCAGTCAAGGTGATTTTGGCATTCCCTCCAGTCCCGTTGAGCTTGGCGGGGTGTGAGCGGAAAGAATAGTGTAGACTTGAAATGATTCCCTGAGAAGTTATGGTCTCGGCCCAGCTGGGGTGGTGCCCGGAGTGGGACTGAAGGCTGGAGTGGGCCTAGGGAGCGATGGAAAGGTGGGCTGGGAAGAAGGAATTTTGGTGTTCTTGAGTGTGGACACCATGGGCCTGAGGAAACCAGGGCTGGGCAGGAGTGGGGCTTGCCCTGGCACGTCTGGCTAGCCCTCACCCTGCCTGGTGAGCCTCACGTGCCCACATCAGGCTTTCCACAGTAAAAGGATGACCCATGCTTTCGCTTGGACGGCTCTCGCTCCCTCTGGTGCAGGCCACAGTCGCCTCCGTGGCGTTGCGCCCAGCTTTGGGCTGCCGCTGCCCCTGGCACCCATGCCGGTGCTGACTCTTCCCTCTTGTCGCAGGCATTGAGGCTGGCCGGGGAAGGAGGGCAGGAACTGCCACCCTGTGCCGCCTGAGCCCTCGGGGCGAGCGCTGGGCCGGGCTGGACCGAATGCCCCATGTCCCTTCTTGTATTTGCAGGACTGTGGCCCGAGGAGTGGTACGAGGGCGTCTGTGAAATAGCCACCAAGTCCCCCCTACTCACGTTCCCCAGCAAGGAGCCCCTGCGGTCTGTCCTTCAGTACAACTCTGCCATGAAAAACGACACCGTCACGCCGGTGAGGGCCAGCTCCCAGGCTCAGCATGGACACCTGGTGCCGGGTGACCTTGGGTGAGGTCAGAGCTGATAAATGTGGAAAGGGCCTGAGCAGTCATCCCCCCCCCCCCCGCCCCACCTTACTGAAGAGGAAGCCAAAGGCCCGGCGGGAGGGGGGGCTTGCCTCGAGTCTCCCAGGTACCGACACTGGGGCCAATCTCAGGTTGCCGACTCGGGCCGTGAAGGGGGAGCCGGGCTGGGCCCAGAGGCCAGAGCTCCAGAGCTCAGACCCTGAGCCACTTCCTCTGACAGAGGCTGCGTTTCCTCGGCCGCTGAGAATGGTCTAGTGGACGTATGCTGGAGTTATGGCGGACGAGTCGCCTTCCGCTCTCGTGGAGGGGCTGCCCTTGTCTGGGAGCAGCCACCGGTCAAGGGCTCGGTTTTGTCTCCTCAGGCTGAGCTGAGCGAGCTCCGCGGCACCATCAGCAACCTGCTGGACCCTCCCCCAGAAGTGTCTGCGCTCATCAACAAGTTGGACTTTGCCATGTCCACCTACCTGCTGTCTGTCTACCGCCTGGAGTACATGAGGTGCGCTTGTCCCGGCCCCGCCTTCCAGGGAAGGGGGGAGGGGGCGTGGCTCTGGCCCCAAGGCGAGGACAAGGACCCGCATCCCATCAGCCTCAAAGGCACCTGCAGTCCCCACAGCACTTCTCAGAGACTCGGGCGCCATGGCCAAATGACGGCTTGCCCGGGGAGTCCGCGGCCTCGTGTCCCCCAGGTTCCCCTTCCTTCCTCGGACCTCCCAAAGCCGCGTGCGATATGTGTGCAGAATACTGTGCCTCTGGCTCTGTGTGCAGTGTTGTGCCCTGAGCTGTGCATGTGGAGGCGGGAAGCGTGCCAGCCTGGCCTGCCCTCAGGATGCCTGCAGTCTACCATGGCCGTGCCTGGGTACAGAGAAGCTAGGCACAGAGTAAAGCATTAGCAGGGCAGAGGAGGGATCCCGGCCGCGAGCTCCAGGGCGCTCAGCTGCCACCCCCTGCTCGGACACGTTCCGAGGCAGGAGAGCACAGGAGGTGCCTGGAAACTGCGAGGAGATGCGTCTGCCCGAGGTGGACGGTATGAAGAGTGGTGGCTGGCAGTGAGGTCAGCCTGGCCAGGCTGGGCCCTGGCCACCCGGCCATCGCCTCCTGCGGTGAGCCGCCAGTGCCGATGTTGGCGGAAGATGGGGACGCGGTCACCTGGGCGCATTTGGCACACTCAGCAGAAGAGAAAATGGCAGGCGACCCAGCAGAAAACCTGCAAGCCATTGTTGGAAGCCTCTCAGAGCAGGGACAAAGAGCCCCCTTCCCTCCTGTAACCTCTGCAGCCTCACTGGGTACCCCTGCCCCGATGGACCCCCGTGGCTGAGCCAGGATCACCTCTCCGGCCTTCCTGAGAAGGAGGCCTCCTGCCTGGCCTGGAGACCTGAGGGGCAGGAGCATCTCCAGCCTCCCCGTGCTTGCCCAGTGCCCTTCGTCAGGCACTGTCTGTAGTTGTGAGCCTCTGCGTGGCTGTCTGTAGCTCCTCCTGCCCCTGGCCAGACTGCCCAGAGACGTCCACAAAAGTGGCCCTAGCCACCATGAGACCCTCTAGTTATCCGTCCGTTTTTCCTTACCTCTGATTTACATCTTCCTCTCTCACATCCCCGCTCACGCTCTCGCTGCCCAGTGGAGGTCACAGACTCACGGTGCCAGTTGGTTGCTCGAGCCTCGGTGTGACTTGGGCGGTGTCTTGGCTAGTCCTGGGCTGGGCCCCCTTGAGCGTTTCCCCCCAGGGATTCCTCCAGGCCCAGTGAGATCATCACTAGAAGAGGGTGAGCCTCCTTTTCATAAAGGTTGGCTTGCGTGAATTGGTTCAGTTCTTAGGAAGTGTCCCACGTGGGTGCGAGCACAGAAGCCCCCAGCCACTCTCACGCGGGTCACACGTAGCACCCGAGCCCCTGGAGCCCCCAGCAGCCTGTCCACGTGACTCCAGCTGTGCCCAGAGGAGGCTGGGGGCCTGAGGCCGAGCCCCTGGACCCCGGGGCATCACCAGGTCCTTTCTACTCTGCTGGCTTCTCTGGGCTGCTCTGGCCGCAGGCCGTGTAGAGGGCCTGGAGGAGGAGGGGGCCCAGGTGCCGCCACCCTCCCAGCTGTGACCACTCTCTCCCTTAGGGTGCTGCGCTCCACGGACCCGGACCGCTTCCAGGTGATGTTCCACTACTTTGAGGACAAGGCCATTCAGAAGGACAAGTCTGGTAAGCTGGCCACCGCCGCTGTGCTCAGCCCTGAACAGCTATCCCCCCGCTCGTCCCGGGGCACTTCCTCCTGGCCTTCCTGGCCAGTCACATATGATGAGATGTGACGGGCAAGGGCCCTGGCCTCTGACGCCAGCCACCCTGCTGACACGTGTGGCGGCCTCTGCAGAGTACAGTCCCTGGCCTGTGTGATCGCCGCGGTCTGGAGGCTTTGAGGCCTTCTTCTATTGGACTTGAGCTCAAAACCGGTGCAGCCAGTGTGAGCAGGCCCGGCTCCAGACTAGTGACGGCCAAGGACACTAATGGAGAAAAGTCTTGGCCCCGCTCTGCTTTCCATTGGTGGCCGTAGAGTGTCCTGGGGACCCAGGGGCCGGAGGACATGCCCCACAGTCCCTGGGCCTGCAGGGGCCAGGATTTCTGGGGCACTCCTCTGTGGCCATATTCCCCCTCCCCTCACTGTGCCATATCTACACCCAAGGGGACCAGGAATTTCACACGAATTTAGGAATTTGGGTTTTTAAAAATCCCTGTTGCCAGGTATTTTAGACTTAGAGAAATGCTTGAGTATTAATGTCTACCGTTGTCCATACTTGAGTTTCTTGTGCAAAGCCTAGAACTGTAGACTGAATGTTGCTGAGGCCCAGTGAAGCCACAGAGGGCAAGCCCCCCATTTCCCAGAGGAGGGGGCAGAAGTGACCATCTGTGTGCACGGAAGTGAGGAGTGGGGGCAACTCCACAGTGGGTGCCTGTGTGGCTGCCAGGAAATGTGGGGGGCAGAAGTCATGAGCTGGAATTGCCTCTTCCCAACCCCAGGCTTTGCTCTGAGAGACTCAGGGAGGGCGGCCTTTTCCAGACACGAGGCCTAAACGTGCATGTTGTAAATCCCAGATACTCCCCCATGTCCTCGCTGGAATCGGTTCTTTGAGTGCTGTCAGGCTTCATTCTGGGAAGCTTCCCACCCTCTGGGGTGGATGCCCCTCTAGAGCAGGAACCCCAGCCAGTCTCGGAGCCCTGTGAAATCTGCTCAGCCGTCCAGGCCCGGGTATCAGCCATGCTCAGAGACAGCTTGGTGGCCCCGTGCGTAGGGCGCAGGGCCTGGAGTCTGCAAGACCTGAGTCCAGCCACAGGCGTTTTGTCGCTGTGACCCTGGTAGATCACTTCACCACTGCCTGCCTCAGTTTCCTCATTTGTAAGGTGGGGGTGATAATAGCGCCTGGCACATAGCAGGCACTCTGTTATCATGTGGAGAAGGCTGCCATACTTTCTAGCAGTTCCTTTCCCTCATCCTGGTGGAAATCAGGGCCAGGACATCATTTTCTCTCATCAATTTGTTTGCATTTGGAGGGCTCACATCTTTTTTTTTTTATTCCATCCTCTCTCTCTTTTTTTTTTGTTTTTTTTTTTTTGTAAATAGAATTTTTTTCAATTACATGTAAAGATAGTTTTTAACATTCACTTTTTTATAAGATTTTGAGGTTCAAATTTTTTCTCCCTCCCTCCCTTCCTTGAGAGCCGACATTATTAAGAGAAATCAGTACGCGTGAGTTGTGCTTTTTGCAGGGAGGGCGAGAGCGAGCCCACAGCTGGCCCAACCCTGGACGTGCTCCATGGCGCTCTGCCGGCCTTCTGTCCAGGCTGGCCACAGCGTGTCCTAGGGACACAGAACTTGTCCTTCTGCCTTCTCCAGGGCCCACCCACATTGCTGCCCTTCCTCACTTGAAGGACTGAATGGGAAAGCATTTATTAAGCGTTACCTATGTGCTAAGTGCTGGGGAGACAGAAAGAGAAACAGCCAGGCCATGCTCCCAAGGGACTCCTGCTGTGTTGGGGGCCTCTGCTGCTGCGAGCTTCAGGGGGTGGCAGCCAGGCCTGTGGCCAGGCCTCTTCTCGAACCTCATGTCCACTAGCTAAAACCCCATCGGGGGAGAACTTTTATTTTCTGTGTCTGCGGTAGCTGTGGCTGCTGAGGAAACTGAGGCGCCCAGAGATGAAGAGGGACTTGTTTAATATCACACAGCAAGCATGTGTCACCCCAGGACCCCGGCTCAGGCCTTTGGATTACTGCTCAAGTGCTCAGAGCTTCTCCTGTTGTCTGCTGTCCCTTTGTGATTCAAGATTTATAACTGGAGGGGAACCTTCCCTCAAGGAGGCAATCACAAAAACATCTGTCATTAGATGGACCGTCAGAAAGGTGACATTAAACCAGCTGCCCCACCGGCTTTGATCTTCCCTGGAAGGTCCTGATGAGGTTAACGCAATGCTTGTGCTGTCCCCCCCCATGCCAGGCTCTGCAAGTCTGAGGGGGCTGCAGCTGCTGTGCTTTGTCTCCTGCAGGGCCCAGGGATCAAAGGGAAACTGTCAGTCAGGCCAGGGGGCCCCGAGCAGGACTGAGCGCCTGCATGCAGACACACAGACACAGGCTTCCCAGCTCTGCCCAAATCTCTCTCTCTCTCTCTCTCCTTTCCTCTCTCTCCTCCCCCCTTTCTCTCTCTTTCTCTTATTCTGTCCCCCTTTCTCTCTCTTTCTGTCTTTCGCTCGCTCTCTCTCCCTCTCTCCTTCCCTCTCTCCCTCTCTCCCTCTCTCTCTCCCTCTCTCTTTCTCCCCCCTCTCTCCTCTCTCTCCCTCTGTCTCTCCTCTTTTTTTCTCTCTCTCTTTCTCCTCCACCCTTTCTCTCTCTCTGTCTCTCTCTCTCTCTCCTCCTCCTCCTCCTCTGTCCATCTCTTCCCTGTAATTGTTGACCTCACAACATTTCTTTCAGTTGTTTTACTTGACAACTTTGAAAAAAGAAAATCACCTACTAATTCTCCACCTGTGTTCAGTAGATGCTTTCTTGCACTGGCCAGTCTCTGCCTTCTTGGAAGACGAGGCACACTTAGGTCCCATGTTTATTGGACAGAGCACAGATCGGTCCGTTGCTGTGTGCTTTGTGTGCTTGCCCAGTACTCAACTCCGGGGATACAAAAACAAGAAAGCCAGGTGACCCCAGTCCTTAGGGAGCTGCCTTTGGGATGGGGGCGGACAGCGCACGATGGGGGCCGCGAGGTGAGGGAGCCGTGTGGCGAGGCGGCTCTTCTGCCGAACACGAGCGTTGCCATAGCCAGAACGAGTCATCACCCTGTAGGCAGTGTGTGGGGGGGACGAAGGACGTCCCCAGGGTGTTCCAGGCGGCAGAGGGTCTGCAGGGTGGAAGAACGAGACCCTGAGGAGAGAGGGAAGAAGGAAGAGGAGGCTGAACCTCAGAGGCCAGGGAGGGATCTCAGTCCCTCCCTTGTGTCTCCTGGGCCGTGACAACGGGAGTCCACAGATGCCGTTGGACAGGAGGTTTCAAGCGACGGGCAGAGGAGGAAGAGCAGATGGGGCGCGGCGCTGCGGTCATTGCGTCATGCTTCTAAAGGGGAGCCAATGAGGGGAGTTTGGATTCCGGACCCGAGTCACTATCAAGGAGACCACTGGAATTAGACAGTGGCCATGCACACCTGGAATCAGTGAGAGACTGAGAGGAAGCTGTGCAGAGTTTGTCTAATACGCACCTGAGATTTGGGGAGAACAGATTGAGGCAACTGCTGGTGCAGTGGAGTCAAGAAGACCCGAGTTCAAATCCAGCCTCAGACACTTACTAGCCGTGGGACCCTGGACAGGTCACTTCTGATTGCCTCAGTTTCCTCTAAAATGGGGAAACTAACAGCATCTGCCTCCCAGGGTTGTTGTGAGGGTCAAATGAGATCATATTTGTGAAAAGTGCTTAGCACAGGGTCTGGCATGCGACAGGTGCTCTATACATGCTTATTCCCTTCTCTCCCCCATTTCATAGGGTATGGAGAAAGGTTAGAAAAGATCCTGGGGCCCACAGTTCTACAGGTGAATAAAATCATGTGCATAATTGGCAGATGGTATTGGGAAAGTGAGTGTCATAATGGAAGAAGCCCAATCCCAGCTCCATTTCTTTCCTTGGAGCTCAATGTCTTTGGGAGGTCGGTCTCCTTTCTGGCCATGGCAGCCACGGAAACCAATCCAATGTGGAGATAAACTGAACGTAGAGCCTCACTCTGGAGACTAGATTGTGAAACCAAGATTTTCCAGAAACAACAGACCATATGTAATCCCGATGTCCTCATGAAAAAAATCGGGTTACTAATCATTCAGTTTTTAAAGGTGGAGAATGTTCTTCAGATCACCGCAGCTATTTGCCACCATATTGGAGGAGTTTGGAGTCTAGGAGGGGATCCCTGTGGATGGAGAGATCCTCCCCGTGCTCCTGTTTGTGCAGGACATCATCCCGATGACGTCCAATCCCAGAATACTGCAGAGGATCCTGGGAGATTTATGATCAGTCATGGGAGCCTTGCTTGTCCATCCACACAGCAAAGACCAAGTGGGTGAAGAAAAGATTTGAATGAACATCCTATACAGCAAGAGTTCTTAACTCCTTAGACTTCACGAACTTTTAAAAAAATGTTTTGGTAACTATATTTCCATATAATTAGTTTCCTTTGTAATCCTGTGTATTTTACTTTATGTATTTAAAGACACTGTCCTGAGAAGAGGCCCATGGGGTTCACCAAGATTTCAGAGATGGCCAAGATAGAAAAAACTGCACTGGGATTTTTCTTAAGATCTTGTCTGTTGTCCCAGGAGGACCACTGTTCTGCCGCAAGTCTTGTTTATTTTTACCTCTCCATGTTCACCCTGAGGCACTATTTTGTCTTGTTTGTGGGGGAAATCTGGAGACCTTGGAATTTTTTGATCTGCTCCACCATTTTCCCAGAATCCTGTCACATTTTTCTAATCAGTAGTAGTTTAGAGCATTTTTTTCATGTGACTGTAGCTTTGATTTCTTCATCTATAAACTGTGTGTTCACATCCTTTGACCATTTATCAATTGGGGAATGACTCCTGTTCTTATAAATTTGACTCAGTTCTCTCTGTGTTTAAGAAGTGTTGTCTTTATCAGAGAACTTGTAAAAAAAAATTTCCCAGTTTTCTGCTTTCCTTCTTATCTTGGCTGCACTAGTTTTGTTTGTGCAAAAACTTTTTAATTTAATGTAATTACAATTATCCATTTTATATCTTGTAGTGCTCTCTATCTCTTGTTTGGTCATAAATTCTTTATAGATCTGACAAGTAAAATAGTCCATGCTCCCCTGATTTGCTTATGGTATCCCCCTTTATGTCTAAGTCATTGTGCCCATTTTGACCTTGTCTTGGTATATGGTATGAGGTGTTGGTCACTATATCGTTTCTGCCAAACTGCTTTCCGGTTTTCCCAGCAGTTTTTGTCACACAGTGAGTTCTTATCCCCAGAGCTGGCATCTTTGGATTTATCAAACACTGGATTACAGTGGTCATTTACTGCCGTGTCTTGGATACCCAGGCTATTCCACTGCTCCAAAACTCATTTCTTAGCCAGGACCAGTTGTTTTGACGATTATAGCTTTGTAATACCCTTTGAGAGGCACGTGACTTTTTAAAAAGATAATCCCCAAATGTGGACACGTTGCCACTTCAAAAATCTCTTTATCTGATCTCAGCCTTTCCTCATTCTATCCTTCCCTCTGCCTTCCAGCCCCTCAGCCCTGGCTCTAGCCTGTCCTCATTCCTGTCTTGGCCTGTCAGCCGAGGTGAACCAGCTCAACTCTCCTTACCCTTCTTCCCCCACCTCCTGCCTCCTCCTCCAGGTTGCGATGGATTCCATCCCTCATCTCTGGGCTCCCCCTGGTTCCTGGGGCCTTCTCACCCAGACTCCCCGTGCCAAAATGTCCCTCTGCTCTGACAACCCCCTTCTCCCTTCCCAGACCTTCATCTTCACTGCTTTGACTTTCCAGACTCCAGCACTGCCTCCCCCACCCCCTTCACCACTCTTTCCTTGAATTTGTGCCCCTAGAGCTTAGCATGGGGTCTGGCACACAGTCGGACCAAGCAACTTACCTACAGTGTGGCTCTGACCAAGAGCCTTGCACACATGCACACATTCACATACACGTGCACACACATGTGTATACACACACACACACACACACGCATACACACCTGTAATGCTCCAGGATCACATACAAAGGCTCTGTAGCATTCAGAGCCCCTCACCTGGCCTCCCTTCGCCCCTCTCTGCTGTTCCCCCCCCCACAACCCCCGTTGTCCTCCCTGCTGTTTCTCCCACAAATATTTATTTACACTGTTTACATCTTGCATCATTTTCCCTGTTAGAATATGAGCTCCTTAAAGAGCAGGTCCTGTTTGTAAGTTTTTTCCTCTCTGTTTTCCCTTGTTACTTAGCACATAGTAGGTCTTTCACAAATAGTTATTGATGGGAGGTTTTTGTTTTGGTTTTTTACTGATAGGGTGGCATGGGATGAAAATGGTTCACCGCAGACTAACCTCAGGGGGCATATCGTCCATCAGTGGGGTGGAGGGTGGGAAGACGGGACCTTTTACTGTGGATGCTCTGGGGATCATCTCCAGTCCAGCTCCCTCTCCTCATCCCCTACTGCAGCCTGGGGCATGGGTCCTCAACAATTGCCCAGCTGCCCCCTCCAGCCCCTGCTCCCCAGATCATCGTGGGCGGGCTCTGCCCTGAGCAGTGCCTGCTGAGGAAGACCCCTGCCTCTCCCCACTGCATTAAGGGTGGCCCAGAGTGAGTCCCGGGGGGGTGCCATTACGGTCCAGCTAACTGGACCCCAGGCCTCCTCACTTCATCCTCCCCAAAGCTTCCCTCCCATCCCCAGCTTCTCACCAGGCCAGGGCCAACCTTTTGTCCTCCTTCTCCCTCACCCCACCCCACCCCACCCCACCCAGTTCAAGTCATCAGCTCTCACCTGTCACTAGTCTCTCCCCACTCCAGTCTCTCCTCCCCCAAGTGAAAGTCTAACCACATCATTCCCAACTCCGTCATCCCCATGGCTCCCCATCGGCCTTATGCTAGAGACAGGGGTGTGAAGGAGACCTATGATTTCATTGAAAGAGGGAACTCCCAGGTGAGGACAGTCCTCTGCCAGTGCAGGTCAGCACCTTCTCTGCAACATAGAACCAGAGAGCATGTCCAGGTCAAGTGACTTGCCCAGGGTCATGCAGACAGTACGTGTCAGAAGCAGGTTTTGAACAGAGATCTTCCTGGGGCTGCAGCTGGCTCTCCAAGACTACTCTGTCTTGCCTCCCATTGACTTGGGGATCACATACCATGTCATCTTTGTCTCATCCTGTTTTACTTCCTGTTTTTTGCATCTGTTCTATGATGTGTGTCCTTATTGGTATTGTAGTACATGTATAAAACGTGTAAGTAACTCTGCACATCCTTACGAGGGGTACGTAATAATGCTTTACCATAAATAACTCTACATATGCTTTTTAGAGACGTGCACAATCGAAGTTGGGAGACCCCTGCCGCAGAGTGCCACGGCCCTGGCTTTGTCCTGCTGCTATAGAAATGGGTTTAGGGTTTACTGATTCGAGAGCCTTTGATTTCACCCCGGCAGGTTCACGTTCCTTGAGCTGCCATGGTGCTCAGATCCGAGGGTGCCCGGCCCCCTGGACGCCCAGTCGCCCAATCCCCACCCTCCTCGGGCTCGTGTTGGCTTTGGGGCGAGGTGGTGGCGAGGCCGCCTTATTGCCTGGGTGGCCGACTTGGGTTCTCTTACGCTGTTGGCCGGACCCCTTGGTCCCTCTCTCACCAGCTGCGCCTGTGAATGGCCTGTCCCCTCATTGGACAATCCCTTCTCTTCCCAGGCATGATGCAGTGTGTGATCGCCGTGGCGGATAAAGTCTTTGACGCTTTTCTCAACATGATGGCTGAAAAGGTAAGTCTTGCTAAGACCTTCTGCCGCCTGCCCCCCACACTGAGCCCTGGCTCCTTTTCTGGCCTTCAGCTCCTGTCTGCCCTGCCCCCTTGTCCTCGGCCTGACGTTCCGGTAGCCACAGCACATTCGTCACCAGCCATCATCATAGGACCTGCCCTCCCTGCCTCCCTTGCTCCTGTCCTCTTTGCCTGGAGTGCCTTCCTCCCAGCTCTGCTGTCCTTCCAGGCCTGGCCCATCTCTCCTCCTGCAGGCAGATGAGTCCCACAGGCAGGACCTAGGGTCTCAGACTCCAGATCCTCACTGTCTGGCCTGGTCACGCCTCATTGGATTTTCTAGCTCATCTGCCCTCCTGGATTGTCAGTGGGAGAGGGACCGTGTTCCTTCTTCACCCTGGATGTCACTGGGGACGCTCACAGCCTCTGTCCTTCCCCACTGTCCAGGCCAAAACCAAGGAGAATGAGGAGGAGCTTGAGCGGCATGCCCAGTTTCTGCTCGTGAACTTCAATCACATCCACAAGAGAATCCGCAGGGTTGCCGACAAGTATCTGTCGGGACTCGTCGACAAGTACGTCCCTTGTCACAGCCTTTTGTGGGAGAGCTCGAGGGATCTCATCCCTCAGACCGAGATGGAGAAAGTGATTCCCCTGCTAGGAATCTGGACAGAGACGGGAGGGGGCGTGTAGAACTGTGGGCGCCCAAGGGAGCTCGCTGAAATCTCCCATCCCCAGGACAGGCTCGTGCCAGGCCCGGATCGGAGGATACAGGCTAGCCTAGGCCTGCCTGGCACTTGCCTCCCGGGGAATGGAATTTCCAAAGTTAGGTAAGCCTGACTTTGTCAGATTTCCTCCTCCTAACCTTCTTTGGCTGGGGGGCCCGGCCCAACCACACGCATAGTGGGGCCCTCTGAAATGAGTCCCCCAGACCTGCTGCAAAGCCTGCAGGGTGCCAGGGACCCCCCAGAGCTGTGGCCTGGGTGGCTGCTGGTCTTAGCCAAGCGTGGCCTCTCAGCCAAGACAGGAAAAAGTCCTTCATTTCATTCCCATTGACTTCTGTGGGTCCAAGGATGAAAGGGGAGAATGGTAGGAAAGGTCTATAAGAGTACAGAAGAGGGGGAAGGATTGACTCGGGCAGGCTTCCCGGGGGAGGAAGCGTCTTAGACCTTAAACCAAAAGCAGACTGTGGGCCTCCTTTATTCAGTTGCCTCATCAGTCAGTATCCAGATGTCACTATTGTGAGACGGTTCAGAGGGTGTATGGTGTGGCAGCAGGTATCCCAACAAGTGGGCCTCTGGCCTCTTCTTGAAGCCCCCCAGGGACAGCTCCCAAGACTCCACTTGGAGGCAGCTCAGATTGTCCAGAAGTTTGTCTTTGGGTTAAAAAGAAATCAGTCTTCCCCAGTGGCTCCTTGTTCCTGGAGCCAAGGCCAGCTCTTCCCCTTATCCACAAAAGGCCTTCAGGAAGCCAGCATCCTTCATGCCCACCCAGGCCTTCTCTCCTCCAGGTATACTCAGGCTTGTTGGCAGCTTCCTTAAAACGTCCCCAGCACCGGACAAAACAGACCAACTTTTTTTAAGATTACTTTTTATGTTTTACAGAATGTCATGTGCCTCCCCCACCACACACACACCCAGGCCTCCTAACTGAGCTTAAGAGGCTCCCCAGAATCGCTTCCTTCAGAACACCCCCTCCCTGCCATTGGCCAAGGGTTTTCCCCAGAGCCCCCTGTCACGTGGAGCATGATTCTCCTCATTGTGCAGAGGACAGGAGTGAGCGAGCCTAGGCAGAAATTAGATGCTGCCTTCAGAGCACTTTGCAAACTTGGGAATAATGTTTAAGGTCAGGTATTAGCGTTGTTGCTGTGATTATTATTCTTTGCTAGAGCAGCGCTTGCACCACGTACCCCTAACTCCCAGTTTTGCATTTTCTACCCTGCCAGACTGCCCCTTTTCCATTCAAACAGGACACAGAGCCATCACCCCTTCCCAAATTACTGGGCAGGTGAATGCAATGGAGGGCAGACGGCCAGCCCTGACAGGCCCCTCGGTGGGGAGCAGCTCAGAGCAGAGGGAGCCCAGCCTCATGTGCCCTGAGAGACTAGCACAGCAGAGGCACGCTCTCTAGTGTGCGTCACAACAGGCACCTAGAGCTGGCACTGCCCACACATCCCCAGCGTCCCTTCTGCAGGCTGCACAGACTTGTGGCCGGAGAGTGAAGATGCCTTGCCCGGGGGTGTGCAAAGCTGGGTTCTTACACTCCTGCGTGCCTGGTGGCGTTGGGCGCAGCAGTGCTGGGGGAGCTTACAAATCGCCCAGTCTGACTCTGAGAGCCCCAGGAGGGAAGTAGCAGTCCCTGTCTGTCTCACAGCCTGATTGCGGAGGTTGGGGGAGACCTCAAGTCTGGGGGCTGCGCTTCTAGGGGCCTAGGATCAGGAAGGCTCGGCCTCCAATAGGGAGAGGGCTGGATGCCTTGCTTTGACACCTTTTGACTCAGTGTATGTCTGCACAATTTACCGCAGGTTTCCCCACTTGCTGTGGAGTGGCACTGTCCTGAAGACCATGCTGGACATCCTGCAGACTCTGTCACTGTCCCTTAGCGCCGTGAGTCTGGCTTCCCTGTGGACGGGCTTTGTAAAGAGGAGGTTCTCTTCATCATTCTACAGCCATTCCCGGAGGATAGTCTGGGTCCTGACACCAAATCCTAGGGGTCAGAGCTAGGTGAAGAGGTTAGAATGTGAAAGCTAGAAAGGACCTGAGAGCATGAAGCTGAGCATGTCAGAGCTGAGGTGCGGGGGGCCTAGGAACCTACAAGGTCAGAGCTGGCAGGGCCCTTAGGTCAGAGCATACCTGAGCTGGGGTGCAGTGCACCTTAGATCCCAGAAGGGCAGGCATGGGTGGGTCCATGGGGAGGAGGGAGGTGTTCGAGGTTGGACGGTCGTTAGCGTGTTAAAGCTGAGAGAAGCTCAAAGATAACCGAGTCTGACGCCTCCGTCGCCCAGAGGGGCCCGGAACCTTGCCGAAGGTCCCGCTGGTGGGTCACCCCTTTCCCCCAGCCGTAATTCAGTTTTTAATTAAACTTGTGATTTCATGCTCTCGAGAAGATAGGCTTTTATAAAGGCAGCTCAGGAAGAGTCACTTTTTACATTTCAGGATATTCACAAGGACCAACCTTACTACGACATCCCAGACACTCCCTATCGAATCACAGTCCCTGACACTGCCGAGGCCCGAGAGGTGAGCAGAAACGGGGCCTTGGCCACGCTCTTTTGTCTGGTTTCCTGCTAGTGCAGGGGTGCAGCCCTCCTCACAGCTTCTCAGGCACAGGTGTCCGGGGGGCGTTGGCTGCCAAGGGCTCCCCCAGATCTTTAGTCACTGGACAGTGTTTCAGGCATATCCATGGAGACAGAAGGGAAAACCCGCTGGCCATTCACTGGCAGGAAGGCCCTGGAGAGGTCATTTCCCTCCCTTGAGCCTTGGTCTCACATCTGGAAAGTGGGAGCGCTAAGTGGAGCTCGTCAGCTGTAGGAGCTGGAAAGAGGCCGATGACTCCCTGAGCTTCCTGGGGGCTCCTCGTCTTGCAGGGGGTGAATCTGTGGCAAGGCTTCCGCCAAGGGCAGAGAACAGGTGGGAGCGTTGGGGCCGGGGCCGCCCCTGCCCTCTGCACCGGCTTCCTATGAGCGTGATCAGAGCGTGAGGGTCATAGAGCCGCGTGCTTTGTAACCATTAGCTTGTGGCTGGACATCGGCTTCTACATCTTCATGGAGCCCAAAGGAGGGCCTAGAGACTACTGGGAGACCCTGGCCCTCTCAGAGCTGACCATGGTGCTGGAGCAGCACCCTGACCAGGAAGAGGAGGGCCCTGCTCTCTGGGCTCTCCCAGAGAGATCGTTAACATTCCCAACCCTTTTCTAGAACATCGTGAAGGACTTTGCAGCACGCTGTGAGATGATCCTTCAAGAGGCAATGAAATGGGCCCCAACTGTGACCAAATCCCACCTGCAGGTAATGACATGAAACTTCTCTGCGTACAGGATGGCAGGATGAGGCATCCAGCTGCCTGGGGTTCTGCTATAGGTGATAAGGCTTCTTGGGTGTGGGGGCCCCTCCAGTCTCTGCAGCCAGTGTCATCATCAGAGACTTGTGGAGATGAGCCCCTTGGAACCCAGTGAGGCTGGCGTCAGACTGGGTACATGAGCTGCTGGTGTGTTACCCCCCCACCCACACCAACACCCCCCCACACACATGCACATACACACTGACACTCTCGCGCACATACACACTGACACTCTCGCACACATATGCACACTCTCACAGTACACTTTCACACATACACACACTCATGCACACAAATTCTCACACACATATACACACACACTCTCACGCATACACACATTCACACACTTATCACTTTTGAGGACCCCAGATTACCTCCGTGCCACAGTGAATCATTTTGAAGTATGAGTTCAGGGAAGAAACAAAACAATTCGAAAAACCTTTAATTAAGTACCTCCTGCATGACAGTCGCTGGGTGTGTTTGGCACTGGGGTTGCAAAGATGAAAATCAAAATATTTCGGCTTTGCTGGAGCGTACGTTCCAACAGGGAGAGAGAACAAGGATTTAGGTAAGAGAGCAAGCATGCTGCTTCCTCTGGGTGAATTTTGTTCTGGTGTTTTCTAGCTCGACAAACTCAGCCCGCCCACGATCAGGTGCTGTTTCTGCAGTTATTGAAATCTGTCTTCATTTGTGATCAGCGTGTTTTGTGGGTGTGTCTTGTCATGTAGACTCCCAAGTATTTACACTGCCTGTCGTCATTCTAAGTAGAATGCACAGAGATGCTGATTTCATTGGATTTGCTTTCTGTTTCACCCTCTCACTGAGGTTGTTAATGTTTCAGTTACTTTTGGGGTGACTCTCCTTGGTTCTCCAGTTAGACCATCCTGTCATACACAAGACGCTTCCTTGTTTGTGCTTATTCCCTCAATTTCCTTTTCATATCAAGGTTGCCGGCATTAAGAGCACTATGTAGAAGAGCAGTAGTGATAATGGTTGTCCCTGCTTTACCCCCGATCTTTTTGGAAAGGTCTCTAGCTTATCTCCATTCTATATAATACTGACTTTTGGTTTTAGATAGATACAACTTATCATATTAAGGAAAGATCCTAGTCAGGAGGACCTGAGTTCAAATCCGGCCTCAGACACATAACACTTACTAGCTGTGTGACCCTGGGCAAGTCACTTAACTCCAATTGCCTTTAAAAAAAAATGAATGAGTATGGTAGCTTGTTAAAAGTTTTTTCTGTATCTGTTGATAAATGATTTTTGTTATTCTTGGTATTCATGGTGTTAAAACCAGCCCTTCATTCTTGGTATAAAACCAAGGTGGTCTTGGTATATAATCTTTGAGATATATTACTATAGTCTACTTGCTAATTTTTTTAAAATTTGCTTCCATATTCATCAGAGATACTGATCTATAGTGGTTTTTTTTTCCTGTATTTTGACTCCTTAGTTTAGATATTTAAGACTATATTTGTCTGATAGAAGGAATTTGGTAGGACTCCTTTTCCTATTTTTTCTAACAAACAGTTTATGTAGCATTGAATTCATTCTTTAAATATTTGATAGTTTTCACTTATAAGTCCATTTGGTCCTGGAGTTTTTTCCTTTGGGAGTTCATTTATAACTTGTTCACTTTGATTTTACTGAGATTGAGCTATTTGATTCCTCTGTATCTTGTTCTGTTAATCTTGGCATTTTATATTTTTGTGATCATTCATCTGTTTCATTTATGTTGTCAGCTTTATTGGCATATAGTTGGGCAAAATAGCTCCTAATAATTGCTTTTCTTTCTTCTTCATTGGTTACGAATTTTCATTTTTGATACTGGTAATCTGGTTTTCTTTGTAAAAATCAAATTAGTTAAGAACTTGTCAATTTTTCAAAGAAGTGGCTTCTCATTTTACTTATTAATTCACTTTATTTGCTTTTAATTTTGAAGATTTCTATTTGGGGTTTTTTTAATTATAGGTTTTCTAGATTTTTCTTTGGTTGTATGCCCAATTCATTGATCTGTTCTTTCTCACTTTTATTGATGAAAATGTTTAGACATACAAATTTTCTTCTGAGGACTACTTTGACATACCAAAAATTTTGGTATGTTGTCTCATTGTTTTTATTATCTTTTATGAATTTATCGATTGTTTCTATGATTTGTTCTTTAACCCTCTATTTTTTAGGATTAAATTATATTATCTCCAAATTTAATCATTTCTTCAGTAGCCCTTTATTGAATATAATTTTTATTGCTTTGAGCAGTTCTAAGAAAGATATGGTTAACATTTCTGCTTTTCTGCATTCATTGTAAGATTTTCTTATTGTAATATATGGTCAATATTTATAAAGGTGCTATAGGCAGCTGAGAATATGTAAACTTTTCCCATTCACTACTATCCTATTTAATTTTTCTGAAGTTCTACTCAAGTCCTTAACTTCTTTCTTCTTGGTTAGATTTATCTAGGTTTATGAAAGGGGTAAATTGTGGTCCCCCCACTATAATACTTTTCCTGTCTGTCTCTCCCTGGAACTCCTTAAGTCTTTAGATCTATGCCATTTGATGCATATGTTTAATGTTGATGTTACTTCATTGTGTACAGGACCTTTCAATAAAGTGTAATTTGTCTGTTTTAGTGAAGTCGGTTTTTGCTTTTGCCTTGTGTGAGATCATGATTGCCACCCCTCCCTTTTTTGCTTCAGCTAAAGTATAATGGATTTTGCCCCAGCTCCTTATTTTAACTCTGTGAATCTTTGTTTCAAGTGTATGTGTTGTAAACAACATATTGTTTGATTCTGCTTTCTGATCAGTCATGCTGTTCTCTTCTCTTTTATGAGAGTTCATCCCACTGAAGTTCACAGTAATTATTGTTGTCTCCCTCCATCCTCCTCTTTTATCCTTTTGTTTTTATTTATTTCTTCCCACATTATAAAGAAGAGGTTGGTGAGAAAGAAGGAGTATCTCAGTAGCAATGCCCTGGGTTTGGTGAAATCTGCTTCTCTTCCCTTTCCCTCCCTCCACTCCTGAGCCTAGCTTCTTAGTTTTCTTTCCTTTCTTTTTTTTTTTTAATACCCTTCTTCAAGATCCACCCTCCTCTGTTTATATTTTGCTTAGGACTAATTTACCCCTGAATCTACCTGCAGTTTATCCCCAGCCTCTTTTCTCCCTTTTCCTCCTGCTTCCCTGTTGAATGAAATGTACCCAACTGTGAGTGTGTCTGTGTACTCTTCCCTTCATGACTCAGTTCAGGTGAGAGGCGAGTTTGAATGTCCCCTGCTCCTCCCACCCTTTCCTCCTTATTTACAGAGTCTTCTTCTGCACCTCCATTATAGGAGATAATTTTCAGCACCTTTCCTCTTCCCTTTTCCATCCTAGTATGTTCCTTTTCCTCTCTTTCCTTTTAAGTTCATCAAAACATTTCAGGTCCTCTCTCTTTGTAGACTTCTTTTATGACCCCTCCCATAGCTCTCCGTTCTTTTCCCATTTTTTCCTCTGATGCACTCATTTGATTTTTTAAATCTTTTTTTTTTTTTGACTCTTGCTTCATCTTTTTGAGGAATTCTAGTTGAACTTAGGCCCAAGCTGTGCTTTTCTTTTGAGACTTTGCTTGATTTTTTGGAGTCATTCTCTTCTTCTGGGATCGTATCATGAGTGTCTCTATTACCATAATAGCTTTTTTGTAGTGAGGTTCTTCCTACATTTTTTGACTCTTTCAGCCTACTTTCTGACATCAGACCCACTTCCATGAGTAATGTTGGCACTGAATTTATGTATTCTTGGATCTTTCTGCTACTTTGCTGGAGTATCAGACGTTCTATTCCAGAATCTCAGGGATAGCTCAGGCTGGGGACCATGCTTTTGGTGTTCCCAAGATGATGGTGTAAAGTCTGATCGCTTCCCTCTTGCTCTGAGCTCCGCGTGTTCCTGGCCTGACTTTGGGTCTGAGCAGCACAACTGTTGGCTTACCCCTGTTTGGAATTCCAGTAGATGCTGCTGGACCCAGCCACAGTCAGCTTGCTGGAAAGCTCTGCAGGTTCAGAAGGGGAGAATTTCAGCCTTCCCTTTGGTCTGAGATTGCTGCCCTGATTCATCCTATCCTGGCTTCAGGCTCAGCAGATCTGAGTTTGTGGTTTGCCCTCATTCAGTCCCTGGGTGGGTGTGCTCCTGGCCAGGTCTCATCTGACCTTTCTGTCTCTGCGCCGACTTGGGCTGGAATGATGACTCACTCTGGTGGTTTTCTTGGCTGTCCTGACCAGGACTTGGGCTGATGAGTTTTCTGGATCTTTGTGCAGGGTGTTAGGTGGGGAGAGCTCAGCCGTCCGGCTTCTGCTGCTCCCCACCCCATCCCAGGCTTAGCACCATAGATGTAGAGCCAGAAGGGACCCTCTAGTCCTGCTCGCTCCTTCCGTAGAGGAAGGCAATGAGGCCCAGGGAGGTCAGCAGACCAAAGTCACGTGGCTAGGAAATGGTGGGACCAGGATTTAAAGCCCGGTCCTCAGCCCTCAGGCTTTCATTTTCTGTCTTTAACAAAACAACTTGATTTCCCTTTTTAGGAATATCTGAATAAGCACCAGAACTGGGTATCAGGCTTGTCCCAACACACGGGCCTGGCCATGGCCACCGAGAGCATCCTCCACTTTGCTGGTTACAATCGGCAGAACACGACGCTGGGGGTGAGTGTCTGCCCCCTCCAGGCCAGGGCAGAATTAGGGTGTCTTTTAAACTGTAGCCTGGGGAGCTGGTTGAGAGGCCGGAGGGCAGGCGTCTCCATTCATCCATTCATCCATCCACCCACTTACCTGTCCATCCCTCAGCAGGAGGTGTGGCTGAACCAGAGCTCTGGCTCAGGAATTCTGTTTCTCCTTCAATCAGTTAATCAGTAAGAGTTTATTAAGCCCCTGCTCTGTGCGGGTACCCTGCTAAGGGCTGGTATTCAGAAAGAGAAAAGAGACAGTCCCTGCCCTCAAGGAGCTCAGGATCTAAAGGGGCAGACTGCAAGCAAACAGATATGTACAAACATGGTACACACAGTAAATAAACAGAGGGAAGGCCCGGGAGTAAAGTGGGCCTGGGAAAGGAAGCCAGGGAGGTCAGCGTTCCAGGGATGGGGAGAGATGTCTTGTTTGTGGGACAGCCTGGAGACTGGTGGCGCTGGAGCAGAGGGTACCGGGGGGGAGTGAGAAGGTGTAAGAAGACTGGGGAGGTGGGAGGGGCAGATGGCAAAGGGCTTTGAAGGCCCACCAGAGCATTTTGTATGGATCCTGGAGGCTGTAGGGAGCCATGGGAGTTTACCGAGGAGGGGGTGATGTAGTCAGATCTGTGCTTTAGTGACTGAGTGGAGGACGGACTGGAGTGGGGAGAGACTGAGGCGGGCAGATGCCGTGGCTTCCTGGGAAGGGTCCACCAGGCCGTAGGTAGGAAAGCCAGGAATGTGGCTTGGGGCCTTGTGACCACTGCACCACACTGTCATTCTCCGTGTTCAGACCATCGGAACCCTTTGACAGATCTCCCTGGATCCTTCACAGCAGCCCTGGAAGGGTCATCCCCATCTTATAGATCCGCAAATTGAAGCACCCAGAGTTACAATTAAGAGCTCAGGGTCACACAATGACTAAATGGCCACGGTGCCCCGGAGCACATACGGCGGATATGCAGTGTGGAAGCTGGTGGTCCTGGTCTCTGTGCTGCCCTCCCCTCCCCTGCTGCTGTGCTGGGTGTGTCTGCCGCCTGGAGCACCCCCACTGGGAGCCAGACTGCCCCCATCCCTACGCCCTGTCCTTCGAGGGCTCCCCTCCCTCTCAGGTGCTCTCAGGCTGTCTTCACCATCTAGGGACACAAGAGGCCTGGGGCAGGAGCGAGGATCCTCCTCCTCTTTCTCTGCTTTCTTCATCCCTGCAAGCAGTAGATGCCTCCACAGAGCCTCCGGGAGGCTCTCTGGAGAGGAGAGAGAGCCAGGCCTGAGGGGAAGGATGGCAGGCAGATGGGCCCTGCCAGAGGCAAAGACCGGCCTCTGCCCTTGTAACTCCTCACCCAGGTCCTTCGGTCCTCCCTGAAAGTCCCAGCTGTGGAGAACCTCCTGGCAGGGGTGACAGTGTTGTGGGCAAGCTGGGCTGAGCTTCGTGGCAGGCATCCATGGCGGGCTCTGCTGTGACCTCAGTGGCCCCTTCTCTCCTGAAGAGAGTCTTCCTTTCCTCTGGTAGCCTTTCCACAGACAGGCCCGCCAAGGGCTAGGGACTTTTTAATGATTCCTTACACCACAAGGCACGTTGAATAGCTGAGTTACCAAGTACGGGAAATACTTTTAGGAGTGAGGGAACGTCCGGCGTGCCTCGGTTGGACAGTTGATTGGCAGCAAGCTGTTCCTTCTCTGGAACTGAAGTCTGCCCTCTTCTCACTCCCTCCCTTGGCCTTCATTCTGCCCTCCAGCTCCCTGGCTGCTGGGACCACAACCGCTCTCCCCCCTCCCTCCCTGCCTGGGGGACATCCTCTAGCTCTTGGCCAGTGAATGACCTCGTGCAGGCTGCTGTGATGCAGCTGACTGAGAGAGGAGCCCAAAGGGTCTCCAGAGGTGTCACCAACGCCCAAGAGAAAGCCTGACCAATGTGGGCAGCCTCTCGATTTCCCTGCTTGTTCTGCTCCTGGGCTTTACAGGGGACTTAAGAAAGGCCAGGGGCCTCTGGGACAGTTGAGGTTTCCACTTGGTTCCTAGGAGAGCCTCCAAGGTCAGTAGGGAGAGACTGGCCAGCTGGCTGTGCTCAGACCCGGTGACGCTTCTCTCCATCTCTAGGTAACTCAGCTTACCGAGCGGCCCGCATGCGTGAAGAAAGATTACTCCAACTTCATGGCTTCCCTGAATTTGCGCAACCGCTATGCAGGCGAGGTAATGCCCTCCCACCCCAACCCAGGAAGTCCTGACAGAGGGAGGGCCCTCAGGGCACACAGGGTGTGTGCGAGCTGGCTGGCACCTAGAAGCAGAAGGAGAGTGGGTGGTGCGCCAAACAGGAGTTGGCATTTGTACCTGGCAGAATTTATGGAGCAGGGAAGGAACATGGTCAGCCCTGGGCTTAGAACTATCACGGAGGCTGGTTCCATTGCACCAGGAAGTGGGGAGTGCCCAAGGGGGGGGGGGGCACGTGTAAGCTGGAGAGCCTACCCCTCCTGCCTCAGTGCGCTGACCCTTTAAGAGTGCCCTGTGTGGACCTGGAGTCCCCGAGGACCGCCAGCTCAGGGCTGCTTTCTCAGTCACCAAGTACAGTCAGGTGCCTGGGGGCTGCAGCATTTTTCACTTTAAGGGGTCCTTGTACTGAAAAGGCCTGGAAGCCTGCCTGGCAGCAGACGCTGGCAGCCTGGCACCTGGATCAGCTCAGGGCTCATTTCTTAAGCACCTGCAGAGTGTGGGGCACTGGCCGTGTTAGATTCCGAAGAGTCCCCAGCCTCCTGACATCCGAGGTCATCCTCCTGGGAAACACAGGCCAGGGCAAGACAGCCTACAGAGTGAGGGGATGCAGGAGAGGCAGGCAAGGAGTTCTAGGGAACCTGAGGCAGGAGAGAGCACTGCCAAGGCAGCTTCCTGGAGCCCTGGGGGTGCCTGAGCCAGGCCTTCACAGCAGGCTGCCGAGGAGTAGGTGCCTCGCAGGCCAGGAGAAGGGACTTCCTGTGGCTTGTGTTCTGGGGGTCGGCTGCACTCCAGGTCCATCGTCAGACACCGTGAACTGGTGGAGTCTGTTTGAGGCCACAGGCTGGCTTTGTGAGTTGTGCCCACCAGCCCTGACTCTGCCCAAAAGAAGTCCGTCTGGCGGGCCCATGTCCCACCAGCATCAGCTGCTCCCCTGGCTCAGAACCCCAGGATGGTGCTGGTTGTTAGGAGTCTCTCCTTTCTCTGAAGCCTCAGCTTGCCTTTCTGTGCCCTCTGCTTTGCTGCTGGGTTGGGTCTGCCCTCAGGCGCTTGCCCTGACGGGCTGTCGTGTGCCCCAGCAGACTCTTGGTCTCTGGCTGAGTGTCCTCATTCTCATTCAGTGGACCCTGCCCTCCTCCTGACAGGCCCCATTCTGGTGCCCAGCACCGAGCCCAACTTTCAGGGTCTGAGAGCTGGTAGCACCTGACTTTGGCAGAGCCTCACGACCACCCCATGACAGTGAGGACTGTGGGGATTATTGTCCCCACTGTACAGAAAGAGAAATTGAGGCTCAAAGGGTAAGAGGCTTGCTGAGGGTCACTCAGCTAGTCAGCATCAGAGTTGGGGTTCAAACCCAGGTCTCCCCGATTCCCAGTCTGGCCCTGATCCCAGCACTGTGCTCCCCATCCTGGTAGAGCGAGGAGCATGGCTTTAGTCTTGGTTCATCGGTGCCTGATGAAACGGAGGGCTTTGGTGGCAGCCTTCGCCCGACGATGCCCTGTCTCCTTGCAGGTTTACGGAATGATTCAGTTCTCAGACACCACAGGCCACACGTCCGACCTCAAAAAGCTGATGGTCCAGCAGCTGAACACAGCCTTGGACTCACACAAGGCTCAGCACTATACTCAGGCCATGTTCAAGTTGACGGCGATGCTGATCAGCATCCCAGGTGACAGCAGAGGCCCGAGGGGTGAGGGGCTCTGTCACGTGTCCCACCTTCCCACGCGGGAGATGTCCGGCCCGGGGACTTCACCTCCCTCTCGCGGGCCAGAGAGCAGAAGGGGATGCTCGGTGGGCCTCCGCCCCCCAGCCACAGGGGCTGCACTGAGACTCCGTCCTCTGCTTGTGAATAGATAGCGTGAAAGCTTTTTAAGTCCCTTAGCTGGGGCTGCTCAAGCAGTGAGTTGCGAGGGGCGGGGGGGTTATACTCAGCAACTCAATCAGAAATGTTCCGTTTCCCCATTGCGCGGCAGCCCTTCAGGTGCTGTCAGAGGAGCATCGAGTCTCACCAGCATCTCTGTCTGCCCCTTTGGTTTTAGACTGTGACCCCCAGCTCCTGCACCACTTGTGCTGGGGCCCCCTCCGGATGTTCAATGAACACGGCATGGAGACGGCCATCGCGTGTTGGGAGTGGCTGCTCGCGGGCAAGAACGGCGTAGAGGTGCCGGTAAGGGGCTGTGGGGGCCTGCGGGGGCGCCTGATGGGCGAGTGTCAGCCCCCTCCTGGCTGCGGCCATCGCGTCCTTCTGTGGCTGAGATCACTTTGAGGAGGTGGCGATGGATTTCTGGTGTCTGTTTTACGCACACACACGTACACATGTTTGTGGCAGCCTCTGGTATGCTGTGCCCAGATTCCCCGATGCATTTGTGTTTATCGGGGACATAGAGCTGAGTGAATGGTGAGTGTGACTGTGTCTGCCGGGCCCTGGCACAGTCCCTTGTGTCTCCCCCTCCATGGGCTCAGCCACCTCAGCGTTCCATAAACCCTCCTGAGGAGCGTGCAGGAGCCTTCCTACAGGCCTTCTCGGCTGGCGGCTGTGTGCCAAGCTCCCAAGACACGGTCCCTGCGCTCAAGGAGCTTACGTGCGAATGGTGCCCATCTCCAAACGGAGCCATGCCCACCCCTCCCCTAGTCCGGGCTCTTGTCCCCCTCTTTCCTGGGCTGTCCTGGGAGCAAGCAGAGGCCTGGCTGTCTCCAGGCTCTCCACGGCTGCCCAAGGGCTTCACCTGGAGCTCAGGTCCAGCCGCCTCCCTTCTCAGCTCCCACCTGCTCATCCGGCCATTTCCCGGTTAGACATGCCTGCCTCCCATGGCCTGTCTGTGGCCCCTGCTCAACTGAGCCCTGTCCAGCCGGCTGCTTGTGGTGCCCATCACATGACCTGGCCAGAGCCGACCTCTACCATGCAATCAGCCCTCCCCGAGCATGCCGGTAATGAGCTGTGGCAGTCCCTGCGGAGGGTTGAGGAGAGAACCCACAGGCCTTTGGGGCTTTTCTAACACACAGCTTTCAGCAACTAAACCTTGGAAATGCTTTTGTCTCAAGCTGGGCCAGAGCGGCCTGCTTGCTCTCCCAATATCAGGGGTGACGGTGGTCCTGCTGCCCCCCGTGATGGAACAGCACAGGAAATGTCTTTGGCCTCACCTGCCCCACAGATGTCTCAAAGACCTGTCTGGCATGCTGCAGGGGGGTGATCCGGAGGGTTGCGTGGGCTTCCCAACCCGGACCATGACTGCGGGAGCGCTTTATCCTTGCCCTGCGGGCCAGAACCTGGCCAGGCCTGAAAGAGAGTGGGAGGGAGGGGTTGTCCTTGCCCAGGCCTGAGCTTCGCTCTCTGCAGGGGGCAATCAAAAAGGGAATGTCGAATTGCCCCCCCTTGCTTTCCCCAAGGTGGCAACTGGGCCTGCTGCTCAGGCCCCCGCTGGGGCTCCAAAGTGCCCTTCTCCTTTCACCCGGGATCCTCTCCCTGATCTCCTCTCTGTTAGGAGGGGCCATAATTGTTCTCCCACCACTGCACCTTTGCACAGGTGGAGCAGGAGCCCAGCCCGTCACTCTCCCAGAGCTGTGGGGCCCTGCGTTGGTCCGGCTGTCACCTGGCAGGGTGGCTCTCCCGTGGCTCAGAGCCCGGAGCTGGGCACTTTCCTGCAGCCCCTTCTCTCTGCTGACTGAGTGCCTTCCCTGCTTTACAGGAGATGTCTAGCATGGGGTGTTCAGGGAGGACCCGCCCCTCTGGGGGGAGGGCTGCTCTTCCACCTCTGGCGTCTGCCTGATTCACCCAGCTGTAGCTCCAGGAGCTGGAGCGGATGCACTACACCAGGCCGAGGGTAACTGAGGGGTCTCTAACCCTTCGGTGAGTTGGGGGGCAGCGACTTCCCCACATGTGTGAAGACGTCCTCTCGTGGATTCGTCAGACAAGAGCAGTTTGTTCCAGCGGCCGCGAAGGCGGCTGGAGCAGACACTGTGGAGCTCTTCAGACTTGGTCAGACTTTGATGGCGCTGAAGGAGACAATGAGGCCTACAACTTCTTGCACCTCTGCCTCGCTTCAATCTGATTTATGCACAAGTCAAAAGACATCACCTGTACCCTCTTACCATTTTGAGCTACCTCAGAGTCCTGTGGCGACAGGCAAGTGATGAAGCAGCAGGTGCAGATACGCTGGGAGCTGCAGTCACAACCCTGCATGTAGGCGGCCGTAGGGTCGTGTCCACACTGGAAGCAGCAGTGGCGTTCGGCAGCCCCTGGGTGTCTGAGCATCCTTTGAAGGCCTGCACTGCCCACCTCCTGCTGTGAGGAAGGAACCAGAAAAGATGCCTTAAAAATTGTCTGCTTACCAACCCTGACCTGATTACTGTGGCAGGCAGGGATCCCACCATGCAGTGTACAAAACCTTCTGCAAGGAGGATTCCACTCTCCATCAGTATGTGGCGTGTGTGATGGCTGACACAGAGTCCAACAGACCTGAAAGGTGAATGGCTTGCTGCAAGAGAACGCAGCAGCCCTGAGTGAAACTAGGCAGGCCAGTGAAGGCCAGCTTACTGAAGTTGGGGCTGAATACAGGTTTTTCTGGAGTGGCCATGGTGATGGAGAGTGCCGTGAAGCTGGAGAAGGCTTTGCAATCAAAGCTAATCTAGTCAACAAGCTTCTTTGCCTGCCAAGAGGAGTGAATGACAGGCTCATGACAGTGTAATTGCCGCTTACAAGAAAGCACCACACCACTATCGTCCGTGCCCATGCTCCCACCATGAAGAACATTGATGAGGTCAAAAAAAATTGTATGAAGACCTGGAGACCCTCATCATCAACATGCCAAAAGAGGACAAGCTTGTAATTCTGGGTGACTTTAACGCCAGAGTAGGCTTAGACTTCCAGACTTGGCAGGGAGTCCTTGGGAGAAATAGAGTTGGAAACAGCATCAGCAGTGGTCATTTACTTCTGAAGACATGTGCATCTCATGACCCTCTCGTCACCAACACTGTCCTCCATTTACCTAAACGCAGTAAAACTTTGTGGATGCCCCCCCACAGCAAACATTGGCATTTAATAGACTGTGATTGTAAGGAGAAGAGACAGGATGTGAGAGTGTTGAAGGCAGCATGTGGTGCAGAGTGCTGGGCTGATCATGGACTTATGCTCTAAATAATTCGTATTCAGCAAAAGTGGCGGCTCCAAGGCAAAATGTCTGCCAGAAGAATTAACGTCCACAGATTCGAGCTCTTCTCTGAACGGGAATGCTTTGTTGCCAGCTTGGAGGGAAAATTCAGCCAACCCACAGCTGGCAAGAGTGGAGCAGAAGAGGAGTGGGCAACTTTCAGAGATTCGGTGCACAGCCCTGCATTTACTCATCTGGATCAGAACACTCGCAGACATCAAGACTGGTGGGACGAAAGTGATGGGGAAATTCAGAAACTGCTAAATGAAAAATGAGAACTCCTCAGGGTTTACCAGCAGGAGAGTTCATCCATCTCTAAGAAGGCAGCGTTAATTCCATCAAAAGTAAAGTACAGGGGCAGCTTAGAGAGATGCAGGATTCTTGGCTTAGTGAGAAGGCAGATGAAATTCAGTTTGATGCTGATGGTAACAATCTGGAGCACTTTTATGGTGCCCCAAAGGCTGTGTGTGGGCCAAAGACTTACGGTGCATCTCAACTCCTCAGTGCCGATGGAGCCACTTTGATTAGTGATAAGGACGTGGTCCTGGAGAGACGGGCTGAACGCTTCCGTAGTCTTCTCAATAGACCGCCATCAGTCAGTGCTGAGGCCATTGACCGTTTGCCTCAGGTTGAAGTCAGTCCCTCCCTAGCTGATGTTCCAACTGAAGAAGAGGTGTGAACGCCATTAGGTCCCTCTCCTGTGGCCAGGCACCTCGTGCCTCACAATCTCACTATTCCAGTGAGATTCATACGGTGGCGGGGGGGAGGGGGAATGCACTGCTCATACAAAAGCTGAAATTTTCCAGGTTACATGACAAGAGGGAGTTATCTCCCAAGAGTTCAAGGATGCTTCCGCTGTCCATCTCTATAAAGGTAAAGTAGATTGTCCTGTGATAATTACAGTGAGGGTCTCTCTCTTAGTCACTGCTGGCAGGATTCTTGCCAGAGTCGTCCTTAACAGGCTGATCCTTCGCCTGGAAGGTGGTCATCTACCTGAGGGCCAGGGTGGCTTCAGAAAGGGCTGAGGAACAGTCAATATAGTGTTTGCTGCCCGACAACTCCAGGAGAAATGCCAGGAGCAGAACAGAGGTCTGTACACAATGTCTGTAGATCTGACCAAGGCCTTTGATACTGTCAGTCATGAGGGCCTATGGAAGACCATGGCAAAATGTGGTTGCCTGGAGAAGTTCATCAACATTGCACATCAATTCCATGACAACATGCGTGCCCAGGTTCTGGATGATGGACGATGCTCTCGTGCTTTCCCAGTCACCAATGGAGTGAAGCAAGGCTCTGTGTTTGCTCCCAGGCTTTTTAACAGGATCTTTTCTGTGATGATGTGGGGATGCCTTCAATGAGGATGGACATGACATCAAGGTCAGCTACTGCGCTGATGGTCAGTTCTTCAACCTGAAAAGGCCACAAGCCGAGACCAAAGTGGAGGGAGTGTTGGTGCATGGTTTTCTGTTTGCAGATGATTGTGCAGTCAGTGCAGCCTCGGAGGCCGAGATGCAACAGAGTATGAACCGATTCTCTGCTGCTTGTGCTAATTTTGGTCTAACAATTAACACCAAGAAAGCACAGGTGCTCCAGCAGCCGCCATCTCACCATCCAGACGTGGAACCACCGGTTACAGCAAATGGAGACATTTGGAATGCTGTGGACAAGTTCACTTACCTTGGTAGTGTTCAAACTCTGCTGCAGAGAGCGCAACTCCAATGGGCTGGCCATGTGATTCGAATGCAGAACGTGGGCTTGCCAAAAAGACTGTTTTATGGAGAACTCACACGGTGGTCAGAGAAGCGATACGAGGACACTCTCAAGGTCTCTCTGAAGAACTGTGGAGTTGATTGTGAGACATGGGAGACACTGGCACAGGACCGCCCAGCATGGCGTGCCCTCCTCAGAGAAGGCGCTGTGCTCCGTGAGCAGAGCAGAATGGAAACCGCACGAAGGAAATGCAGGGTGTTCAGATGTGGAGGATCCACCCCAAATGTCCACATGGACTATGCTGAGCTCTTGCTGGTCTGATCGGCTACAGTCGGACCCACTGAAACGTGGCTCCAGCGAGTGAATCAAGGACAACCGCCACCCAGCATGGGCCTGGGGCCTGACAGCAGCCCCTGTGCCCCCAGCACTTCTCCCCTGCGTCCTCCCGGGTTAGGGGTGCAGGCCAGGCCTTGTGTGTTGTCAGGATGGACCTGAGGGCATTCCATTGCAAGACTGTGCTTCGCCTGGTAGGCAATGAGCTCCCTGTCAGCATGAATGTTGATGACAGCTTGTCCCAGATCTCCAAGATCTGTTCCAATTCCAAAGGTCTGGGGTTTGCTGGCACTCTCATTTCACCTTCCAGGACTTCCTCAGAATAGAAATTTGGAGCAGAAATGGATGTTAGAGGTCACCAGGCACAGAGGAGAAAACTGAGGTCAGAGAGATAGGCTGACTTGGCCAGAACCACACAGCCCTCAGGGCTTCCTGCCACCAAGGCCTGGGCTCTGTCTGCCACCTCTCCAGAGGTGGCATTACTGAGGGAGCAGCTCAGAGCATCTGGCCTGTGGGAGCAGGTCTTGGGTGGCCACTGTGCATGTGACCCTGGGTGGCACGATCCCTTTTCACAGGCATTAACTGAGGCCCACACTTCTTGGGGGTAACCGGGCCTGACAGAGCAGTGACTTGGAATCCTGGGGTCTCTGCCGATCTCCCCGTGCTCCGGCTCCTTCACGGGACTCTAAGCGGGCATCTCGTATTTCTAGTTCATGCGGGAGATGGCCGGTGCCTGGCAGATGACAGTGGAGCAGAAATACGGGCTCTTTTCTGTGGAGACAAAGGAAGCGGATCCCTTGGCAGCTTCCGAAGTGAGCCAGCCGAAGCCATGTCCCCCCGAGGTGACGCCGCACTACATCTGGATTGACGTGAGTGCCCCCCGGCCCACCCTCTCAGGGCCTGGGGAGAGGGGCCTGGCCACGGCAGCCAGGTGCCTAAGCATCTGCTCAATGCCGAGCACGGGCTGGGGAGTGGGGAGGTACGGAGCCCAGAGAGGAGTCAGACCCTGCTCTCAGGCAGGGGGGTGAGACACAAACACATTAGAGAGGAAAAAAGTGTTCCGTGAGGTTGAAGAGGGACCTTTGTTTACCCCCAGAGAGATTAGGGAAGACTTCCTGAAGGGCGGGGGGTAACAGATGGTTATGAAAGTGGAAGAGGTGCCAAGGTGGGAAAGCACAGAGTGTGTCTTGGGAGCAGGAAGCCGCCTCGTTTGTCAGGTGTGCGCGATCAATCTGGGAAGGCTGGGTAGTGCCAGGCCATGAAGGGCCTGGGGACGAGGCCGGATGAGCGGGCCATGAAGCAGTTGAAGGCTGGGCAGCGGGCGCCCTCCGGGAGCTCCATCCCACGGCCTGTGTCTGCCCACAGTTCCTGGTGCAGAGGTTTGAGATCGCCAAGTACTGCAGCTCAGACCAGGTGGAAATCTTCTCCAGCCTCCTCCAGCGTTCCATGTCGCTAAACATCGGGGGCACCAAGGGCAGCATGAACCGGCATGTGGCGGCCATCGGCCCCCGCTTCAAGTAAGCCTCTCTTGTGTCTCCAGGGAGGGCCCTTCCTTTACAGAGGAGAAAACTGAGGCCTGGCTCCAGTAAGGGGCGAGCTGAGAGTGGCATCCAAACCCTCCTGGTTCCCAGGCTGGTGGAACAAGGGCCGTACGAGTGCCCGCTTTTTTCAGATAGGTTAACTAGGATTAAAGAGAGGAGAGTGACTGGCCTGCTATCCCACAGTTAATGAGTCTCCTGAGCCCCAGCCCCACACCTTTCCTCTAAAACCCTCTACCTCCCCTACAATTTGTCCCTGGACCAGAGGCCCAGGCCTGCCACCCACTATGCATCCCATAAGAGGACAGATGCCACCTACTGTGTGTCCCACAAGGGGATGGGTGCCGCCTACTGTGGATCCCGTGAGGGGCAGGTGCCACCTACTGTGTATCCCATGAGGGGATGGATGCCACTTACTATGCATCCTGCAAGGGGACAGATGCCACCTACTGTGCATCCTGCAAGGTGACAGATGCCACCTACTGTGTGTCCCACAGGAGGGGGGGACAGATGCCACCTACTGTGCCTCCCATGAGGGGCAGACCTGATCCAGGGGAGTGACTTTTCAGACCTCTGTTGCCTTGGCCCCAAGCAGGCAGTGCTGTGGATTCAGCCAACGGTAATCAGGCACGATGGGACATCAGGTTTCTGTTGTACCCTTTTAGCAGTGTTATATTTTCAGTGACAGACGTTGGTGATGTCTGAAGAGTGTGCCATCCTCCATGCCCCTGTCTTCCAACCCTGGGGCTTAGACACTGCCAGGGTCATGGCCCATGTTTAGCGGATGAGGGAACGGGCTGAGTGCAGGGTTTTGGTTTTCAATATTATTGTAAATGATTTGCTTGTGAGTAATTGTGGCAGCCACGCCTCGGCTTTGAAGCGGCATTCCTCAAGAAGGCACCAGGCCCCTGGTGCCATGGCGAGGCAGGGTCCGAATCAGAGCTCTGAGCCCCGGGTGTCTGGGGCCCTCAGCAGGATGTCCTGTCCCGCTCCCTGGTGACTCTAAGGCTCGGCCCAGGTTCTGCCTTCGCGTGTGGGCTGTGTTGTCCTCGCCCTTTACACTGACCCTGGGGGGCGGGGCAGAGGGCCTCTGGGTCACTGGCATTCTCCTGCCTTGAGCGTGTACCCCTGTGGCCTCCCCTCTTCCAGGCTGCTGACCCTCGGGCTGTCACTGCTGCATGCTGATGTGGTCCCCAACGCCACCATCCGCAACGTCCTGCGCGAGAAGGTGTATTCGACTGCCTTTGACTACTTCAGGTACGCCCTCCTCTCCTGGATCCCCAGGAACCCTGCACACAGCCCTGCCCTGGCCCCACGGCCTCTCTTTCTGCTCTGTGACTCGCCTTCTCAGAGCCGAGAAGGCATGGCAATGGCGCCTCATTACTGTAGCGGCTGGATTTCCCTTCACTCCCCTGCTTGTATTCCTTAGCAAGGATGAAGACGGCTCTCTCACGGTGCCCGCCTCAGCGGCTATATGGGAGTCACAGGTGCAGGTGACAGCCCTCCCATGTGGCGGGGCTGCTCCGACTGGTAGCGTGGCCCTCCCACTTCAGCATCCCTGGGGGTGGTGGGGGAGGAGCTGGAGTCGGTGCCTGAAGCCTGCCCAGCTTGGCCTGGCAGCTCCAGGCGCCATCACCAGCCCCTGGGATTTCAGGAGCACAGGCGCTCCCAGCAAAAGTGCTCCTCGCAGTCTTAGCATGCCCAACTTGCTCTCATCCATTCATCCGTCCATCAATCCAAGAGCCACCTGGGGCGTCAGGGGCTTCCTGGCTCTCCGAGATGGGCCAGAATTGCCGGCCAGGCAGGGTTTGAACTCGGCTCTCCCTGGCTCTTTCCGTCCTGCTTCGTGCCCCACCTTTGTGGCCCAGGGGGACACCAAGGTGATGTTTTGCCGTTTCCAGAGCGCTTTGTGGGTTGCTCTGGGCTGTGATGAGGATGGTAGAGCCTTAAGTATCTTACACTGCAACCCCACCCCCAAAGCTGTCGAGCCCATGTGGGAAAGTAGGAGACGGCCAGGCTGGGAGTCCAGGGAGGCATGAGTTTGAATCCTTCCTCAGAGCTGGCTGACCAAGGACAATCACCCTCAATGTCCTCATCTGTAAAATGGGCCAAGCTTCGATGCTTTATCAGTGCTGCTGTCACTGAGCCTTCATGGTAGCTGGGGGAGCTCCAGGCTCCAGGAGATCTGGCCTACCCACCAGCCCCCAATGGGTCCAGGGATGGAGTAGAGTGATCTCCTCAAGAACCGCTGACCTCACTGCCTTCCGATGTCATTGCTACCAACCAGAGATGCCCAGCAGAGTGCAGGAAGACCCCTGCCCATAGTGGGGGCGGGGGGGGGGGTTGCTGTTTCCTGAGCTGGTGGCAGGGAGCCCTTGTGCTGATGAAATCAAGAATCTTTTGCAGTGCAAAGCAAATACGGAGACCCTGGGGGGTCAGGCAGCAGAGGGATTTTCCTACAGTGCAGGTCTGACCATGCCACCCCCTACTCAATTAACTCCAGCAGCTCCCTGTGGCCTGTAGGAGCAAACACAAAATGCTCTGGTTGGCCTTCAAGGCCCTTCTTAACCCCATCCCCTCTTACCTTTCCAGAATTCTTAATTATAATGATGACAGTGATGATAGCTAACATTTATGTGGCACCTAGTATGTGCCAGGCACTATGCTAAGGCCTTTACAAATTTTTATCTCAGTAGATTCTGACAACAACCCTGGGAGGCAGGGGCTATTATTATCCCCATTTTGCAGATGAGGAAACTGAGGCAGACAGCGGTAAAGTGGCTTGCCCAAGGTCACACAGCTAGGAAGTGTCTGAGGCTGGATTTGAACTGAGGTCCTCCTGACTCCAGGCCCAGTACTCTATCCACTGCACCACCTAGCTGCCCTTTACTTACACCTCACTCCCCGACACATACTTTTTGATCCCATGACCCCAGCCTCTTGGCCATTCATGAACACGACCTCCATCTCCCAGCTCTGGGCATTCTCTCTGGCCATCCCCCAAGCCTGAAATGCTCTCCCTCCTCCACTCTGACTACTCATCTGCCAGGCTTCCTGTAAGTCCCAGCTAAAATCCTACCTCCTCCAGGAAGCATTCCATGACCTTCCCTGTTAATGACTTCCTGTTTGTGCTATATGAAGCTGCCTTGGTATCCATCGATCTACTTGTTGCCAGCTCCTGGCAGGCAGGGCCTTACCCAGGGCCTGTCACACAGCGGGTACTTGATAAATGTTGACTGACTGATGGCTGACGCACAGCCCGGCCTGTGTTAGGGATCACAGGTGATGCCATGGGCATGGCCTAACTTCTGAAGGCTCACGGCTTGTTTAGACTCTGAGCCTCCTTTCTCTTCTGGTTGTTTTCAGCTGTCCCCCAAGGTTCCCTACCCAAGGAGAAAACCAGCTGCGTGAGGACATCAGCATCTTGATCAAGTTCTGGACTGCCATGTTCTCCGATAAGAAGTACCTCACTGCCAGCCAGCTTGTGCCCCCAGGTGAGTATGGCCCTGGGCCTGGGAGGGTGTGGCTGGAGCCCACCATCTGGCCCATTCACCTCCCCACCTTACTTTCCATCCCCCCACCACCTCCTCTAAGAGCCGAGCCAGTAAGGAAGCCACCAAAACCGAGCTCCCCTCTGCCAGCCGGAGTCCCCCGACTCTTACTTTACAGATGCGCTTACGTGGTCTTCAGGTGAGAAGGGTGGGGACCGCGGCTAAGCTCAGCATCCTGCAGACAGCAGCGCCTGGTGCTGCTCGTGCTACCTCCTGATGACCGGGGAAGAGACAGAGCCAAGGGCACACATGTGCCCAGCAGCTGGGAGCCATGGAGTCCTCCTCCCCCGGAGTCCTTCAGGGCATCAGCGTGTTAAGGCCCAGTCTTGGACGTTCATAAAGATTCAGGAGTTCAGTGAGGGCACCGTGTGCTTTAGAAAGATTGTTCCTCACTTCACGCTTCCCTAAGAAGGGGCAAGCCCTTGGCTACCCAGAAGGATCCCGAGGTTTCTGGAGGACCAGGCTTTACCGTCCTAGAATGTGTGCTAGAACCTAGCATCTTAGACGTCCAGAGCTGGAACACTCCTCAGTGGTGTCTCACCCAGTCCCGGGAGGGCCACAGGAATCCCCAACCAGGAGGACCTCCACCGGTGGGGGGCTCAGCTCCCGCAGTCCCAGGGGACTGCAGAGGCATCTGATCCCACCAAGTTCTTGCCAGGATCCCCTTTCAGAGCATTTCTTGCGCAGGAGTCTTGTAGGCTGCTCTTGGAGATCTGCTGCTTCTGCCCACAGTCTGCTTCCTTGTACCTCCCAAGCAGGGGCAGGAGGAGAAGGGCTGGGATGTGCCCTTTCTGAAGCGTGGGCGCCAGAGGCGTCGGCCCTGGTTCTAGAAGCCGCTTAGGGCCCTGGGCGGATTTCCCAGCAGTCCAGTTGAGCACATGCTTAGTTGTCCGCTTTGCACAAGGCGTGGTGTGCCAAATGTTGAGAGAGGCCCCAAGCCCCAGTGAAGGCAGCCCAGTGTGCAGGGGCTCACCCCCAGCTGAGGAATTAGGTACACACATATGTCATAGCCAGTGGGACGAGATAATGTCAGGAATGAGTTGTGAGGTTGAAGGCAAGAATCTGGGAAGGCTTCCTGGAGGAGGTAGGATTCTAGCTGAGCTGTAGACCGTGGGCAAGAGTTCACTTGGCATAGAGGGAAAGTGATGCCATTGCAGACAGTGGAGAGATGAGCCGAGGTGTGGAGATGGGAGCCTGGAGGGCTCAGGAGAGAGCCCGTAATGTGCATGGGCTTGGGCAGCAGAGACTGTGGAGGTCAGGCAAAGAGGGGGGACCTTGGCTCAGCAAATGGCGCGCAGCCCCCAGAAGCTCAGCAGACAAGCGTGGCCCTCAGAGTGGTGTGTCAGGAAGATGGTTTGGAGCAGGGGAGAGAATGGAGGCCCCCAGAGGGAGATGGCCGGGGCAGCCTCGCCCGCGGGGCCAGCACACAGAATGGCCTCTGCACCCAGAGCAACCGCCAGCCGCCTCAGGCCACGGCGCCCCCTCTGCTGCGGGATAGCGCAGAGTAACTAACCCCGTGTGCTTTCTCTCGAGAGGCTTCGTTTCAGGCTCCCGTGTTGTGTTTGACTGTAGATAACCAAGACACTCGGAGTAACCTGGACATTACCGTCGGCTCTCGACAGCAAGCCACCCAGGGCTGGATCAATACTTACCCTCTGTCCAGCGGCATGTCAACCATCTCCAAGAAATCAGGTCATCTAGTTCTTTGTTCATGCGCCCGCCTTGTCTTTTCTCTCCTCAGCAAGTGCTCAGTCCACGTCCACCGGCCTGAGTCCTTGCTTGAGCTTGCTGCGCCATCATCATCGTTGTGCTCCGCCATCAGCACCTCCATCCCATCATGCTCATCGTAGCCCCTGGTTAGCGCAGCCGGCTGTAGGACAGGGAGGGCCTGAGGAAGAGACTGCGCCGGCAGCTAGAGTGGCGAGGCCCGCAGCTGGCCAGCATTGGGGGAGGCCCCGGGCTCAGCATTGGGATAGCGAGGCTGGTGCAGCCCCAGCCCTGCTCTCCACCTAGAGTCCAAGTGCTCACGAGATGAGGAAGACCAAGACGGGCACCGGGCGGCCCTTCCTGGGCCGGCCACGGAGCCTCGGCCAGGCTGTGCGTGGTTTGCCGTCCGCCGCAGTGACCTGGGAACTGAACCGGACGGCCACACTTACGGAGAAATTCACTCTTTCTCTCTTTCCGGTCAAGGGATGTCCAAGAAAACCAACAGAGGCACCCAGCTGCACAAGTATTACATGAAGCGGCGGACGCTGCTGCTGTCCCTTCTGGTGAGTCAGTGCATTTGGCAGGTGACGGTCCCTCCCCCCCCCCCCCCTTGCCACGGCAGCCTTTGGGTTGGTAGGCCACGGTCTGCCACGTGCTCTAACGCCAGCCTCTTCGTGGCCTACCAGGGACGCACCTGCCCTGTCGGGTCGAGGGCCCTGGCCCCAGGTGGGGTCTGCTTGAGGGGGCTCGGCGTTGGGCGGCTGGCCGGCCACTTGGTCAGAGCAGCTCGCACCCCACAGACATTGCAGATGGTGCTCAGCCCAGCCGTGGTGGTGACAGAGTGAGGGGCAGGGGGCCCCCTCTCTAAACTTCATCTTAGCTCTTGGTCCTCTGCATGGGAGGGCCTGCGGCAGGATGTGCTCAAGATACAAGTGGAACCCACGGCCACCAGCAAACACTTGTCCTACTTGCCAGGACAGCCGGGTGGGACAGCTGCTGAGGCTCCAAACGCAGCCAAGGAGAAGGAGAAGCTGGGAGGAGGGGGGCGCCAGGGGGCCAGAGGGTGCCGCAGCCTTCCTGAGACATTACCAGGCTCCAGGGGACCCCCGGCTGGGCCGGGTCATTCCTGGGATGGCTGCCCCTGTTCCTAGCAGTGCCTCAGTGGGCCCCTCCAGCGTGGGTTCCTGCCGTCTTCAGTCAGTTCCCCAGAGATTTTTATCATGAACTCTTAGAACCGTCATATCGCGGTCCAGGATGGTCAGTCGGTCAAGCATTTATTAAATGCCTGTGATGTGCCAGGCGGTGTGCTGAGCACTGGGGTACCAGCAAGAAGCAAGCTGGCCCCTGGAAGCTTCCATTCTCACGGGGAAGACAGCCCCCAAAAGGGCGTGGTACCGGATGAAGGCCCTCCTTCTGCAGGAAGCCCCTTTAGCACCAGGAGCACCTTGGGGGCGGGGCTGAGGGGGGGTCTCCTCATCCCCAGCACTCGTCTCAGGGTGTGTCATCCCCAACTCAAGCCCTCGTTCCCGCTGCCCCCTGCGGTGGCCTCAGCAGGGCTTCCCCGGGCCTGATTCTCCTCCACTCAGCTGCCATCCTCCCAAAGCATGGGCCCCTCCCTCCCAGGGGGTCTCAAGGAGCGGGGAGCAAGCCCTCCGTCTGGCTTCTTCCCCTGGACCGTCTCCCAACGCCCCACCTCTCACCACTGAGTCTTTGCATTGGCCGTGGCACACACCTTACAGGCTCTCCTCCTCACTGCCACCTTCTGGCTTCCTTTAAGACACCCTTAAGGGGCAGCTAGGTGGTGCAGGGGATAGAGCGCCAGCCCTGGAGTCCGGAGGACCTGAGTTCAAATCCAGCCTCAAACTCTTTGCACTTCCTAGCTAGGTGACCCTGGGTAAGTCAGTTAAGCCTGATTGCCTCACAGAAAAAAAAAAAATAACTGGAACTGATTGTGTGCCATGGGAGACACTGGCACAAGACCACCCAGCATGGCATGCCTTCATCAGAGAAGGTGCTGCGCTCTGAGCAAAACAGAATCGAAGGAGCTCAGAAGAAACGCGAGATGTGCAGATGAAGAGAATCCCGCCCGAAGGTTCACACGGACCATCTGTGCCTGATGTGGGAGAGCCCTCTGAGCTCGTACTGACGCGATCAGCCACATTTGGACACCCTGGACCTTGAGTGGCACAGTGACGTGCTTTTGGTCCCCTTTGAGAAGGAGGGGCGGCAGCCAACCAGCCAAGGGTCCCCTCATCTGGGAGGCCTTTCCCGGCTCCCCCAGCTTGTGCTGGCCTCCCGTCCCCGTGCTCCAGATATTACAGGGAGCTGGTTGTCTGTCCATCGTTGGCCTCAGAGCCCCTGCCCAAGGCTGCGTGCGGTGCCAGACGGCTGCCCTAACCCTGCCTGATAAAACCAGAAGCCACCTGCTCATTAAAGCTATTCGTGAGGGGCAGCTAGGTGGTGCAGTGGAGTCAGGAGGACCTGAGTTCAAATCTGGCCTCAGACACATAACACTCACTAGCTGTGTGACTCTGGGCCAGTCACTTAACCCCAATTGCCTCTCTAAAAAAAAAAAGCTACTCGTGACAGTCACAGGTCGGATGAGATGCAAAGTGGAAACCGAAGGGTTTCCCATAGTGCCCAAGTCCCCCTGATGCATTCCTGTCTGTGGGGAGCTCTGGGCTAATGGCACAAAGTCCACAGGCACGCCTCGGGGAATGCGTGTTGTCTGGGTGCACATCGGGAGCTGCCACAGCCCACTTGTCCAGGAGGAACCTCGGCAGCCCTGAGCCCAGCCCCTCATTTTACAAGTGAGGAAACTGAGGCCCTGGCAAATGAAGAGACTTATCCAGGGTCACCCAGCTCCTAAGGGCCTGGGGCAAGATTCTCACTGGGGTCTTCTCAACTCCAGGCCCAGGCTTCTATCCATTGTGCACCCAGCCATCTGCTGAGGGCATCAGACAACTCCTGGGAAAGTGCCCAGTTATTTAATGACCCAAAACAGGTCCCCAAACCCCAGGCCTCTCTCTGCTACCAAAATTCCTTTCCGGTGTATAAGGAAGGGCAGTCAGGGGTCCTCCAGCCTTGCAGGGCCTCCATGCATGTCCCCATCATGCCCCTATCACAAGTTCCCAGAGCCCTCTCTTCAATCTGGCCTTGGAGGTGGGCAGGGCAGAGGCCGTTCTCACCATTTTCCTGGAAATGCTGGGGCCGTGCACGTGGCTTTAAGCGTGGACTGGCTCCTCAGAGCCGCTTGAAATGATCTGCCTGTGGCCAGAGGCAGCGTGGAGGCTTCTGGCCTCGGCCCAGAAGACCTGGCCCTGCCGTCACCCCTTCTCCCTGAGCCTCGCGGCAATGGAGCGAGCGCTGCTGTGGCAGACAGCCTGACGCTGGCGTGCCAGCTGGCCTTGAGTGCTGGGCCTCAGCCGCCTCATCCGGGTGCCACCCACCTGCCCACAGGCCTGGTGCCAGCTGTGCCAGGCTCAACGTGAGCTCTCCTGCATAGGGGAGGGGCTGACCCTCTTCTTGGTTCTTTCAGGCTACAGAGATCGAACGTCTGATCACGTGGTACAACCCACTGTCAGCCCCCGAGCTGGAGCTGGACCAGGCCGGGGAGAGCAGCGTGGCCAACTGGAGGTCCAAGTACGTCAGCCTGAGCGAGAAACAGTGGAAGGACAACGTGAACCTGGCCTGGAGCATCTCCCCGCACCTGGCCGTGCAGCTGCCCTCCAGGTGGGCGCCCAGGAAGGAGGCAGGGAAGTGGCTCCAGCGAAGCCATGTGGGGGCCAGAGGCAGGTGGGCAGCCCCCTCGGGGCCATCCCTGTGTTCGTCCATGAGGATGAAAAGCTCATGGTGAGATTGGAAAGGCAGGGGGTTTCTGAATGCCAGGCCAAGGAGGCTGGGCAGAAAAGGCTGCCAAGGAAATGATGCCTGGCAAACCTCCACATGCTGCACATTAGCTATTGTTCTTTTCCCTGAGGGCTTCAGAAAAACAGGAGGGATTGTTCTTCCCTCCCAGACTGTGCCCCAATGGAGGCAGGCTGGGGGGGGAGTCATGGAGTGGCGAGCCTGGCCTCAGGGCTGGGAGAACTTGCCTTTGCCCCCTTCCTTCATGCCGTGACCCAGGGCCCAGGGTCAGGCATGCAGCCCCTAAATGGTCTAGTCCAGTCTGGGCAGCTCTTGGGAGCTTTGAAATGGCCAAGTGGGGGCCAACCTGCGGTGGCAGGGGCTTCCCCTCCTGGGGTGAGCAGGCACCAGCTCTGCCCTTGGCCAGAGGAGAGGCTGGTGTCTGCTTTCTCGGTGCCCTCCAGGCTGATCAGACGGTGCCCGCTGGGGAAGGAGGTCAGCGGAGCTGTCCAGACCGTCCAGCCCGTTGCGGCCAGGCCTCCTCCTGTCTGCCAGGGGTTTGACTCGACTTTTCTGTCTCACCTTTTTCTGTTGACGTTGAGGCCCGTATCTGTTAGTGCTCATCTGTCCCCGTCTGTCTCAGATTCAAGAATACGGAAGCCATCGGCACCGAGGTGACGCGGCTGGTACGGCTGGACCCGGGCGCCGTCAGCGACCTGCCAGAGGCCATCAAGGTAGCGGCCCTCCCTCCCCGCTGCTCCCCTGCTGCTCCCTCGGGCTCACGGCCTGTTGCTGTTTCAGGAGGAGGCCAGGGTGCGTCCTTTGCTTTGGGGACCCAGCTCCACCAGGGGCTGCTCTGAGCCTCAGTTTCCCCATCTGGGTTTGCCTGGTGCTTGCCATGGAGCCCCCAGGCGTGGAGTGTTTTGATCTGTGCTGGCTGGAAGGCTATTGCTGCTACACCCCAGGGGGTCTTTGCTGCACCCCCAGCCCTGCTTCTCCCTCCTCCCACCCTCTGTGCAAACACACTGAGAGCAGCGATGACCTCTCCCTGTGAGCCTGGGCATGCCTGGGCTCTTGGCCACATTTTATGGAGGAGAAGCGAGTGGGCGTCATGCATGGGCACGTCGCTGAAGCAGCCTCTGGTCCCTCCCCTCCAGTACCTGGTGACCTGGCACACAATTGATGCAGACGCCCCCGAGCTCAGCCATGTGCTGTGCTGGGCCCCGACAGACCCGCCCACCGGCCTCTCCTACTTCTCCAGCATGTACCCGCCCCACCCCCTCACCGCACAGTATGGAGTCAAAGTCTTGCGGTCCTTTCCTCCGGTAAGACCCCCTCCTGGGCCCCCCACACCCTGCCCACGGGCCCAGCCTTCACCCTAGGCCTGGCCGGTTGTAACGGGGAGGTTCTTGTCTTCTGAGCTTTGAGTAGAGCAAGAGCTGCTCTGCAGCGGCGTCAGCCCATTCCTGCCCTGGCAGCTCCCGAGCACGTCCTCCTGGGAGTCAGAGCCAGTCTGTGCCCAGCAGCCCGGGGAGCCCATCTCACAGATGCTCCCTCACCCATGACGGAGCGAGCACTTTGGCGCCTCTGGGGGAGCCAGCTGTGGGCAGGGGCCTTAGGCCACCTTTGCTTCATTTAATCTTGGCTGGTTTTTGTCTTGATTTTCCTCTTTAATCCTGGCTTTTGTCTCCCCTTCCTAGGACGCCATTTTGTTCTACATCCCCCAGATTGTGCAGGCCCTGAGGTATGACAAGGTGAGGCTCTCCCTGCCAGCGGCTGCCCTCCCCTCATGGAGGCCGTGACGGTTGTTTGATCGATGAGCCAGGGGTCTGGGCACACGGGGGCCAAGCACAGGCAGCAGGAGAGGGCCCAGGGGCCCGAGGGCAGAGGCAGGAGGCCGTGAGGGCAGGGGCCAGGCGCCGGCTGTAGGCCCACAGCAAGGCATCCTTAGGCAGACCCCAGGTCATCAGGGTTTCACCTCCTCAACGGGGTCTTCTGCAGCACTCTCGGCCCCAACAGAGCAGTTTAGGAGTTCCTGGTCTACTTTAATTTTATCCTTCAAAAAGTGTGGGGAAAAGGCCTGATTGGGAGGAACCGTGGGAGGTCAGTGGCCCAGGAAGGACCTCTCCCCCCGCCCCAGGGCCCTGGCTTTGGGAGAGAAGACAAGGCGGGATCTTGACTCCTCAGCCTGAGAGGGGGACGTTGGCTCCCCAGGGAGGGTCCCTGGTGGGATATGCAGAAGCAGGGGCCTGTCCGTGGGATAGCCGTGGTGGGGACGCCCCCCAGCACTCTGCCGGCCCATGGGCAGCTGTGGGGGCCAAACCTGGGCAGGCGGCAGGAGAAGCTTGCCCCACCCCCCACCCCGTGGGACTGTGGCTGGGCGGGGCTGCGCTCATTTTGGCCACGAGGGGGCAGCAGGGGTCACACGGCCACGGCTTCCTCCCTCACCTGTGCACACCTTCCCTGGGGCGCGAGGGGCGCCCGGGGGCCCTGGTCCGATTGCAGATGGGCTACGTCCGGGAGTACATCCTGTGGGCAGCGTCAAAGTCCCAGCTCCTGGCGCACCAGTTTATCTGGAACATGAAGACCAACGTCTTCCTGGATGAAGAAGGCCACCAGAAGGACCGTGAGTAGTGTTTGGCTGTGCCGCGGCCCCCCATCCACCCTGCCCATCCCCCCAGTCCTGGCTCACAGCCCACTCTCCCAGAGGAAAAATCGAGGCCTTGGGCTTGAAGGGGTCTTCTGCCTTTGTTTCTGTTGCTTCACCTTTGGGGTTGGGTTGGTCAGAGACCCCAGGCAGCCCCACGCGCTCGAAATGTTCCTGGCCTTGGACAGAGTTCTGCCGCGTGTCCCTTGCCTTAGTCTCCCAATCTGTGAAGAGGGCAGAAGAGTCAGCTTTTGCACCATCTGACTCAGAGTCCTTTGAGAGCAGGGGTGGGCGCTGGGGGCGGGCGTGGAGAAGCCCCTCGTGGCCACCATCCCCTCAGCTCTGCTCCCCAGGGATCCCCTTGCCGGGTCCAGCTCTGGCCACGCTCTCCGTGAGCGTGACGGCTCTCTTGCTCCCCCTCAGCGGACATCGGGGAGCTCTTGGAGCAGCTGGTGGAGGAGATCACGGGCTCCCTGTCAGGCCCTGCTAAGGACTTCTATCAGCGGGAGTTCGATTTCTTTAACAAGATCACCAACGTGTCAGCCATAATCAAGTGAGTTGCCCGGCCCTTGCTGGGGCTCTGGAGGGGAGAAGGCACCCCACCTTGGGAGAGGCTCTCCCAGTGAGGCGGAGACCCCTCTCAGGCTCGCCTCCTCATCCCCCGGGGGGCCTGGCAGTATTTACTGCTTGTTTTCACAGGGTTCTCATGAGTGGGCTGAACGGAGCTGTTCTAATTATGTTTTTATGTGAAGGTACTGATGTGACCACTTGATGACCAGAAAACCAGAAGCCTGGCTTCAAAGTAGCTTATGTGGGGAAATTTGTCTGAGGTCTTAGTGGACCACAAGTTCATTATTAGACAAACTTGTGAAGTAGTAGCCAAAAAAGTCTCAGGTTGCGTTTGGAGAGTCCTGTGGGCCCCCCAGGGTAGGGGCGCATCTGCCCCTGCCCCTACCACTAGGAAAGAGTGTGTTTCCCTCTGAATAATCCCTTTTTTTTTCCTTTTTGGGCAATTGGGGTTAAGTGACTTGCCCAGGGTCACACAGCTAGTGTCAAGTGTTTGGTTTGAGACCAGATTTGAATTCAGGTCCTCCTGACTTCAGGACCCGTGCTGTATCCATTATGCCACCTAGCTGCCCCTTGAATAATCCTTTTTAAGAGGCCCCAGGCCTAGGAGCAGAGCTAGTAGGAGAAGCTGGTGGTCTAGAGATCCACATGGGAATTAGGAGGAGAAGAGGCTGGGGGGCCCAGGGAGGGGACCAGGACCAAGAGCCACGAGTTGGGGTAACTAAGCTCCAGCCTGCCGGCCAGCTCTGAAACACTGTCATTCTACCTCAGTGCCTGAGGAAGGGCAGAGCGCTTAAAGCTGGGGAAATCTGGGGAGGCTTCCTGAAGGAGGTGGGCCCCCTTGGGGCAGAGCGGGAGGGAGAGATGGCTGCAGAGGTTCACCTGAGCAACATGGGGTGGCCTCCCCTAGTAGTAGGAGCCCCTCAGGGGCTGAGCCTCCTCCCCCAGAGGAGGCACGGACTTTTTGCCTCAAGCGCCACTGAAGCCACTCTGTCTGCTTTCCCAGGCCCTTCCCGAAAGGCGACGAGCGGAAGAAAGCGTGTCTGAGTGCCCTGGCTGAAGTGAAGGTGCAGCCGTGTAAGTGCCCCAGCGGCCCTGGCACCACCGGGCCTGTCGTGCTCCCCTCGTCCTCCTGGCGGCTGTGCCCGGCCTGGGCAGGAGGGAAGGCCTTCCGTGGCGGGGGGGGGGGGGCATCCACTCCCTCTGCAGCCCGACTTTGGCGTGGGGGTGGGGAACTGTTCCCCCACATTCCCATTGGTCCCTGGGCAAGGTGGGGAAGGGACCCCGTGGGAGCACCTGAGGAGACTGGAGGGCCAGGAGGAAGGGCCGGGGTTGCACGAGGCGCCAGCTTGCCCTGGTTGGCCCCGAGGACAGGATGGGGGGGTTTCCCAGCTGGACGCGCTTTGTCCCCGCCCCGATGGGGCACCAGGCACCTGACCACAGCTGGGAGGCAGGGTTCAGGCTGTCCCTGAGCCTCCCAGCCAGAGGGATGGGGCTGCTGCCCTCAAGGAGGCTCTAGTCTAAAGGCAGAGAACAAGGATAAAGAAAATAAGGACCAAGTAGCTGGAGGGGAGGCACTACCTGCTGGGAGGGTGGGGACAGAAGAGGCCGTCTGAGCTGCTCCTTGAAGGAAGGCCTGGGGGCCAGCCACTGCAAGGGCCTGGAGATGGGAGGTGACAGTGTCGTGTTTGGGAGTGGCGTGGAGGGCAGTAGCTGGATCCTAGAACATGTGGTGGCAGGTCGAGTGTAAGACCCCAGAGGAAGCAGGAAGTGGCCAGGCTGTGAGGAGAGACGGTGCTGGAAGTAACAAGGAGCCAAGGGAGGTCACTGAGGGGTGGGGACACCTGTGCTGTAGCAGCTGGGGAGACATGGGGTTGTCATCACAGGCCAGGTGAGGCAAGGGCTGGCGCCTCTGGGAGCCGATGACAGGAGAGGGGAGAGGTGTGCAGGGAGCCGAAGGCAGCTGCACTCAAGGCCCCCCAGGCCTGGGAAGGCCATCGAGCCGGACACACCCTCCTTTCCCTGCGTCTCCTCTCTTCCTCGGCCTCGTCTCGGCCCTGGGTCCCTGACCCCGGCGGCGTGGGGCACGCTAGCCCAGAGATGGGTAACTGCCGGCCCACTGTCCCTGTCGGGCTGCAGCCTTCAGCACTGTTCCAGGCCCCTCCGAAATGCTGGTGACCTCCTGGATTTGGGGTGGGGGGCACACTGCCTACGCCCCTCAGATTGATGTGCTCCCTCCCATTCTAGGCTGCTACCTCCCAAGTAACCCTGAGTCCATTGTGCTGGACATTGACTACAAGTCAGGAACCCCGATGCAAAGGTGAGCCGCAGCCAGGTTTGGGCCTGGGGGGCCATCAGCGGGAGTGAGGATCCCCCCATCGCCATGAGGGGAGGCCTCACACCCATCGCTCCTCTTTGCAGCGCTGCCAAGGCCCCGTACCTGGCCAAGTTTAAGGTGAAGCGTTGCGGGGTCAGCGAGCTCGAGAAGGAAGGTGAGTGTGGAGAGTTGGCCCTTGTGCACGTGGCCACCTGTTCGTCCGGCCACTGGTCGGGAGTGGCCGCTCCAGCCCCAGCCCGTGGTCGAGGGCCAGGCCCCGTGCAGGCTGGGGAGCCAGGAGACCCAGGGGAGCGCCCGCTCTCATGCCCGTCTCTGTAGGCCCGAGGGCCGTGGGCTCCTCCTTCACAGTCATGGACTGGCACAGCTGGGCACCCACCACACACACACATGTGCGCACATGCATGTACTCACACATGGACACACTGAAAACACAGGCACATGCATGCAAATACTGCCACGTGCATTTATATGTAAACACACGTGTACTCACATGCACTGCAGTGTGTACTCACACACATGCACACACTCACACACATGTGCATATGTATACACACCTGTACACGCTGCATTCACATGTTCAGACGCATGTAGGTACTAGCACATGAGCATTCGTATAAATATACTGGCATATACATGCTCAAACACATACACATGCATGTATGTACTCAACGCATACATATACACAGACATGCATGTACTCACACGCTCACACATTCACATGTGCACATATGTACTCACACACGTGCAATCACGCGCTCACGTGTACACCACCAAACACATGCATATATGTACATATACTCACACGTAGACATGTACTCACACATGCACACACGTACTCACACGCACACCTGCACATGTCAGATTTAAGTTTGCTGCTGATGGCAGGGGGTGCCCACAGCTCCTGACTCTTGGGTGGGGAGTGGACGTAGGATTGAGGCATATTTACCTAACACTCCTGGACGGGCAGAGGGGTCTGTGGGTTTCTGGGCTCCCAGGCCTGAGGTCTGGTCTTTCTGGCCCCGAGCAGGGATGCGGTGCAGCTCAGAGCAAGTCACTCCCCCCGAGGAAGAGGACAAGGACAGCAGCAAGATTTCTTGGCAGGCAGCCATCTTTAAAGTGGGCGATGACTGCAGACAGGTAAACGGAGCCCCGGTCTCGAAGAGCCATGAAGGCGCTCCTATCTGCCAGAGAGAACCTTGGGCATCAGTGTAAACAAAACCTCCTGCTTCTGGGGGGGGGGTCCTTGGGGGAAGCTAGAATCAGATCCTAGAAGTGCACGCCGTAGCTCAGAGAACCGTCCCTCTCCTTCCGCCTTGGCACAGTGCCTGGGCCTAGCTTTCTGTCCCTGACCCTGCCAGAATCCTCGCCCTGGGTCTCCGAGCGACCTGGGAAGCAGGAGGGAGCAGCATCGGGTACTGGGGCGCTCCCAGGGGCAGAGCTAAGGGCCCCCTCGGAGGCAGGAGTGCCTGTTGTCCTACTAAGCGTCTTCTCACCTTGTGGCCCTCCCCAGGACATGCTGGCTCTGCAAATTATTGACCTCTTCAAGAACATCTTCCAGCTGGTGGGCCTGGACCTCTTTGTGTTTCCCTACAGGGTGGTGGCCACGGCTCCTGGAGTAAGTTCAGCCAAGGCATTGGACCTGGGAGGGGTCAGTCCAAAACTTGAGTCTGAGGAGGGCTGTGGACAGAGCATGGCCAGGATCAGGAGGGGGCTAGAAACCTCCCTGATGGGGAGTCCAGTGAAGACGCTCACTCAGTGTGAGCCTGTGGGGCCTTCCCTCAGCTCAAGGCCAGACTCGGACCTGGTCTGCCAGAGAGCCAGGGAGGCAGGCCTCAGGAGGTAGTGAGTGCCCCGTCACTAGGGCGTCTTCCCTCGGAAACCGGCTGGCCTCGTATTGGGGTTCTTATGGGGGAGAGTTCTCTTCAGGCCCAGGTTGGATCACCACCCTTCCCCTGAGCCTCTTGACGAGGGGCTTGCACATCTCCTTTGAGCCTCACAAAGTTTGGGGGCCTTAGAATAACGAAGGCCCCGGCCCCTGACGTCACACAGGTTTCCCCTTGTTCCTCAGTGTGGGGTGATTGAATGCATTCCCGACTGCACGTCTCGAGACCAGCTGGGCCGGCAGACAGACTTTGGCATGTACGACTATTTCACTCGGCAATACGGAGACGAGTCCACCCTGGCCTTCCAGCAGGTAACACCGAGGGGGCCGAGCCCCCGGGCCAGGGGGGCAGCTGCTTAGGATGCGCCAGACAGGTCTCCTTCCTTCCTCCCCGTCTCTGCTTTACTTGGCAATCTCATCAGCCGCCCGCTGTTTAAATTATTGTCTCTGTGCTGATAACTGCTGCCTTCCCATGCCTCATCTCTAGCTGCCTTTCAGATGCGTCACGTCAGATGTCCAGGAGACACCTTACACCCAGCACGTCCAAAACGGAGCTCATTCTCTTTTCCCTAAACCCTCACCTGTCACTGGTGAGGGCACCCTCTTCCTCCTCACTCTCTCTCACCCCCCATATCCAGTGTGGCACAAAGACCTCTCACTGTCATCTCTGTACTGGCTCTTGAACATGCCCCCTCCTCTCCCTTGACCCTTACCCCACCCTCGTGTGACCCTCCTCACCTTGTGCCCAGATTACTGTCATCACTTGCTAGGGGTTGGGGCTCTGCCTGCCTCCAGGCTCTCCCTCTCCAGTCCATCCTCCTCCAGTCACTAAAGTGATTTTCCTAAAACAGAAGTCTGACCACATCTTCCCCTAGCTCCGATAAACTCCCTTGTGTGGATCAGAACACAATGCCCTGCTTGGCATTCAGAGCCCTTCATGATCTGGCCCCTCCTCCCTTTCCAGGCTTCTCACACCTCACTCCCCAGTGACCCTGGGCTCTTGGGTGCTGTCCCCTGGGCCCGGGATTCTGTTGTGCTCACCTCTGCCTCCAGGCTTCTCTGGCTTCTGCAAGAGATCTTTCCTGGTTCTCTTTAATCTTTGTGTCTTCTCTCCGACTGGAGGGGGTCCGACGGCACGGCAGGCCCTCTTGTCCTGCACCATCTCCCCACGTCTGGGCAAGCTCATGCTCATTGCTTCCATGACACTGTCTGTCCCTCTCCTCCTCGGCCGTCACCTTCTCCTTTGGCCTTCAGTCTTTCTCATCATCAGGGTCTTTTCCAGGAAGTCCCATCTTCTCATTGTGTGGCCAGAGTATTTCAGCTTCAGCATTTATCTTCCAGCGAATAGACTGAATTCATTTCTTGAAGTATTGACTGATTTATCTCCTTGCTGTCCAAGGGACCCTCAGAAGTCTTCTCCAGCACCATTCAAATGCATTGATTCTGCAGCACTCAGCTCCCTTTATAGTCCAGCTCTCACAGTTGTGCATTGGTACTGGAAAAACCATAGCATTGACTATATAGACTTTTGTAGATGAGGTGACGTCTCTGCTTTTTTAGCATGCTATCCCAATTTCCCATCGCTTTCCTTCCAAGGAGCAAGTGTCTTTTAATTTTATGGCAGCAGGGGGCAGCTAGGTGGTGCAGTTAATAAAGCACCAGCCCTGAAGTCAGGAGAACCTGAGTTTAAATCTGACCTCAGACCAAACACTTGACACTTACTAGCTGTGTGACCCTGGGCAAGTCACTTAATCCCAATTGCCTAAAAAAAACAAACAAACCACAAAATGTTATGGCTGCAGTCACCTTCTACAGAGATATTTGAGGCCAGGAAAATAAAAACTCACACTGTTTCTATTTCTTCTCCCTCTCTTTGCCAGGAAATGATGGGACCAGTTGCCACGCTCTTTGTTTTTGTTTTTTATGTTAAGCTTCAAGCCAGCTTCTGCACTCTCCTCTTTTACCCTCATAAAGAGGCTTCTTAATTCCTCTTCATTTTCTGCCGTCTAAGATTATTGATTTTTCTCCTGGCAACCTTAATTCTGGCTTTTGATTCATTCAGCCTGGCATTCTGCATGACGTACTCTGCCGACAAGTTAAATAGATAAGGTGATAACCTCCAGCCTTGTCACGTTCCTTTTCCAATCTTAAACCAATCAGTTGCTCCATGTTGGGTTCCAGCTGCTGCTTCTTGGCGTGCCTGCGGCTTCCTCAGGAGACGAGTCGCAATCTGGTCCCCCGCCACATTTTGTTGTGATGCGCGCAGGGGAAGGCGTTAGTGTCATCAGGGAAGCAGAGGTGGATGGTTTTTACAGCTGCCTTGCTTTCTCCATAATGCAGCAAATGTTGGCAGTTTGGTCCCTAGTTCCTCTGCCCCTGAAAGCCAGCCTGCTCTCCTGGTAGTTCTCAGCTCACGTATCGCTGGAGTCGAAGCGTGACCTCGTTCAGTAATTCGAACGTTCCTTGACGTCGCCCTTCTTTAGCATCGGGACATAAACTGATTTTTTCCAGTCCAGTGGCCACTGTTGAGTTTTCCAAACTTGCTGGCATATTGAGTGCGGCACTTTAACGGCGTCGTGTTTCAGGATTTTAAATAGCTCAGCTGGAATTCCATCACCTCCACTAGCCTTCTTGTTGGCAGTGCTTCCTGAGGTCCACTCGACTTCATTCTCAGGGATGTCTGGCTCCAGATCCATAACCATACCATCGGTGGTCATGAGTGATGTTGGGATCTTATAGAGTTAGTTCTTTGGTACATTCTTACCACCTCTCCTTAATCTCTTCTGCTTCTGTTAAGTCCCTACCATTTTTGTCTTTTTATCACGCCCATTTTTTTGCATGAGATGTTCCCTTGACATCTCTAATTTTCTTGAAGAGACTTCTTGTCTTTCCCATTCTATTGTTTTCTTCTATTTCTTTGCATTGCTCATTTAAGAAGACCTCGTCCCTCCGTGCTGTTCTCTGGAATTCTGCACTCAGCTGGGTAGATCTTTCCCCGTAATCTCTTTCTTTCCTCAGCTGCTGATGGAGCCTCATCAGACGCCGTTTTTCCTTCTTGCCCTTCTCTTTCTCTGGGGTGTTTTGTTGCTGCCTCCAGTCCGGTGTTGTGAGCCTCTGTCCATAGCTCGAGTCCCTCCGCTCCGTTCCTCACCTCCACTTCGTGCTCAGAAGGGATGTTATTGAGGTCACGCCTGGACGGTCTGATGGTTTTCCCTGCTTTCTTCAGTCGACGTCTGAACTTTGCAGGAAGCAGCTCGTGATCCGAGCCGCAGTCGGCTCTCGGTCTCGTTTCAACTGCCTGTAGAGAGCTTCTCCGCGTCTGGCCGCAGAGCGTGTCAGCAGTCTGATTTCTCTGTTGGCGCCTGGTGACGTCGTCCGTGTGTAGAGTCGCCTTTTGGGTTATTGAAGACAGTGCTAGTCATGACCACGCTCTGTTAGTCTCCGCCCTGCTCCCTTTTGTCCCCAGTTATCTTTTGATTTCCGACTTTAGCATTCCATGCGCCGGTGGTGTTATTTCTAGAAGATGTTGTAGGTCTTCATGGAAGTGAGCCGCCTTGGCCTCGCTGTTGGCGCATAGGCGTGTGTTACTGCCGCGTTGAAGGGTTTGCCTTGGATTCAGACAGATAATTCCCTCACTTCTGAGTCTGTGACCCCATCCTGCTTTTCTGTGACCCTTTGATTGCCTGTGCGGGCTCCTCCATTTCTTCTAAGGGAGCCTTGCCCACAGTAGCGCATGTACTGACTGCCTTCATTCATTCATTCATGTAATTCACCCACTCCAGTCCATCTGAGTTCACCGGCACCAAGCTCCTGGAGCAGCTTGCTGTTTCCTTCTCTGGTGGCTCACCCTTTGTATGACCGCCTCCCCCCAAGCCTGTCCGTCCTGGGTGACCCTGCATGGCCTCATTCAGAGAGAAATTCACTGACCTACATGAGCCCTTCTGCCCCAACAAGGCCCTGATCTGAGATGGGGAGCCTATATGAAGGACCTACTGTGTGTCTGGCTGCCCTACAGGGGGAGCTGTGTGAAGTGCCTACTGTGTGCCTGGCTGCCCTACAGGGGGAGCCTGTGTGAAGTGCCTACTGTGTGCCCGGCAGCGCTAAGCGCTTGGCCAGTCTTCTCCCCTTGGAACCTCACTACGTCCTCAGAGAAAGGCGCTATTATGATTCCCCTTTTGTAGATGAAAAGGCTAAGGCAGACAGTGAAGTGATCTGCCCAGGATCAAACAGCATCTGGGGTCACATTTGAACTCAGGTCTTTCTGACACTGCGCCACCTCGCTGTTCGAATGTACTTTTGTAGCCGCAGTGTCTGTGATTGTGAAAACGCGTGAGCGGTCCAGATTCCAGCAGTCCCTGGGCAGCCGAGTGATCAGCTCTGGAATCTCCAAATCCTGGAACGTAGGATAGTAACAAGTCCTTGAAAAGGCTTCCGTGAGGTCCTTGGATGCGGAGAGCTCACGGCCCCTCTAGACAGGGGGGAGGTCTAGATGCCCCCGGAGGCAGGCACCTACCTTTCTTTGTCTCCGTGACTCACTGCGGGAGGGCCCCTGTGACCGCCTGCCCTTTGCCCCCGCGCAGGCCCGCTACAACTTCATCCGCAGCATGGCTGCCTACAGCCTCCTCCTGTTCCTGCTGCAGATCAAAGACCGCCACAACGGGAACATCATGCTGGACAAGAAGGGCCACATCATCCACATCGGTCAGCGGGGGCCTGGGTGTGGCGGGGGCGGGGCGAGCCTCCTCTGTAAAATGGGCGCGATAACGCCTAGAGCATGATGCTGTGTACGTGACACGCTTGGCAAACGTTACTTGTTGCTATGGTTATCTTACCGTGTGAACCTGTATTAATAATATCCCCTCATTTGATCCTCACAACAATGCTGAGAGGTATCGGCATTTTACAGTTGAAGAAACTGGGGCAGACAGAAGGGAAGTGACTCGCCCAGGGTCATACTAGCTAGGACGTGTCTAAGACCAGATCTGAACTCGGGTTTTCTGGCTCCAGGCCACTCCGTCCACTAGCCACCTGGCTGCCAAACTGGAGATGGGGTCAGTCTGGGCATCAGGTAGTGGCCCCCGGGGTCCGTGTCTCTGCCGTGGGAGACGTCCCTCACAGTGGCTGTCCTGCTGGCCTTCACAGACTTTGGCTTCATGTTTGAGAGCTCCCCCGGTGGGAATCTGGGCTGGGAGCCGGACATCAAGCTGACCGATGAGATGGTCATGATCATGGGCGGGAAGATGGAGGCCACCCCATTCAAGTGGTTCATGGAGATGTGCGTCCGAGGCTACCTGGCGGTCAGGTGAGGGCTCCAGACCTTGTCTTCCGACAGCCAAGAAGGGCCTCCCTGAGGGTCTGACCCAAGGAGGGAGCCGGGGGGGGTCCAGTGAGCGCCAAACGCTCAGTCAGCAAGCGTCCAGGGGCCCCAGTGTCCGGCAGAACAAAGCCCGTGCTGCTCCCAGGGAGCCGTGGCCTCCTGGGAGGCCTAGGGCCTGGACCGCTGGGCGGGCCTCTGTCAGGAGGGAGGAGCCGCTGGGCAGGATGCTCTGAGGGCCCTCCCATCTCGCTCCCAGAGCCCTCCGCGGGGGGGTCACTGAGGTGGGGGAGGCGGATGGGGGAGGAGGTCTTTGGTCTTGGGGCCTCGAGGCCCCCTTCGGCATCACTGGCCCCACTCCGCCCCGTCGCCTCTCCCTGCAGGCCCTACATGGACGCCGTGGTCTCCCTGGTCACCCTGATGCTGGACACTGGGCTGCCCTGCTTCCGAGGACAGACAATCAAGCTGCTGAAGTGAGTCTTGGGACGTTGTCCCCGGCTGGCACACCGTCAGCCCGCTCCTGCGATCACGGGTCCCAGACAAGCGGACCCTCCCACCGTCCATAGCTGGTGCCCCCAGTGTGTGTGTGTGGGGGGGTCATTGCTCCTGCTGCATGGCGAGGGGTGTGGCCCGCGTGGCCTCCTCTGGACTGTGGCTCCAGCCCCAGGGCCTGCAGGCAGGGATGCAAGGGTCAGCCTAGAAGCGGGCTCTTTGCTGCCTAGGGAAGGATGACCAGCCGTGGAGGGGAGGCCGAGCCTCTCCCCTCCTGTTCTGCTGGTGCTCAGCTCCCCACCGGGGCATGGGGTGGTGGTTACCTGCCTAGGCTGACCAGCCCCCCACAGACCAGGGGCAGGGCTTGGGCTGGGGATCAACACAGACCAGAGTGTCCTGGGCTGCCTTGGCGGTGGGGGAGCTTCCCTTTGCTGGGAAGCTCTTGGCTTGGTCCTACCCCCCACCTCTCCTTCAGTAGTCAGACAACCCTCTGGCAGGAGGGTCAGGGATCCCGCCACCGTGGGTATCGCTCTGGAGCACTTGACCCTCCGCCAAACAATCCTGCCCGGGGCGGGGAGGAAGGCCAACTGTGGCTCCGCAGGGGGCAGCTGCCGTCCCAGAGGCTTCTCCCAAAAATGGGCCCATCTCTCTCTCTCTCTCTCTCTCACTCCAAAAGGCACAGATTCAGCCCCAACATGACGGAGCGGGAGGCCGCCAACTTCATCCTGAAGGTCATTCAGAACTGCTTCCTCAGCAACAGGTCAGTGTCCTTCCCGGCCGGCCTCCACCCTGCACCTTCGGGCCCCCTCCGTCCACACCCTCGGCGCAGCGCGTAACGATGGGGGAGCCCTTTCCAAACAGAACCACTTAGAGGCTTCCCGCGGCCAAGCCCCCTCTAGGCTGTGTTTGCAAAGGGAGCGCTCCAGGTCCCTCCCACCAACTGGAAACCTCTGACGCTATGCCTCTGCCCCCCACAGAGCTCCCGCCGTGCTCCCAGGCACCCCAGCTTCTCCTGAGACGCTTCCTTTCTTCCCCTCCGGAGCCAGGGGGCCGGTGCCTGGCAGGCGCCTCATCCTCAGCTCCCCAAGCTGGGGCCCTCTGAGGGGCCAACCCATGTCTTTTGGGGACAGCTCTTGTTAGAGGAGGTATACCTTTAGAAGGCTGGGATCGTCCCCCTAGAATGCCTTGTCCTGCCTCCAGGGACCGAGTGGGATAAACCTGATTGCTCCTCCTCGGGCCGAGCTCCAGCCCTTTCCTGTCCCATCTGTTCGGCCTCCGGCGCTTGCCATGGAGAGCCCAGAACTGAGCTCGCCTCATCGCATGAGGCTGGGGACAGTGGGCCTTCCACAGCCTGGCCCGCCTCCCACAGCACCCCAGCGTGGCCAAAGATCTTGGTCAGAGGCAGTGCCAATGCCTGGGGGGTCCAGGTGCCCCCTGCCCTCCTACCGTGAGCCCCTATGCGCTCTCGTCAGATCCATGGTTGCCCACAAACATGCCTCCTTGGCAAGCTGCGTGTCCTCCCTGCTTGGGATCACTCTGATGTTGTGATTCTGGACCAAGGACTCTAGAATCCTCCAGAACCGACCTACTGCACACGCTTCTAGCTGGGTAACCCTGGGCGGGTCCCAGAACCTCCCTCGGCCTCAGTTCCCTCATCTGTGGAATGGAAATGATAACAGCACCTGCTGGATGGGGAAAGCGCCCATACTGGGTTCTGGGAGGGAGACTGAGTCACAAGGGATTTAGAAGAGGGCTGGTGAAAATCCTAAGCCTTCTTCCCAAAAAAGGTAACCAGCAGAGAGGGCCAGCCACGGCCCGCTTCCGTCTCTTCTCCCCTCACTCCTGTCTGTCCGCAATGCAAGGGCGTTAGCGGGGAGGCGCCAGCAGCAGCAGTCAGCAGTTGACCACATCTCCGCCCCTCACAATTGCCTGAAAAATGTGGATGACGTGACACCCTGTTATGGGTCCCTGGGCTGCCAGCTGCCTCCCGTCCATACAGAGAGAGGATCCAAGATTCCTTGGAAGATGTAACCACAGGACAGCCCTGTTAATCACCGCACAGCAGGGCAGAAAACGGAAAAGCCTTGGCTGCTGGAAGGAGGGAGGTCCAGCGAGGTCTTCAGCTGCTCCCTCCAGGTTGGGAACAACATGGTCCTGACTGTGCCAAGTCCCAGAACGTTGCACGGCCCCCCAGAAGAGAAGGGTGTGGCCCGCCCATCCAAACAGAGACCAAGTGGACGAATAATGTCCACCACCCAGATTTCAGCATGCTTCTAAGCAGGAGTTCTGGGTAGAGCTCAGCCTGTGAACTTAAAAAGTTTGTAACTCCATTCCAGTTAGTTTTCTTTGGGTGCCTGGGCCTCACTAGGATGCCAAAGGGCCAGGTTTCTCAGTTACAGAACTTAACCCGCAATAGGTGTCTGAAACAGCCAGGGAGCTGGGCCCTGAGCCCAAAAGCAGTACAAGAACAGCCCGATTGCTGGTTCTCATCTGCTGACCCCAAGCTTCCCACGAAAGCCATGGCTGGTGAGAACACCTCCCTCTCTGAGAATACGACCACCACAGAGCCAGTGAAGAACTCCAAAGAAAGGGGGCGGGGGGGGTCATCAGGCAGCATGAGCACAAGCTCCCAGCATCAGCCCCCACCGAGGACACACTGAGGACACGTGCACCTGCCCAGTGGAGGGACCCAGTGGGAGCTGATGAGGGATTGTTGAGGTGAGGAGACTGAAGCTTAGACCTGATCTGATCGGAGGTCCCTTGAGTAAGGACCGAGATGATGAGAAATGTGTTTGGGGCATGTGGATGGGGAGCAGGCAGAGGCCTCCAACACGGCGCTAAGGGATCCGCCTCATAGGGTGCCAGTGAGGATGGGAACAAAGGGGCAGCTAAAGAGAGAGGATGAAACCATCGTCAGCTAGGTTTGGTGACCAGCTGGACGTTGGAAGGAAACAAGAACAGGAAATCAGAGCTGGCTGTCCGGACACAAGTGGGAGAATTCAGAAAGGAGATTGTCTGAAAGAGGAAAATGTTTTGGGGTTTTTTCCCTTGCCTTTCTTTATATCCCCAGTGTTTAGCCTGGTGCCTGGCACACAGTAGGCACTTAATAAATGCTGGCTGACTGACTTCTGGATATGTCGAGGCTTGAGAGGCCAGTGAGACAATTGAAGTGTGTTGAAAGTGCCCTGCCCTGACAGCTGGCCTCCTGCTTTCTTGGGACCCCGGAGCGTCTCCCGCACTGGCCACCGTCTCTCAGCTAGACTCCTTCCACCTCTGGCCTCCCCGAGCCTTCTCCAAGACAAGCACAGCACACCTGCCTTAAGACTGTGAGGCTGGCTTCCTCATCACCCTGCTGGTCAGTAGCCTCCAACCACTGAGGCTCTTTCTGGGCGCTCGACTCACCCCATCCCAGGGATCTTGAACCACCAGCCAGTGGTGTTCCTCCAAATGGACACTGCCTTACTCAGAGAGGGACTGTAGGATGTGGAGGCAAGTCAGCGTGCATTGCAGAAGTGAGGGGTGGCCAGTACGGGCCATCCCACGGAGATGAGACGGAGCGTCATGGAGGAGGAACAGAGGCAGGTGTGGCTAGGTCAGCAAGTGTGGGGAAGGGGTGCCACGTCCTGGCAGGCCTCAAGGATGGGCTGGGGCCAGGTCCTGTAAGGCTTGAAAGGCAGCAGGATGAGTGGTGAGTGACCTGGCCAGAGAAGTACTTAAGGCCATGCTCTAGGTGGTCTGGAGTGAGGAGAGATTTAAGGCAAGGAGACTGATGAGGCCTGAGCTAAGGTCGCAGCTGTGAGGGAAGAGAAATGTTGTGAAGGTAGAGAAATGACAAGAATTGGCAGCTGATGGGAAACGGAAGGCAGAGGGTGACGCCCCACGGCGTGGCACGTGGCGCCAAGGTGACGGTCCTGAGTCTCCACAAGGATGGTGGCGCCTTCCGCAGAAGAGGGGAGGGCTGATGGGGAAGAGAGGATGAGTCTGTTTTTGCACAGCTGAGTCGAAGGTGTCTGGAACACAACCAGCTTGAGGCATCTGGTAGGCGATTGGAGATGGTAGGCTCGAGGTTAGGAGAGAAGCTGGGGCTGGATTTTGAGTAGAGATGTTAACTGAGGTTGCCAAGACACAGAGCGTTGATTAGGAGAGGAGAGGGCCCCGGACAGAGCCTTGAGGGACGCCCACAGTTAGGGGGCGACTAAGAAGGAATGGCTGGACGGAGAGGGGGAGAACCAGGAGAGAAGAGTCTTGAAAACCCCGAGAGGAGAGAGCATCCAGGAGGAAATGGTCAGCAGTGTCGGACACAGCAGGAGTATGGAAGAACCTCTGTACCCTCTCCAACTCTGGTCAATCTAACTCTGCTGCCTAGGGCGCTGACCCGTCGGATTTAACAGTAAGGGATTCACTTAGGTCACTGTTCAGTGTCAGCCGGGTCCTCACTGGACAAGCCTCTCTGGTCATCACTGCCCCACTGTCCACAGCAGCTATTAGAGGCCTTCTTCTTTCCCTTCAGGCCCACCCCACTGCCCATTAGCTGAAGGCCTCTCGTTTGTTCCTGGCCAGAAACCTGAGTCCACTGGCCCTGAGCTCCCTCTTGCTCCTTCCTCACCAGCTCATTCAGACATCTGACTGCCCTCTCTCCTGCTTCCTTCTGGTCACCTGAGACCAAGCCCTCTACCTTCCCCCTCAAGGCTCCCACCGGTCTTCTTACCCTCTATCCCCCTCCCCGCCCTCATACCCTACAATCCAGCGTCAGTGAGCTGCTTGCCACGGGACGCTCCACACCTGGAGCGCTCTCCCCTCATCTCTGCCAGGGTCCTTCCCCAAGCCCCTGCGCCCTCCCGTCTGCTCTGTGTGACTCCCCCGTTAGAATGAGAGAACCCTGAGGGCAGGAACCGGGCTTCAGCCTTTCAGTGCCCGACATGTAGTAAGTGCTTAATAAATGTGCATTGATCGGCTGAGGCCTGAGCCTGGAGAGGTTTAGGAACCAGCACAAAGGTGGCTTGTGGTGAGCTATAGTGCAAAGGATTCAGCCCCTGGCCCTGACACCTGTTAGCTGCGGGGCCTTGCACAGATCTCTCCTGTCCCACATCCTCCAAAGGCTCGCACCAGCTGGTCCCAGCTGACCATTGTGTGAGAGGAGCGGGAGAGCCTGGGCAGTCGTGGGTCACGGCCTGTGGCCGGGGGGCAGGGAGAGTGAGGATCGGGAATAGGTGGCCCATTTTCCAGACAAACCAGTGGCAACTCTTCCTTGGGGGGATGGGCCGTAGGGCAGGCCTGGTCTTTGGTAGGTTTTGGCCAGCGAGCTCAGCTGGACGTGGTGACTGTCTGGGCCTGAAGGAGGCAGGCTTCTGTATTCAAGCCATAGGACCTTGGACCAGCCTCTTCCTCCCTCCGGGACCAAGGAGGGGGCCGTCCAGCTGACCTTTCAGGCCCCTTTCAGTCGATCAAATCAACATTTGTTAAGTGCCTACTGGGTGCCAGGTTCTGTGCTCAGCGCTGAGGAGACAAAAAGAGGCCGAAGACAGGCCCTGCCCTCAAGGAGCTCACAGTCTAACGGGGGATACAATTCTGTACAAAGTGAGCTTCATACAGGGTAAATAGGAAATAATTAAAGGGGAAGGCACTGGAATTACAAGGGATCAGGAAGGCTTCCTGGAGGAGGTAGGATTTTAGTTGGGACTTAAAGCTGGAGAGGGTTAGAGGTCAGAGGCCAAGGAGCGCAGCCCAGGCTATGCTTGGGGACTGCCCTTTGTGTCCTAGAATCAGACCCCAGTTCCCAGTGGAGAAGGCGTGATGGGGCTTGGGGCTCCTCCCTCCCTCTCCCCGGCACATCATCCAGGCCCCTGCTGCTTTCTGTTAGCCCCCAATTGAAGTTGAAAGGGCTTTGCCTGGCATCCAGGGCTTCCCGCACCCTGGGGAGAGCCTGCGTTTCCAAACTTCCTCCTGTTGGCCCCCGCACTGACCCTGTGCCTCCCCACAGTCGCCCTCTAGGTTTTGTGTGTCTCTGAGAAGCCCGCCCCCATTCCTCCACCTTTGCCCCCTTTGGCTTGCCGTGGTCCATGATCGCTGCTCCCCACGGGCCCCCTGCCCCTCAGGTACTTGGTCATCACGACCCCGCCTTTTCGAAGCTTCCGAACTGACCGCTGACCCTCTTCCTTGCAGGAGCCGGACGTATGACATGATCCAGTACTATCAGAACGACATCCCGTACTGAGGCCCCCGCAGGCAGGGGGTTTCTGGGGCAGCGACATTGCTTCCAAGTCTTGTCACGCGCACCGCGCAATCGCACCTTCGGCTCTGGCTCTGGTCTGTTGTGGGCATGCGGGAGGTGTGCGCATGCTTGTGTGTGTGTGTGTGTGTGCATGCACGAGAGCTCACCTGTGGCTCACTCGTCCCCTGACCCGTAGAGCAGTCGATAGAGCTGAGCCCTCTTGTGTCAGTCTCCCCGGGATCCCTGATGCCCCCACCCCGTGTGACGTCAGAGGGATTCAGGGTGAACCAGTGAGATGGTTTGTAAAGGAAAGTGAGGGTCCCCACAACAGGAAGCACGTGGCAATCTGCTCTTTGCAACAGGGCAAGGCACCTGGTGCAGTGTCTTGGTGATACTCTAAGAGGTGGAATGATAATCATCCCGGGGCATCGCTGTCTGTGCAGAGGCGCCCCAGCTCTGCACTGGGCATGGTCCCTGCCTCCCTGCTCCTTTATTTCATAGGTACAAGGAGAATGTATTTTTCCTTTTGTGTGTAAAATAAAAATCACTCTATAAAGATTTATTTAATCTACCAGAAATAATAAAAGGACCAAAATGAGGTTGTGTTTGTGTGCACCTTCAGTTTCTCCGGCAGCTCCTTCCAGGGCCCTGAGAGAGGCCACGGCTGCCTCCCAGCCCGGGAAGGCGAACGCTTCTGACAAAGGTGTTCTCTCAGCGGCCCAAGCACATGGAGAGTTCGTTGGTCAGGTCCTTCAGGGCCAGAAGTGGTTCTCTCTCTGCCTGGCGTCTCTCCCCTCTCCACTTCATCCTCCACCCATCTACCTGACCTCCTTAAAGCTTAATAAACTCCCGTCGCTCCCTGTGGCCTCCAGAGCCCTTCGTACCTGGCCTCCTCCTCCCTTTCCAGCCTTGTGCCTTACTCCCCCCACCCGGCCTCCCAGGAGCGTCCATCTCTGACTGGGCATCTTCTCTGGCTGTCCCCCATCCCTGGAAGGCTCTGTCCGTTCCCCTCCAGCTGCGGACCAACCCAGCTTTCTTTAAGTTCCAACTAAAACCCACCTTCTACAGGAAACCTTCCCTAACCCCTCTTAACTCTGGTGACATCTGTTAATGACTTTCTGTTTATGCCAAATGTGGCTTTTTTGCACCTATTTATTTGCTTGTCTCCCTCATTCGATTGTAAGCTCCTTGAGGGCAGGGACCGTCTTTTGCCTATTTTTGTCTCCAACACTTAGCACGGTGCCTGGCATAGAGCATGCACTTAATCAATGCTTACTGATTGATTGATGGAGGCCCAGGGTGAGGAGGCCTGAGCAAGAAGCAAGTACAGAAAGGAGAGCAGCAGCCCTGTAGCTCAGACCCCAAAGGGGAGCCGGCAGGTTTCTCCTGAACCCGAAGAGCTTTCCAGCTGGCCCGTCGAAGCCGGGTCCAGCAGCATCTACTGGAATTCCAACCGGGGCAAGCTAACAGTTGTGCTGCTCAGACCCAGACGCAGGCCAGGGAGAGCCCAACCCGGGAGGGAAGTGATCAGATGACGTCACACCACTTTGGGAACCCTGCAAGCTTTCCAGTCCCCAGACCGAGCTACCTCTGACAGCCTGGAATAACACCATGCCCATTCCAGTTAGTAAGCAACGGCTTACTAAGAGGATGCTAGCTCAGCCCAGACACGCTCTGCAGAAGTGTGAAGACTGCCCGACCCTAACAGAAGTAGGCTGGAAGAATGAAGAAACACAAAAAAATAATCGCACCATGAGTTGCTGTTCTGGTGACCAGGGGAGCTCGAGACACAAACCCAGAAGAAGAGGATGACTGAAAACGTATGTAACCAAAACCTCAAAGAAAAATACAGTCTGGGAACAAGTTTAGCTAGAATTCCTGGAAGAAATTTAAAAAAAAAAAAAGGTTTTTAAAAAATTCAAAATGTTTTAATAAGTAAATGGGAGCACAAGAGGGGAAAATGGGAAGAGACAATTGTGGATGAAAGATCTGGGAAGAAATATTAACAGGAGGTAAAGACCTTACCTAAGAAAGACCCCCTGAAAATTAGAGTGGATCGAACGGAAGCCAGTGATTCCATGAGACAAGAGACATTAAAAGGGTCCAAAGTTTGGGGGGAAACGTAGAAGAAAATATAAAGCATCTCACACAAAAAACCAAAAACACTGACCTGGAAAACAGGTCGAGGAGAGATCATTTAAGAATTGCTGGACTCTGTGAAGGAGGGGGCCTTTCTTCTTTCACGCTTTGGTGGCTGGAGGCTGGCAGACCCGACCACAGACATGAGGTGATGAAGGCCTGCACCAGGGTGGGGGCAGGACAGGAGAGAAGGGGCCGTGTTGGAGAGAAGTGTGCTACACGGGGGAAATCAGTCTGTGACCCAGAACTGGGGAGTAAGGGACAGACCTGCCCTTTGGCACCTATTCCCAACACCTGCCTGAGGTCAGGCTCTGAGGTGTGGCCAGAGGGAGAACCTCCCCACTGGGAGAGTCCTGCCAGACACCGGCCCCCACCACCTGCACACCTCTCTGCCTGTCTCCCTACGCTGACCTGGGCTGGAAAAGTGACTCATGATTTTTGTTCTTGGGTGTCCTGATCTGGTCCGTGTCCAGGTCTGTGCTGAGCAGTGATGGGATGGAGGAGAGCTTGGCTGTGCTTCTCCCTGCCACGCCCCGCTCCTGTTCTCCAGTCCATCCTCCCTCAGCTGCCCAGAAACATAGATCTGACTGCTGGCACGTCAGTGGCTCACCATCACCTCCAGTGTCCATTCATAACCTGGCTTTTTCCTCCTTCCGTGACCCAGATGCACTGGCCTATCTCCCGGCCTTTGCCCTGGCAGTCCCCCCTGCCTGGAGTGTTCTGCCCCCTTACCTCTGCCCTGGCTTCCCCAAAACTCAGCTCAAAGCCCCAGTCACTAATTTTTTCCCCTCTGAGATGCCCTCCCATCTATTCTGTATGTATTTTTATGTCCCTGTACACGTTGTCTCCCCCATTAGAATGTGAGCTCCCTGAGGGCAGAGGTGGCATTTTTGCCTTTCTCTGTATCCTTAGCGCTTAGAACAAGACCTGGCATACAGTAGGCGTCTAATAAATGTTGAATGGCCAAAGAACTTGGAATGCCCAGATTATGCCACCTTGTTTCATAGGAGGCAGATCTGACAAATCCCTGGGGCACATGTGCCCACTTCACCAAACCTTCTGCCAGTGACTCCACTGGTGCTCAGCCATTTCCTGAAATTCAGTATCCGAGACTGGACACTGGCTCGCGTGTGCCAACACCCACAGATGTTTTTCAGGAAAATCGCTGTTTACAAAGAATTGATTACCTCCTGAAAGAAACTCCAAAATAAAAAAAAAAACTCAAAAATATTACAGCCAAAATCCAGAGGCTGTAGTTGAAGAAAAAACATTGCCAGCAGCAAGAAAGAAAGAGTTCAAATACTGAGGAAGGACAGTCAAGATCACACACAACTTAGCAGCCACCACAGTGCATGAGTAGAGAGCTTGTAATATGGTATTCCAGAAGGTAAGGGATATAAGCTCACAGCTGAAAATAACAACCTCGAAAAAACTGAGTATAATCCTACAGGGGAAAAAATGAAATGAGAACTTCCAACCTTTTCTGATGAAAAGACCACAGCTGTATGGAAACTTTGAAATACCAACCCAGGTGGCAAAAGAAACAAAGGTAAACAGAAGTGATCAATCATAAAGGATTAAGTAAGGATGAACTGTTTATGTTCTAAAATGGGAAGATGATGCATGTGTCCCCTCCAAACCCTATATCATTGGGGGTCATAGAGGAGATCAAGTAAGAGAGAAGACCAGACAGTGGTTCTGATTATCTTAAAAGAAGAAAGATGGGGAAAGGAATACGATTCCTGTGGGGAGAGAGGGGAACTTCTCTCACATAGGAAAGGAGAAGAAGCAGATATCTATACAAACAGAGCGGATGGGGTGGGGGAGAGAGTGACACTTGAACTTCACTCACTTTCATCTGAGCTGCTCAGAGGAGGAAACACACACAGTTGGATGCAGGAATACAGTTTATTCAGCAGGGAGACTGGAAGGAAAGGAGACAGGAGGAAATTGGAGAAAGGGCAGATTAAGAGAGGGATTTTTCCTGAGCAAAACATTCTTTTTTTCCACTTTTTTTGCACTCATCTTTTTCCAGTTACATGTAAAGATAGTTTTCAACATTCATTATTATAACATTTTGAGTTCTGAAATTTTTTTCTCCCTCTCTCCCCTCCCCTTTCCTCCCCCTTCTCCAAGACGGTATAGGCTATACATGTATAATCATATTAAACACATTCCCACATTAGCCACGTTGTGAAAGAAGAATCAAAACAAAAGGGGAAAACCATGAAAACAAAAACGAAAATAGTCTGCTTCGATCTGCATTGACTCCATAGTTCTTTCTCTGGATGTGGACAGCCTTTTCCATCATGAGTCTTTTGGAGGTGTCTTAAATCATTGCCTTGCTGAGAAGAGCTAAGCCTGTCAAAGTGGGTCATTGAACAATGAGCAAAGCAAATTCTAATGATGAAGGGTAGAATGTGAAGAGGCATTTAAAAAGAAACAAAGGATAAGATTGGGCTCTGGGTGAGGGAAAGAGAAGGGTAGGAAAGCAGAAGTAGATTGGACCTCCGTCACTGCCCTCTTCTGATTTATAAAGGGGAAGGAGAAACTGGTCAGAGTAATTAATGAATTAAAGAATTCATGCAGTAATATTGGTGTGAAAAAGAAACACCACTTTGGAATCCTTAAGAACCCTGATCAATGCAGTGACCAACCATAAATCCAGAGGGCTAGTGAGAAAGTCTGCTACCCACCTGACAGACAGGGGATGGACTTGGGGGTGCAGAATGAGACAGACCTAACACATAAAGTGCTTTGCAAACCTTAAAGCATTATATAAATGTTAGCTATTATTCCATGGCAAATGTGAGAATTTTTTTCGCTTGACTGTGTTTCTCAAAATGTGTGTGTGTGTTTTAAATGAAGGAGGTAGGTAGTAAAATATTTGTTAATTGAATAAATGGGTGGGGGCGGGAGGGGTGACACACCCCCTCACCTCCGTGCCTTGGCACACCTTGTCCAATGTCGTCCTTCGTCACTACCTCTCGGATTGCCCTTTAGTGCTCCATCGAACACCATGTCAATCCCCATCTCCATCCTCCCGGCAGCTGGGGCCTCCCTACCAAAATGGTGGGGTCCTTCTTTTGTGTGTGCAAGTGTCGTGGGAGCCTCTGGGGGACAGACTGCCTAATTGAATCTCTGTGTCACCAGCACCTGGCACTGGGTAGTGCTTTCAAAATGCTCAGCTGATACAACTGATGCTGGGCCTCAGTTTCCCTTCCTGTTCAATGAGGTTGTTGAGCTGGATGGCCTCTGAGATCTTGGTTGTGCGCCTGGAACCCAGTGGCTGTTGAGGCCAGCACCGCCCACATCCGGTCTTGGGTCCAGCAACACAGGAGACCCCAGGCTTGCAAAGGGCCATCAGGAAGCCCCAGGAGGGGCTTCCTCACCCCTGATCCTCTTCAGAAACCCAAGTCTGAAATCACAGAGCTGACCACGGCCCGCCACAGCCAGGCTGAGCCTGCCAAGGACCACCAAGGCCTCGTCCTCACCAGTCTCCTTCACGAGCAGCCCGGAAAAGAGCTCGGACACGGCGAAGGCCTGGGCCCTGTGGGCCTCCCATGGGCAGAGGACAGTGAAGAGGAAGCCTGCCTTCTCAGAAGGTCCCAGCTCCTCTGATGACACACTTGGGATGCCTCCTTGGCTGCTGAATTCCAGCCCATCCTTTACAGACCGTGGAGGCCCACACAGCTTGTAAAGGAAAGAAGCAGGATTTGAACCCAGATCCTCTGGCTCCAAAGCCAGAGCTGTTATGAGGGGTCCTCCTCTCATGCATTTATTACCTACTTTGGGGGATCCGAGGTTATGTCTGTCTCAGGCCTCTACCCACTGTAAACTCATGAAGACAGGGACCCTGTCAGCTGAATCATGTCTCCTCCGGCCCAGCTCAGCGTTCTGCACACTGTAAACGTTCCCAGGGATGGCGGGGCTGGCCAGGGACTGGTCCCCTTTGCTCTTAGGAGAGCATAGCATCAGATCCCCCTTATTTTACAGATGAGGAAACTCAGGCCCAAAGAGGGTGACTTGCCCAAGGTCACGGTTAGGAAGGGGGATGATGATGGAAGCAGGTCTATGAGTTCTTGGATGAATGGCATGGCTGCCTGGAGCCCCCTCCTGTAACTTCAGCATTTGGGGTTTCCTTATCCTTACTTGAAGGCAGAACCAGCAGGAACCCCAGTGTCCTGCCCAGAGGGAGGGTCAAAGTTGCAGGGGCAGATTTAGGCTTGATGTAAAGAAAAACTCCCTCCCAGTAAAAGCTGCCCTTTCAAAGTACTCTGGGCAGCCCTGGGAGGTGGTGAGCTCCCCAGCACCAGACGTCTATGAGCAGAGGCCGGATACCCACCTGTATTTAATGATGCCGAGGGAACGTTTTCAGGTATGAGTTGGGCTCCGTGGCTCTCTGGGGTCCCTCCCATCCTGAAAATCTAGGATTCTCCGACTGCTTTGGGTGGGAAGGGAAGGGAGGACACTGGGGGATGACCTGAGGGCTTCAGGGCAGGCCAGGGAGGAGAGGAACATGGGTGGTGGCAGCCAGAGAAGGAAGAGCCTCTTTGGGCCAGTCCAGGGGCCTCTGGGTGAAAAAACAAGGCCAGGCACAAAACAGCCGGTGTTAAGACCTGCATAGCCTGGGACTCGGGCTGTGCACCATGTCAGGGAGTGCCTTCTCTCCCACTCAGGGTGGGACACACACACATGTATGTACTCACACATTTACACACATATGCACTTGCACACACGCATGCATATGCTCATGTATGCACTCATACATATTCACACACATACTCACACATTTATACACACATGCACTCGCACACACGCATGCATGCACTCAC